TTTTTTTTTTTTAAATTTTTTTTTTTTTTTTTTTTTTTTTTTTTTTTTTTTTTTTTTTTTTTTTTTTTTTTTTGGAAATTATATCTTACTAATTTTTTATGTTAATCCTTTTATATATGCATGCTAATAAACTTATGTGTATATTCTTTTTTTACTTGCTCATTCGGTTTGGGCTTGTTCTTTGCATTATATTTTGCCAATTAGTTCGTCATTTCATTTGACTGTTAGTTTAACTGTACCTTCGATTGATTATTTCGAATCATGTTTACCTGCACAGTAATACTAATTGATTTGTATAACAATGGTAATTTACCTGCTCAATAATGTGCATTTACCTATACAATAATGTACTCCTAATTTACCTATACAATAATGTACTTCTAATTTACCTTCACAATAATGTAATGCTGATTTTACCTTCACAATAATGTAATGATAATTTACCTGTGCAGTAAGGATAAATTACCCCTATTAAAACACTAATTTGCCTGCACATGTAATATTATTTTGGCTACATACATTATTTGATTTTTTCAAAGGGGATACATATCTTTTGAGCACAACATTTTCAAGACGTACAACTTTGATATCCTTTTTGTCAAAAATGAGGAAATTATGAACACTCTTTTTTTGGTGTGAAATTATATATACATAATTATATATTTAGTCTAAATATGGATCTCTTATTTATTTAAAATGAATGAAACGTGAATGTGTATAATGTGAGATATAATTCGAAAAGTGCATGTTGAAATAATAAGGTGAGGGGTTTGTTTTTATAGGCCAAAAATGTGATACCAGTAGAAAAAACAATTGTGTGGTTATTATTTTAGCTCCTCTACATGGCACGTATGTATGTATATATATATATTTATTCGTTTTTATATATTTTCATTTATTTATTTTGTATTTTTCATTCGTTTCCTCCTTTCCCCAATGGAGTATACTTTCAATATTCCTCAAAATAAATATGGAGGTTATTTTTTTTGACTTAAATAAAACAAAGCTCTATTTTTAATGTTGTGCTATATGTATATTAATGTTGCGTTCTCCCTTGTCCACTGTTGCAATGAATTTTGCTACCAAAATTCAAATTTCAACTGGAGACTTCAGTGTAGTGCTTTCTTCACAATACATTAATGTACATATGGATGCACATGTACATAACCACGTGTACACATAAAAATGTGAATATATCAGCGCATATGTATTTATACGATATCTACCAATGTGCACTCAAATACAATTAATCGGATTTATCCCTATTTGTTCAATTCAAATTTAAAATGCTGGGTTCGAGGAAATGTCGGCATGGTCCTCTAAGTAATATTTAAGTAGCTTAAAGGGGAAAGTATAAATTTAGGAAAGAGTAACGTAAAAAAAAAAAAAAAAAAACATAAAGGAAAGAAGGAACGAAGAATAAAGCGAAAAAGGAAAAGTATAACTAAGAAAAAGGGAAAGGAAAAAAAAAAAAAAAAAAAAAAAAAGATCTTCACCTAGAAATATCTTTAAAAAGGTATATGAATTTTTTATAGAAAAGGAAATTAAGGACTAAATAATAAAAAAAGGTCACAGTTAATAATTAAATATAAGGTTTAACGCACACTAGATAAATGAAAAAAAAAAAAAAAAATTATAAAAAAATGGAATTTTTTTTTTTATATTCCTTTTAAATACTTTTTGAATGATTGATTGAAAAAGAAAAGATGTGTTTCAATATCATTTGTTTTATTTTTTTTTTTCTTTCTGTGTATCAACGCTGATTTAACCAAAGAACGCTCATAAATTATATATTTGCATATTTTCTTTCTTGCAATGTTTCCGATGTAAAAAACTGTCACATATAAAAAAAAAAAGAAAAAAGTATATATACAGAAGACACAAAATTTCGAATGGAAAAATGTAAGAAAGTGTGTTTTTTTATTAAATAAATAAAAAGTTGGCCTAAAATAATAAATTTAGATGATAAGTCCATGTTTTAATTAATCAAACAAGTCCCTTTGCATGTTAATATATTCTCGGTTATATTCACCACCTTTTGAACCTACAATTTTATAAATATAATAAATGAACTTGGAACAATGTCTACACATTTTTGGGAACAATATTTACAACAAAGTTAACAGTAAACGTCGAATTTTTTTGATGCACCTTTAAAGGTAAAATAATCCACGTATATATAAAATATAACAAAAAAAAAAAAAAAAAAAAAAAAAAAAAAAAAAAAAAAAAAAAAAAAAAAAAAAAAAAAAAAAAAAAAAAAAAAAAAAAAAAAAAAAAAAAAAAAAACCAACTAATTATCTTACTTTTAGAAGTTAAAAGATGAAACATTTCTGATCTAGTTTATTCATAACATGTAAGGGAATATTATTATTTTAATTAAATCACAGAATAATGCAAAAATTGCCATCACATGAATATTACGTTTTTTCTGACAGTTGTAGCATGCATAGTAGAGTGAAAAGAGAGTTTATTTATTTAAGTAGAGTGAAAAGAGAGTTTATTTATTTGGCGAGGCTTAAAAAGGAGGCATATGTAAATATAATAAAGAATGCTAGAAGCTGATTGAGATAAAAAAAAATGTTGACGGTAGATTAGAACCAAAAAACATATACAAATAGTAAAAAAAAAAAAAAATAATAATAAGTAAAAATAACACATGTAACACTTTAAGAATGTAAAAATATGCATGTGCATATTTTTCATGTGTTATACTGAACAGTTCTTACACCTTAATAATTCCAATTTGGAAACCCATGCATCGAATTTTACATCTGATGGATTTTTCCTGGTGATTTATATTTACATAATAATTTTACCAATAAAAGGCTTGAACAAATACACGTTCGAGCGAATTATTTACACACCTTTCGGGGCTTATTTTTGTGTGTAAAGGGACATTTGTTTTTCTAATTAAGTTTATTTAATTCACTTTTTGTTGTTATTGTTATTATTGATATTATTGTTATTATTGATATTATTGTTATTATTGTTATTATTGTTATTATTGATATTATTGTTATTATTGTTATTATTGATATTATTGTTACTATTATTTTATTTGTTTTGTTCTTTTTTTTTTTGTTTTATTAATTTGTTTTACATTTTCATCGTGGGAACTTTTATGCTACCATATATTGACTATATCGTTGTGCTGTGCATATCACGTTTCACACGCCATTTTCTGTATCTAAATATTTTTATTTTATTCAAAAGTTATTTTTCCCATTTAACGAATTTTTTAATGGGGAAAAGATTTTTTTTTTCCTTATCATGTATACTTTTGATGTTTTTTTATATTATCCTTTATTACATTCTTCTTTAATATATGCTTCTTTATTACATTCTTCTTTATTATATTCTTCCTTATTATATATTTTTTTTTTTTTTTTTTTTTTTTTTTGGAGTCTACACACATGTTATTACAAGGTTAATCACATGTATGATATTTTCTTAAAGTGTGTTATTTCCCCCTCATTGTAAGTGCATTTTTTTTTTTTTTTTTTTCTATTCGTCAGTAGACATTTGAATTCGTAGTCCCCTCTCCTATATTTGTGGTGAGTAAATGTTCCGAGCGCACTTAAATAAGAAGTAGCGATGTAAAAGTGGGATAAAAGTGTAGCGTAAGTGGATCTGAAAAAAACACGTGAGAGAATAAATAAATTGTTATAAAAACATAGTTTTAAGCACTCTCTTATTCCATACCCTGTATACTGGTGGTCAACATAAGTGTACCCCTTCGATGGATGACTAATACCATCTTCGTTCGCATAAATTTACATATTAATTCGTGGGATCCTTTATTATTATCATATTAGTTTTTACATGGTGTTTTGCTACCTTTTAACATGTGTTACAAAGACTTGGTATATACACTGATTTGACTAAATAACGGTTCGGTTCAACCCTATCACTTTGAGAAACATTTATTATTATATCTTCTTTTAAGATAGTAATTATTTTTTATATTTTACTTCATTTATTTTATGTAACCTGATTTATTTTATGTAGTTTTTTTTTGTTTTGTACCACTTCGATAAAACGTCATAGATACCCAAAGAGGAAAAACATTAGCTTAAAGTTTTTTTTTTTTTTTTTTTTTTTTTTTTTTTGTTTGCATGATACATTTGATCACAAAGAATGAAGACTTCGAAATTTTCGATGGAAAAAAAAGAAAAAAAAAGGGAGAAAATCAAGGATGGTGTGTAAAAGAATTATTTTCTTCCAGGTGTTACACTTAAAATGGGAGGAAAAAATGAAAATAAAAAATAATATAATATGGTACGGGGGGTGATAACGCACGATGTGATAAATGAGAGATAAAATTGTGATAAAGGAGTGATAAAAGAGAGACAAAAGAGAGATAAAAGAGAGATAAAAGGGTGATAAAGGATTGATAAGGGAGTGATAAAAATATGACAAAAATGTGACAAAAAAATAACAAAAAAACGATTAAAAAATATATGACTAGTCCGAATTGCTTTTTTTAAAAAAATTGATACAAGTTCCCTATAAAATAATAAAACGTTATGTATCTCTCGGTGCTCAATGTGGACCTGATTATTATTATTTTTCTTTTTCTCTCGCTCTTACACATATTTTGTGTTACACCTATTGCTCCTATATCACTGTGTGTAGTTGGGTTGTAAGAACTCTTTGACGTCACAAAGTTATTTTCATTTGAATGAGTAAAAATGAACATTTTCAACTTTTTAAAATAAAGCAAAACAAATCATTTCAGGGGGGCACCATTCGCTAACGTACATTTAAATAAATAACGAAGATCACAACAAGTACGCTGGCATATTCTCAGGAAGTTTAAGACCCAGGTATGAAAAAAACACACATATAAGCACACCTAAATACGCAGCAAAAATTGTCATATGTTCATGCATAACCATACGAAAAAAAAAAAAAAAAAAAAAAAAAAAAAAAAAAAAAAACTAGTCACACATGCATAGTCACAGGGAAAAATTAGTTATACATGGCATAACCATAATTTATCTGTTCCATTCAGTTGTCGAACTGGAAATACAACCAAGAGATGGAAGCTTATTATAACTATATTTTGCCACTTGGCGAAGTATCATATCCCCAATTACAATACAAGCTGATGCTTCAATAATGGGGGGTATTCTTGGCAAAATACAACAATCATGCATTCCTTTTACTTTCAGTTTACACATTTTCCCGTAAAAATCACATGTCTCCTTTTCTATTTGTATAGATGATACAGGTTTTATTGCTGATCTGAAGACAATGTTATTTCCTGTTGTAATCCCTGCCAGAATCCCTCCACAGTTGTTGGTTTTTGTTACTAGTAACTTTTCGACTTTTGATGGGACCTTTTTTCGAATCGATTCATCGATATGTTCCTCAGATGGATTCGAGACATCACCTGATCGATTTGAAGCATCACCTGATCGATTCGAGACATCACCTGATCGATTCGAGACATCACCTGATCGATTTGAAGCATCACCTGATCGATTCGAGACATCACCTGATCGATTTGAAGCATCACCTGATCGATTCGAAACATCACCCGGTCGATGACTGTCATTTATTTTGAAAAAAAAACTATCTGTTGTATAATTCCACTCATGCAGTTCCTCTCTTAATTTGTTTCCAACTGTGTTCATTTGAATTCTTCCATTTGGGGTAGTCCCCTCCTCCTGTTTACAATCCAGAGTTGTAAATAAATCATTATGTTCTGATCCAAGCATGTAGGTGCCATGGAATCCAGTTCCAAATTCGATACCTTTTACTGCTGGTATGGATAAAATAATTTTACCCAATTCAGCTTCGATTTTTTCAAAAATGGGTTCACCAATTCCTATTGGTACATTCTTAACAACACAGGTAGCTATTCCTCCAATACTATCCCCTGCATTTTTTAGTTTTAAAATATATGAACAAATTTGTACTGCTGTGAATGGATGTGGGCATCTCGTTTGTAGTATGACATAGCCATCATCTTGATTCTTTTCTTTGCATTTGAGTTCATTTGTAGATGTTTCATTACCCTTGTTCCAGCTCTTATCACTGATATGGTTGTCCTTTTCGCTTAATCGTGTGTGATAAGTCTGACAAATTGACTTATCTTGCTGAAGCAAATGTTTCCCCAAGAGAATTCCATTCTCGTTGTACATATTGTTAAAAAAATCGATAAATATTTTCCGACGTTCATCATATCTGACACTCCCATATGTGTCAATTAAATCTCTAGAGGGTGGATATTGTTCGAAATTTTTGCTGACATGGTCAGGTAATTTTATTGTCCCCACAGAATGAACATAACAAATAATGGTACAATTATAAAAACTATTTAACCACTGTTCTATACAAGCACCTGCTGCTACACGCGTAGCTGTTTCCCTTCCTGAAAATCTACTACTTCCACTTTTATTTTTAACATTATATTTCATAAAATAAGTGTAATCCCCATGTCCGGGTCTTGGAATATTTATGAACGAGGAATAATTTTCTTTTTTAACATCCTCATTGTTTATTAAAAAAGCAATCGGTGTTCCCAAAGTTTTATTTTCATCAAAACCTGAAAGGATGATTATTTTATCTTGTTCATTTCTATTACTTGTTAATTTAGATTGATTAGGTCTTCTTCTATTTAACTGTTTTTGAATTAAATCAAAATCTATTTCAACATTTGGTAAAAAACCATCTATTACACATCCAATTGCTTTCCCATGACTCTCGCCAAATGACGTGACTCGCAGGAGAGTCCCGTACGTACTCATGTTGCAATGCTTCCGCAAAAGTGTGAATATCGATGGAACTCGAGAGAACAAAGAAAATTATACATATATGTATATATATATATATGGGAGAAAAAGAATATAATGAACCTTATAAAAAATATGTGCATAGATAGCTAAACTATGTTTATGTATAACACACGGGGAGCGTGATGATAAAAAGCATTGTTGGAATATCTTATTAGTTATGCATGTAAATGGAAACCTAAAAGTCGAACTATATTATAATTCCATAATAGAGTTCGAAGTTGTTTGAAAGTTTCGTAAAAGAAAAATATATTCTTTTCTTTATTCGTAGAACTCATATTTTATTAGAAACTTTTTTTTTTTTTTTTTTTTTTTTGCTAATGCATTTATTACCAAAAAGAGTGGAAATTCCAATTTTCTGTAAAATGGAGAAAAAATAAACAATGCTAAAAATTCCTTAATTCCTTCTATTCATTCATTAGTCCTGCTTGGGGCATTCGAGTGTGTGTTATGTGGTAATTGGGTGTATCTATAGGTTTAGTTCGATTTATTTCTATTTTTGTTTGCAGCTAATAGTGCAACGAAAAAGCACAGAACTGATCAGTGAACGTGTGTATGTATGTGTATGTTATAGAAATTATGTATGTATGTGTGCGTTATGGCAATTGTGTATGTATGTGTGTGTTATGGCAATTGTGTATGTATGTGTGTGTTATAGCAATTGTGTATGTATATGTATGTTACTCACACATGTTATACGCATATGTTGTACACATAAGGCATACATCTGTATTTTTTTTTTCTCGTTCAAAAAAAGGAAATTGTGCGAAAATGTTACGTTATAGACTGATAGAAAAAAAAAAAAAAAAAAAAAAAAAAAACATATATGCCTTTTATCAAAAGATATAACGAAATATCCTCACGGTTGATAACATCACGTATACATGTATATAAGAATATATATCTGTTGTTCGAGACCTAAAAGTACTTTTTCTCATTAAAATATCTTAGCATGGAGCGCATCGTTTTTTTTTATTATTTTTTTTTTTTTTCTTCTTTCTCCTTTAATAAAAAAAAAAAAAAAAAAAAGAAAAGTGTTTCAAGCTGTACTTAATTTATGCGTGAGTTTTAATTTATTGTTGGTATAAATTAAAATTTTTGAACTTTCAAAAATGGCAAGGAAAAAAAAAAAAAAAAAAAAACAACGTAACGCAACATAACATAGGATAAGATAACACAGCGAAATATACAATACACAATACAACATTACAAAATTAATCGGCAAAAAAAAAAAAAAAAAAATTTAATATATATATATATATATATATATATATATATATATATATGCAATAATGCTGCCATAGTATTACACATGCATTATTGTATGATATGTAAATATACTTATATAACTAACTCATAATTAATTATGTATATAGGGATAACGACTTAAAAGCTAGTAAATGAGGGAAAAGAAAAAGAATAATAACGATGGAATGGTGTGATAATTAAAAAGAGAAAAAAAAAAAAAAAAAATTATATGTAGAATGCGTGAAGTGGGGACATGCATGGAGAAGACCTTCTGCGCGGAATACCAGAATAAGAAAAAACCACAACGCACTCTTCAAACATTGCAAAAAACACAAAATAAAAACAAGTATATTTGTTATAATTCATGTCGATTGGGGGCCATTGTACAATTTAAATTAGTCAGTCTGTAGATAGAATTTAATTACCCCCTTCTTTTTGTTCTGCTTCTTCTCCCGCTTCTCTCGCTTCTCCTGCTTCTCCTGCTTCTCCTGCTTCTCCCGCTTCTCCCGCTTCTCCCGCTTCTCCCATTTCTCCTGGTGCAACCCGGTTGACATCGCTGGGTAAATCACTTCCCTGTGCATTTTCCGGGTTAACTACAATGTCAAAACAATTGTAATTTAGGAGTTCCTTTTCATTTGTAGCATTTTCTTGTGGGTCATTATTATTCACAACTTGATGGGATTCTTCTCCTCCTCCTTCATTAAGATGTAAAAAAGAATCTTTAAGCACTTGATTTGAATTGTCCAAATGAGTTTCGTTTCCAATTTTACCTTCCTCGGTTGACTCTAATAAATTATCATTCTGAACACGTTCATGTGTTTTGGTATCTTCATTTAATCCTTGTCTTTCTAAATCTAAAATGTTTTGTATGTATTCATTTTCGTTATATACATTTTTCATTTTATTGTCCTTTTTCATTTCTGGTGGTGTCTTCGGCATGCTGATTGAAATTTGAGCTACCTTATCATCAAAATTTGCATTGTTATTATTCACCTTATCATTATTATTTATTAGTTTTTTGTTTAGAAAATAGCCATTAATTCCAATTTCAGGTAAATTCTAAAAGCAGTAGGCAGGGGTGTGTGGTTTGCAATTGTACAAAATGTGCGCGGGACAAAAGCAATTTTAATATTTCCTCAAGTGTATACAACATATGTGTATACATACACATGCATATCTATCTATACGTGTGCATCCGTTTGTACGTTCTTTTGTTTTACCGTTGTATCCACGTGGTCATGAGAGTAGTTGCAATAGTAATTCGCACAATACAATCCTGCGGTGAAAAATCGTATGAAAGAAAAAAAAGTAAAAAAAAAAAAAAAAATAATAAAATAATAATAAAATAATAATCATACAATGGGCAGAATGGTAAGTTGCACATCACACATTCATGTTTGGAAATGTTTCTATGGCGTAACAGTATCCACTTGCCAATGCAAAACAAGTGAAAGCTAACACCCAAATGGAATTCCTCTCCCGATCAACCTCTATCCAGTTAGCAGCTATCCCCCTTAGGCAGCTTGATTGACACTGTCAAAATGACTTACCAAACTTGCAGGGCACGTTGGGGTGGATGTAAATACACTCCGATCCAAAGGCACAATAAGGCCAGTTTCGACACTGCAAAAAAGGGTAAAGACGTAATGGTGTGGTTTTATAATCACATTCATAGTTACAGTATCAGGGGGCATAGTTTCATCCTTTGCTCTTGTGATTATCATCTTCAGTGTTGGTGTTTATAATCATGGCTACATTTATTTGTAACCTAATCTACACATCCTTAAGTGGTGTCAATAAGAAAAAAGTTTCTCATATACGAACAAAAAAAAAAAAAAAAAAAAAAAAAATTCAAAATTATATCTTACGTTTTCAACAGGATGAATGTAACGACACTTATCTCCATATTGACAATTTGGCAGATAGATACATTTCTTTGGAATCTGTTCAGAAGTGAGAATATAAAAAAAAAAAAAAAAAAAAAAAAAAGTAGATATGTGGAATTGAAATAATGCGATAATTACTACATCTTCGAATAAATGGCTAATAGAAAAGCATGTTGCGGGTGGTGAAAATAATTCCACGCATCTTAACCTTTACAACTGTATTTTTGATATCTGCTTGATCATCTGGGTTGGTTCCCTTGGTTGCGTCTACATGGGGGGGGGGGAATGAGTTTGATATCGAAAGGGATGCGACATGAGTGGTGGCAAAATATTACAAACAGCAATATACAGTCAAATAAAAGGATGAAAAACAAAAACATTCATGCAAAAATAATGTATATAAATGAAAATCATGAAGCAAGAAAACAACGTTTTAAGCGGGAAAATCCGTGCGATAAAAATATATATATATATATATATATATATATATATATATATATATATATATATATGTGATCAAGGGCAATTTGCTTTTTGTTTTCTTGGAGAATTTACCTATATTCATAAATCCATTAGTACTAACAATATTATCACCGCTTGAATGGGCACCACCTTCTCCTCCTCTTTGCAGCATTGGGGGGATCTGATTACTATCGTTCTGGGAAATTGTTGTGTCATTTTTTACCATACTAAATTGCGAATTCTGTGTATTTTTTTGTGATATAAATGTATGATTTGATGATGTTTGGGACATGTGAAATGGTTGCTGTTGCTGCTGCTGTTCCTTTGTAGGTAATCTCTCGGCAGTCACATGATGAGTGTTAAAATGTTGCTTCCTCTTATTCAATGGAGGAATAAAAGATGGTGGAATAAAGGATGGTGGCGTAAAGGATGGAGCAGTAAACGTTGCTGGAGGGATAAACGAAGGAGGAGGTGGCATCGGTTTGGTCATCTTCTCATTGTAATTATTTTTTGTAACACTATTTGAAAAAAACATATTATTTTGATTACTCCTTGAGTTCTGTGTGCTGCGTTATGAAAAAAAAAAGGGAACGAGAATGTTCGATTAATATTTTTTTTTTTTTTTTTTTTTTTTTTTTTTTTTTTGTTGTTGCTTTTTTCTTAATGCTATCTGCAGAATTAGAAGCATTTGGATTTATCCCATGCTTCTTAAAAATAGATGTAATGATTGCTACTACTAATACTATATATATTAAATTTTATTTTATTTTTTACTGTACCTATTAGGGGTCATGTAATTTGAGGGGGGATGGTGAATACCTCTGGTGTTCATATTAACATTAAAAGGTAAGTGGTTTTGATGATTTGTGCTGTTGTGAGAAAGTCTATTATTAATGTAACTGTTATTATGGATACTCGGAGGGATAAAGTTGTTACTACTAGTTTTGCTGATATCTACTATGTTCTGTTGTGTCATCATGAAATTTGTTTGATGGTAATTTCCACTCGTGTTGTTAATTCCTTTCTCGATATTTCCTTGTGCATTTGCATTTTCATAAAGGTAGTTCATACGATAATTCCCCTTTTCCTTATTGGTCATACCTTCAGAGGGACGAGAAAACAGGAAGGAGCAAAATGGACCAAATGAAATAGACAAAAATGAATGAAAAAGTAGGGCGCGATATCCTTCACATGTACATGTATAAGTTGAATCATATAAACATCTGGATAACCCCATTTTCTACTTCCACATGCAATAATGGATTAACAAAATAATCATTGGAGGGGGAGATATGCACATTGGTATGGAAACAACAACATATATATGGGAGTAATGGATCATAGTTTCAAGTACTAAATGTAATATAATGGTCTTATGTGAAAAATAGTTGTTAATTCACTTACTCGAGATGTATGGTTGCAAAAGCGGAATCTGCTTATCACCTCCGAATCGGGGATTAGGTCTACAAGGATTGGTGTAAAATAGAATCAAAAATGTGTTCAGGATATTTTTACAAATGAATAATCAATCAAAATTTTGGGGGGCGTGCGAAAATGAACCATGTAAGCTCCTCTTTTAGAAAAAAAAGGGGTTTGAAAAGTGTTCATAGTTTCGTTTTTTCACTTCTTATTTTTCACTTCTCTTTTTCACTTTTTATTTTTCTGCTTTTTTCAAAAATCATGGTTACTTTAAAATGGCTTTATTCCTCTTTTCGCTAGAATTATGTTCATCTCCACTGTCGCTCATCCTCTTGGCTTCCAAATCTGCATTAACAAAAATAGGGAAAAACGTAAAAAAAAAAAAAAAATGAAAAGACATGACAAAACAAATTAAAAATGATGATGATGAAGGAGTGATTAATGAAATTCACCCTATTATATGGGATGAATTGGAATGGACATGTCTTTTTCTTTTTCATAGGATACACATTTTATTTTTTAGCATATTATCAATCATGATCATGCATCGTGCATATATATACATATAGGTGTATATCTTAGAGCAGGAGAGGAAGCATTATTTGCTCTTGTTGTTTTTTTTGCCTCTTTGATGTGGCCTCTTCGCTGTTGTTTATTACCGCTTCTGTGCTTAGGAACATCTTGCAAAGCCTCGCTATTCCTCCTTTTTTTTTCTTCCTCCTTTTCCACGTAAATAACTCTACTTGGGGATATCGAGTGCGTGCCACTTCTTCCTACTCTTCTGTATTTGTTATCATCCCTTATTTTCATTCTATCCATTTCTTTGTCACTTTTTCTCGTTCTAGATCTGTTATTATCATAATGAAATTTTCTTGTATTCACACTTGACGATATAGATCTCATACTTATTCCTCCTCTTTGTCTTTTCCTAGTCCTTCTTCTATTAAATGAATCTGCATCATTCAATGAGTATCTACTGCTTCTACTTCTGTAACTTCTGGATCTCCTTCTTGTAGTTGACATATCTTTTCTATACGAATCATAGTCCCTTTGATGATCCTAAGATGTGGGAGGAGGGGATGAGGAAAAAAAAAAAAAAAAAAAATTTTGTAAAATGTAACACTGGAAAAAATTACTATTGATGAATGAAATAAGAACTAGTAAATTAAAATGTACAGAATAATTTTTTTTTCTTTTTTCTTCGCTGTGAAGAAGGCTAGGTTCTATCCACGTCACAAGCATTGAAATAATGTGCATATGGTCAAATGGAAGAATTAAATAGTTTGTTATCACAAACCTTTGTTCTCTTTCCTTGCGTGGTGGAATACCTTGATTTGGATTCTGTTGTAAATGGGAAAGGGGAAAGGAGAAGAAGTAATTGTGTCCTCATTTTTTTTTTTTTTTTTTTTTTTTTTTTGTATCTACTCATAATCGAATGAAAAAAAAAAAAAAAAGATTCAAGAACATATGATCCTTCCCCACTGTTATATATATTCTTATATGTAAATTAGGCATATGTAATACGACTGATAGGATTTTCATAAAATAAATCACTATTTTATATATATATATATATATATTACCTCTACTCCTATTAGATCTCGAAGTCTCTCCGATATGCCTATCCCTGTCGCTACCACATTTGTATAACTTATCATTCTTAGATGAACATTCACTCTTCAATGGTTTTTTGATGTCACCCATAAATTTTGTTAACCAATTGACAAATACAACAGTCTGCAAGTGATGGTGCAGAATATGTAAAATGTAGATTTATATTAACATTATTAGATGTGATGAATAAATTACGAAACAAAAACGACAAGAAAGGGATATGATCGATTCAGCAAAGAAATAAAAAATGCATCATCTGTTTATGCATTCGTTGACATGGAAAAAGCGATTGGCATGTAAAATCTAAATGAAAATTCTCCAATTTCCTTTCATTCATAAAGGAAAATGAATGCTCTGTTAATCTATAATCACTACAATGTGCCATTTTTACAGATAGCTCTACGCTGATCTATACATAGAACCTCTCTTTTTTTACATTTCATATATTTCATATGTAAAAAACGCTCGATTTATTTTATTTATTTATATTTTTTTTTTTTTTTTTTTGTCATGGAAATTACATGATCTCCCAGGAAATCCTTCAATTCGTTACACATAAATTCACGGCTACTTTTGGCATTCCCTGCCATATGCCAAACATACTCGGTCAGTATATCTACTTCATATTCTCCTAATAATTCTCTTAACTTTTCCGTGATAATATCCTGATACTTTTTTTCTTCGTCTTTGTTACTCAGCATCATTGTTAATTTTTTACACTGTCGATAAAGGTTTTTTTTTTTTTTTTTTTTATTTTATTTTTGTCAATTACAGGTCCTCTGTTATCTCACAGGGGGCTCTTCTAGCCACGTGTATGCATATATCTGTGGCAGTGTTTATATATATATATATATATATATATATATATATATATATATATGTATGTATGTGAGTACGTACTCCTGTGAAAATCCTCCTAAACATTAGATTGCAGGGGTATTTATAGACCCGTGTAACTGCATATACTTTTATATGTACATATAGTGACTACGTATGTACATACCGAATGTTTTTCCTTTGTGTTAACTTATTCTTATTCTCTCAGTTTCGTTTTTATTCATTCAAAATGCAAAATAATTTTTTCTTTTTTTCATTTTAACCAACAGGTATCTGTTTAAACTACGATTTCCCAATTTGCAAATGCGTTCATATCCTACTTAGCCTTTCTTCTCTTCTCCCTCAGTATATGCATGCATGCGTATGTGTACATTTATGCACATGTATATGTATATATATATATATATATATACATACACGTGCAGAGTCCTTTCTCTACATTCTAATAACCCTTATTTAAGTTAAATTAATCAAAGCAGTCTTCACACAATTAACTCTACGTTGTATTTTTATGGATGTGCATGGGAAGGTTAAAAAAAAAAAAAAAAAAAAAAATTTGTGCAGACTCTCGATCCTTTTTATTTATAGATATGTACATGGGTATATATATACACACACATGCCTATATAAGCTAAGTGTTTTTCCTTTGCAAGTCCTCATAAAGGGAGGGTGACTTTTTATTACTGATCTTTGCTCTTCATCAAGTTTATTCACTTCCTCGCTCCTTTACTTCTTCACTCCTTCACTTCTTCACTCCTTTACTTCTTCACTCTTTCACTCCTTCACTTCTTAACTTCTTCACTTCTCTTCTACTATGTTTACCTCAATTTTTTCCTTTTGGAAAAAAAGTATAACGACGGGAACTCGGTTTTTATTATACTTTTTCTAATTTAAAAATATATATAAAAACCTTCAAAATCGTTTTTAGGTTGAAAAGCACGACATTTATGTCCCCCCTTTGCAATGATCTAATTCGACCATGAAAAAAAAAAAAAAAAAAAAAAAAAAACACTTCACAAATATATTTGGGCTGAAATATGAAACACAAATGTGGTCAGGCCAGGTCATGTCATATAAATAATACCGTGCTGGTTACTATAAAAGAAAAGTGTTAGCATCTTCATTCAATTTATATGATTGTTGTTCTGATTTCTTTTTTTTTTTTTTTCTTTTTTTTTCCTTTTCTTCTTTGAATTAAAATTCTTTGCTCTGCTTTGCTTAGCTTAGCTTTATTTTTTTTATTATTTTTTTTTTTTTTTATTTTTTTTTTTCTCCTTGCTATAACTTTTTTTTTTCCGAATGATAAAAAGTAGTTATTTTTTTTTGGTGAAACGAGGTATGTATATTTTTTTTAATCCCTGTGTCGTATTACTGTAAAACTATATATTTATATACACTGATTTATCATCATCTTAATGTTTTTTTTTTTTTTCTTTTTTCTTTTTTGTAAAATTCCCCTACAACAGTATGATATGTATATATATATATATATATATATATATATATATATATATACATACATATACGTGGATGTGCTTTTTTTTTTTTTTTTTTAAAACCCTATAAAAAAAGCGTATTTACATTACATATATAAAATATGCACTCACGCTTGCACTCAGTTATAGGTTAAGGTCTTGCATTCATTTTCTTGGGATTAGTCCCATACACTATCTGCACGAAAAAAAGTGAAAAACCTACACTACATGTATAAAATCATTCACGTTAATAGAATTTTGAACCTCACTAGGTGCCATATAAATATATATATATATATATATATATATATATACATGTGTGAATATATATACACCCTATATGTTCTCTTATACATTTGTAGCGCACGTGGGGACTCCGAGTCCTTAAGTAACAGAAAATGGATTACTGCGAAACTTGTAGCAACTTATTCTAATTCAGTTCCTGTTATTTTATGCTCTCGATATAATAAAATTTATTATTTTTTTTTTTTTTTTCTCCCCTTACGTGAGAAAAGGATCAACAGAGTACTTCGAATACACATATAAGGGAAGGAAAAAAAAAAAAAAAAATAAGAAGAGGGGGGAGGGATATATTTTCTCAATTGTTTTTTTTTCTTTCCCCTTAGGTTTTTTTTTTTTTCTTTTTTTTTTTTTGCCCAAACCTTTTTAAGTAAACAAAATACCAAACCTGTGAAATACTCATTTTACGAAGAACAAAAAATAAAAACAAAGCTATGCCTTTTGACAAAACAAAGAATAATTATAAGGTAGATCTTTCCTACCCATCTTTAAGTCACAAACCAAAACGAGCACTATTTTTACGTTCACATACAAATGTTAATTAAATCATTTTTTTGAAAATGTAACTTATAGATGACAAAAACCGCTTTTACCCCAAATCACACCCCACACATCGGCACACATGCATATGCACATAATTAAGTATAAACAACGTACACATCAATGTATATATAACAAAACTAATATTTGCAAACTTTTTGTAAAAGTGAAATATCATTCTTTTTTTTTTTTTTTTTTTTTTTTTTTTCCATCCTCCTCCTGCTCACTCATTCAATGTGACAATTTTCCTATTTTACAGATTTACACATAAGGAACACATATATGTATATATCCAGATCGTTTCTGCATGTGACAAATTTTGATACATTAAAACGTATACAGATAAGAAAAAAACGAAGAAAACGTGATAATAAAAAAAGAAAAAGGAAAGGAAAGAGTACATAAATGTATGAGAAGGTGAAAATATAAAAAAAGAGGCATATATCGTAAGATTATGAATGGGTATAAGGTACATTATCGCATTGTTACATCTGCGTGTCTTCACCAAATGGCTTGATAGTGCTAAATGCTGATAAAACCAGGAGCGACCTAATAGGAATGATAAAAATATTAATAAGCCACTCCAGACGAACGGTTAACACGATCGATCAAGCACCAATAAAAATATGTCTGAGTGCCTGATTATCTCTAAATTCACTGGAAAAACCTTCATTAAATGAAATTTCAAATTGCTCTACTAATACTGTCAGCTGCTATCGGAGGGATAACGCCGAACAAAATCAATACGTATGCTATCTTCAAAAAAAAAAATTATGAATTGAAAAAAACTCTTTTTGTAAAAAGTGTTACTTTACTTAAGAAAAAGAATATCCATAGACACTTTAACAACACAGAAAAAAAAAGTTACACTAATTTATATACAATTAAAAATCCACTAAAATGTAAAGTGCTTGACAAAGTGAAACTTGTGAGAGAACACTCTCGGCATGATGTGTACAATGTTGAAATATATCATGGAGGAATGTTTACATATTTGGAAGGTCATTCCTGTGGAATAATTCCATACTGTGGAGGAGTGTACAATAAAGAGGGGGCAAATAGACTATACGATAATATTGGGAAAAAAAGGGTAGGTCATGAAATACGGATCGAGGAGAACCATACAAATGATGAGAAGCAGGGTAGAGAAGGCAGAAATAATTACCCCGTGAAGCACATAAAATGCGCAAGGCTATATTCCATATCGTCCAGCAGTGCAGACAATATATCCATTGCTGTAAAGATTCATACTTATAATGAAGAAAAAAATGGAAAAGTGGCCCTGAAATATGGGTACTGCTCTGGTTATATAAAAAATTTAAAAAAGAATGATGATATATATTTAACAGGACCACATGGATCATTTATTTTACCGAATAATGTTATCGAAAAAAATACAAATTTAATTTTAATCGCAACAGGCACGGGGATATCTCCATATATATCTTTTTTAAAAAAAATTTGGGGGTATGAAAAAAATAAAAGTATAAAAAAATCAACTTATAATGGACAAATTCATTTATTTTATGGTATATATAATGAAGACTCCATTTTATATTTAGATGAACTAGAATACTTTAAGAAAATGTACCCATCTAACTTCCACATCAATTATATCTTTTCGGTTAATAAAAATACAGATGGTACTTCTCACTATGTGCAAGATGAAATATACAAAGGACGAGAAAATTTTCTGCGTCTTTTTAATGATCTCAAATGTGAACTTTACATATGTGGTCACAAGACTATAAGGCCAAAAATTATGGATATTCTGAAATGTCATCAATCTTGGGATCCTGAAAAACGAAGGAGAGTGCACGTGGAGGTTTACTAGTTTAATTATCAGCGCTACTGTTATGGTGGCGAATGACAATTATATCTTTTTCCGAGGTTACAGAATGGTTAATTCTGTTCCTACTTACCGTTTGATTATATGAGCACGTTTTTCTTTTTTTTTTTTTTTTTTATTTTATTTTTCCATTCTTTCGTTTGCACCCTTTTGTGTGTGTGTGTGGATTTTTTTTTTTTTTTTTTTTTTTTGTTTTTCCTTTTTTACAAATAAATTGCAAAAAAGGATTTTTTAATACAGTTCCTCTTATTCATTCGATATGTACCCGTTCGTAAAATGGGTATCTATGTCCACATACATCATTGCTTCTTTCTCTTGCGGAAAATGTAATACACAGTTACTACTTTTCAATGCTCAATTCTCCTTCTTGCGATTAAATAATGTAAAATAACTTAACAGGGAATTCGAAAAGAAGTCAAAGCACACGTTGCAGCAGCAGAGGAATAAAACCAGAATGCTGATCACATAGATGAGCCACCATATGGCATATGTCGCTATAAATAGAGAAAAGTTTTATATGTGATAAAATGCGATATTTTTTTTTTTCTTTTTTTTTTTTTTTTTGATATATTTCAAATAACTCGTGGTTATGAGCAAGGTGCATAATAAAGGTGCAAAATTATTTGGAAACTAACCCGGCGTGTGATAAATAACATACTTGGATAATCCTCTAGTTAACTGTTCTGCAAAAAGTTGAGAATGAGAAAAAGGAAAAAATTACTCGCATATGCTTATGTACCCAGATGAGGGTGCACCTATGCATTCGCAAAAAAAAAAAAAAAAAAAAAAAAAAAAAAAACACGCACACACACAAAGGTACAAACATAGGCACACAGGTAGGCATAAAAAGAGAGCAGTTTTTCCATAATGTGCTTCCTTTCATTTCCACTTACCATTGCATGGAGGAGGGACCTCAACCATTTCCTTCCCCCAGGTCAACATAGTCGAACTTTGTTTATCTTTTTGTGTCCAGCCATTATTACACTTACAAATGACTCTGTTGAGTTTAACTATAAAAAGGCATTTTCCGTTAAGACATGGATTTGTTTCTTCAGATGAGCATGGGTTATTTTCAATTTCGCAATTCTTACCCATATAAAAATCTCCACAGTCGCACAAGTAATATGGCTTCTTATCTATGGGTAGACATGTACCTTGAAGGGGTGAAGAAATAAGCAACTAAGTACATGAAGCGATATCAATAGATATATGCAAAGTAAGATACACAGGGGTGATATGACGAAAGTGATCGATCCCATCACAATCCTATGTACAAAGAAAAACTTCTTGCATGGAACTGCACTTAATTAGCACATTAGGATAGAAACCTATTTTTTTTTTTTTTTTTTTTTTTTCATAAATAAAATTATGCGATCATTTTTGCAACTCAAACCTCTTCTGCATAAGGAAACGGAACATGGTTCGTTCGTCCCGCGAATATTACAATCCCTATCACACATGTTCCATTTGTCCTTACAGTGTATCCCCTTTTCATTAGCATTACACAAGCATATTTTTTTATCGTTTTCTAATGTGTAGCAGCTGTTTTTACAATTATGGTTATCTGCGCATTTTAGGCAATTGAGAGTTCTTATTTTATTGTGTAAATAAAACAGCAACAAAATTTTTATGATCAATGTGGAATGTAGGACCATAACGAGGTAGCCCCTTTGGCTTGCTTTATAGACAAGTGTGGAGAAAGGAGGGAAATATGCATAAATACGCCTCTAAAAAGGGAAATACACACACCTGCAGCATATACACATGTAAACACATACATATGTAAACACTTGCATATGTGTATATATATATGTGCACATTCAAGTATACTTGTACATCCATCGAAGGGATGCATAAAAGGAGATGGTTAAGTGGTATAAAAGGCTTAAACACAGTAATTGGTGAATACACATAATTATTTTTGTGCTGTAAAATCATTCGTCCAAAAGTGTTCTTGCTTCACGTACTCCGTGTGGTAATTATTTTATTTTGTTTAATTATTTTACACATTTATTCATTTATCTGTTAATTCATTTGTTTATTCATTTGTTTGTTTGTTTCTTTATTTCATTTATTTATTTTATTTTTTTTTTTTTTGCAATTGTGAAAAGATCAATAGTGAGAGTAAATTTTTCGCTTTTTCCACCTTATTTTTACTTCATCACAAGCCACTTTATCAAATCCTTATTGAGCCATGGATCACTATGCTTATTTATGTATTCATTTTTTTTTTTCCCTTTTTCGAGGTCATTTTTCATTTCTCCATGACGTGTCCAACTTATCCCTAACGTGTTAACATCGTGCCCTTTTTTTTTTTTTTTTTAGCAATGGAAATAAAATTGCAACAAAAAAAAAAAAAAAAAAAAAAAAAAATACAAATTTTAACAAGATAAAACATAGATAACTTTTTACAAATAAGATGAAAGTTTACAACTACTTGCATGTTTGTATGTACCCAGGTATAAGCACGCCTTGTCGCGTTCATAATTTTGTGTGTACACCACGGGGATATATGTGCAGAAATTTTCTAACTCTAGTGTGTTGATTGTTATATAGTCATTTCAATACACATGGAGGAGAGAAGAAAATAAATAAAATAAAATGGAGTAAAATATAAGTGGGGTAAATATATTGGGGTAAAAAAAGTGGGGTAAATATAATGGGGTAAATAAAGTGGGGTAAAAAAAATGGGGTAAAATAGAATAAAATAAAGCAGAATGAAATAACATGTAAATTGAACAAGCCATAAACAAATATATATATATATATATATATATATATATCTTAGTTGCGAACGATGATAATAACACATGAGGGTGATAATTTTTTTTGCAGTCTCGAATACACAGGGAGAATGATAAATGCAGGATACACACGATCTAGGCAGATACATTCGTGTATATACGCATGCACATATGTATATGTATAAAATAATAGGTGCTATCCCTTTCCTTCGAGTGGGATAATTTGGAAAAGAATATTTCCCAACTTGTTTTAGAGTAACCAAGAAAGTACATCTCCTGTAGATATCACATGAACAAAGCTCTCTCTCCCTCCCCCCTCCTCTCCCCATTCTTTTTGTATTCCGATAGTAGACAGATTGACTGTTAATACTTTTGCGAACGCAATTTAATCGAAGGTAAAGGTCCATCGGATTCTGGCCAAGAGACAGAAATTCCATTTTGAAAAAGCATAGGTTTATACTGTGGTATGGGTATAGTCATGATAGCAGAATTTCTGTAATGCTCAATGTTGGCTTTTAACCCTTGTACTCTTCCCCATGTAACTGTACATATTTTATTACTTTTAAAAGCATTTAATTTATAGTTATTAAAAAATCGTATGAACAGTTCAGCATAATAAGGATGTATAAAATTTATAAAGGCATATCCAACATTACATTTATTTCGGAAATCAATTGGTAAATAAAAAAAATCATACAATCCTTTAAAATGTTCATTCATAACATTCATTAGCATTTTCTGTGTGTACTTATTCGGTATATTTCTTAGCATAACAGTTGTCAAAATATTAGTATTATTATTGTCAAGGTTATGAATGTTCAGAATTGTCCCAAGTGGAATAGAATCTTCACATTTGTAAATTACTTCATTTGTGCAATTGTCTCTAAGTCTACTATGGGAACAACAACAATTGTCTATGGGTTCTATATTACTATTAGATAACTCAACTTGGTTAATTCGTTCATCTCCTTCATACTTAAGTGAATTTACCTTATCTTCATATCCACTGCTTCTCGAAATGTAACAATTGGAGCTAGGAAAAACACTTTCATTGTCTTTGTAATAGTTATTATAGGAAAAATAAGCATCTCGTTTTTCATCCTTTGGATATGTCTTAAAAGAAGCATCTGATTTTTGACCCTTTGGATATGTCTTAAAAGAAACATCTGGTTGTGTCTTCTCCTCTTCCATTCTCTCATTATTAATTACTTCCCCAATGTTTATGATATCCTTCCCGTTCATAATATCGTTGTTCCCAATAAACTCCTCACTCCTTATAGTTCCTCTACCTCGAATTATGTCTTCACTTCTAATAATGGTAAGTTCTTTTATATTTCCAACTAAGTTTGATTTCTCATGTTTAACCATTTCATTGCCGTCCTTGTCACTATCAAAATCAGAATTCATCTGAATCATGGTAGTAATAGTATTCAGTTCGCATGCATTCCCCTTATTTTCAAAGCACTTCAAGTTGAGTTTATTAACTAACGAGTACCTTAAATTTTTTTTCTCATGAATTCCATCTTTAAAGTAGTTAAATTTATGCTTAATGAATACTTTGTTTTTTTCATTCGTCAAAATGTTGTTCAATTTTGCAAATTCATTTTCATTATTTTCCTTTTTGTTGTTATAAAGCACGTATGGTGATATGTATGTGTTCTTCACATGTACAGTTGTTTTGTTCTGCGTCCCTTTTTTCGAGACATTTTCTTTGCTTGCGAAATTGGCATCCCTCAAATGGTTATTCATTTTAAGAAAATATTTTTCTCTTCAAAAGCCTTTCACGAAAGTAGATTCCTACGCCAAGGTAGTGTTCACACCAAGGTAGAAATTACACCAAGGTAGAATTTACACCAAGGCAGCGTTTACACACAGATAGCTTTTTCACTGCCGTTTCACAATCCACTTATATGTCACAGATTTGGGCAGTAACTCATAGATATGTTTTGTTTTTTTTCCTCTTATTTTATTTCCTTTCTATGTTCACTTTGGCTAGAATGATTCGATTTTAATCTTGGTAGATGATTAGTTCTACTTTTTTTATTCTTATCTTTATTTTTGTTTCTTTCACTTCCTCCAGTTTCTGCAGCGGGAAATTTCTCTATACACATGCCAAGTGATGCTCTTTTTTTTTTTTTCAGTTCCTTTGCTAGTTTTGTTCTTTTGAAGGTGTATCCGTCATAATTATTATGAACCTTTTTTGAAATTTTCTGTCATTTTTATGGAGAATGTTGTGGCAATGCTATGGATATATTCTGCCAATTTTCTAACAAACTGATGGTAATTTTGTCCCCATTTTTTTGTATCATTCCTGTTATTCCATGAAATTTGGGGGAAAGACTATTCTGAGCAATCGGCACAGAATTTTTGCCACTAGAAAAAAAAAAAAAAAAAAAAAAAAAACCCAAATAGTCACCATATCCCGATTTTTTTATTTTTATGAGAAAAGGTACAAAAATGAAAAAAACATGGAACCTTACCTATAGAATTTTCACTTTTGTGAAATTTTATTAGTTATTATAATTAAAATGACGTATGTTGTGGGATGTTGTGAAATTAGAGAAAAATGTTCCATTGTTTCATTGTGCAGAGACATTCAAAACCAATACACATTTCATTAGTGGCTAAAAGTTGCAAAAGTTGTCACGCCACCATCTTACCAGTTTCTCCTTTTGCACACACACCTTCTTTTACACAAATGTTATTACCCATTTCCACAATCTTTCAAAGTGATAGAAGAGAAAAAAAAAAAAAAGAAAAAAAAAAAAGAACAAAAAAAGAAAGAAAAAAAGAACAAAAGAGAAAAAGTGCAAAGGAGCAAAATGAATGGACGGGAAGAGCATAAAAGAAGGGCTTTTTTCAAAACATATTAGTAACAACCTCTCTATGTGATAATAAAAACAAACTTGCTTGCGAATAGTGAGACGGTAAGGAGAGAAAAAAAAAAAAAAAATACTATACCGCTTAACTTGGTGATCTGAAGTGATATAAATGGATTCGAAATAAATGAACAATAAGTCTGTAAAATGTGTAGGAAGACCTATGTGATGAGAAAGTACAAAATTTAAATAACTTCAACGCATAGAGAGGATAAGCTCATTTAAGGTATTATCCGATGGGACGTAGAGACAAGTGATAAACTATTAGAACAATCTTTTGCATTCACCTTAAGAACCTGGTTGACATATGCTTTTAACAAACTTGGATTTATATTCCTCGTTCTATAGAATAATGCACGTTGTATAGTCCGGTCAATTTATGCAATAAAAAAAAAAATAAGTGGCCATTTTGCGAATAAAAAATTTCTAGTTAAAAAAAATGAAAATACAGCGTTATGATCATTACGATGATGATGAAGGCAAAGCGCATCGATAGTTTTTTTCTTTCCATTTACATAATCCACTTTAGTTGTGCATGTGGAGAGGACAAAAAACGACCAAAACGTAACTCTATTTGGTACTTATAATTTATCTTCCATACTTAGAATTTTTTTTTTTTTTTTTTTTTTTTTTTTGTGTAAAGTTAATTAACTCCCTTTAAATTTTTTCAAAAAAGAGCAGAAAAATCCTCACACGTTTTAAAACACACATTAGAATGCACGTATGGATAAAGTGCACGTACATTTTGAGACTATTCACAGAAAAAAAAAAAAAAAAAAAAAAAAGTGAAACGAAATAAACTAAAATAAACTAAAATAAATGACGTAACCTAAAAATAAAAAATATGGCAAAGGACTTGTATAAAATAACTACATTTTACATGCTAAATCAAGGAGTGCACATAAAAATGAAGAGATATTTTTGTACTTTTCTTCCATTTTATTTTTTTTCCATTTACCATTTATTTTATTTTGTTAATTTAATATAGACAAATTATAATTGGCAAAATCCCAGTTAACTTTGTTTAACCATTCTGAAAAGTGTGTGCGAAGGAATAATAAGAAAAGTGAAATGAATTGCCTCACGCATTTTTGACTAAACATAATGCATTGCAAAACGTAATAACAATAGTAACAGGCCCATGCCTGTGAGATTATCAACTAGCTAAAGGATATAAATACATGTACATGCAGGGGTATATAGTATATAGAATTATTTCTTTGTTTCTTTATTTCTTTATTTTTTCCTTGCCTTTTACGTAATCAGCTCTGGCATTTTTATAATCTACGTAGTATGCATGCTCCCAAACATCTTGAGAAAAAGAAAAAAAAAAAAAAAAGGGTAATGTGTGCAACAGAATTTTATATACACTTATAAACATTCCAAGGTATTCCTCATTTTCGAAATTATAGTAATTTGAGGATTTTATTTGGATTTAAATTACAACTTTTCTTCATATTTGTACACACCTAGGGTTAGGATAGGCCGGCCAACGTTGTTTTTTATAGGATTATCAGCATCATGTCCTTGGTAAATTTTTAACTTTTTGTCCTTCATTATTAGCCATATCCAACCACTCCCAAAATGTCCTGAACAAAGAAAGGACGTAGTGAAAACGAAAAAAATACACAAATATTCAATTTTCAAAAAAAAAAAAATATATGCTATATGATTAAACATATGAACTGTTTAGCCATAAATACCTGTTGCTTCTTTTAAAAATATTTCCTTAAAATTTTCAAAAGAGTTAAAAGAATCTTCGATTTTGTCCTTAATTTCTCCGTATGGCATCCCTCCTCCTCCCTCTTCTTTTATTCCAAGCCAAAAAAAATTATGATTAAAAATTTGAGCTGTGATAAATGGGTATTGTGAAAGTGCTGCAAATGTGACTCGTGTCTTAGAAGCATAACATAACCATGTTACACATTCGAATTATCTAAAAAGAAATAAACACAATGAAATATCTAGCCCCTCTATTTTGTATGAAATCCCTCCAAGCATTACACAATCTGTGTGAATATAACTTTACCAGCATTGTTATAAATTGGTCCATTGTATTTTTCTATCACTTCTGAGATGAGAAAAAAAAAAAAAAAAAAAAAAAAGGCATTGTCATAAAAGGGTATAATAATACAGCTTTGTGAAAACACCATACTTACACATGTTAATGTGTCAGATCGGTGGCTGTCATTACATATAATGTGTCTTGAGAAGTAAAAATTTTAATATTACGCACGAATTCTTATACCCAGTGAAAAATGTGCTTGCTCACCTTCTAAGGTTAGGTTTCTTAGTTCTCCATTTTGTTCTGTTAAATCTTCAAACGAAGTTCAAAAAGGGAGTAAAAAAAGGAAAGAAAATAAAAGAAAACGTGCAAAAGGGGATGAAAGTGGGTACAGAAAAATTATATATTTTTCCATTTAAAAAAAATAAATAAAAAATGCACACAAGAAAAGACGAACGAAGGGGCTAGGAAAAACTACGCAACGTGCCGCGGAACCCCAAATGTTTTTCCAAATGGAATCAAGCTAATTTCAACAAATCTCATTTAATACTATTTAAGTTTTTGACATAGGTAGCGTGATGTTTGCTGTAATGGTATTTTATAGATTCTTCACTAAGGAAAGGTAACATATTCTGGGGATTCTACGTAAATGTAGACAAAGAGGGGTTGTTGCACCTTTGTGTGTGTGTGTGAGGTGGTGTGTTGGTAGGAGGATGCACATAATACTTTGTACGAATTTGTCCAGATAAAGTGTAATTATTTATGTGCTTATTTAAGTCACTTCTATGCTTCCACTTAAACATATTTCTATGAAAGTTAGAAGAAAATGTACTTACAAATGGAAGTTTCATTAATGAGAATGGTTTCGAATCCCATAGAGATTTGACTCCCCAGCTGTCATACAACATGTCATCCACTTTGGATGAACATTTGGTGTCCTTTTTTCCTTCATATGGACGACCAAAAAAGGTTAGGTAGCCAATTTTGTTTATTCTTTTAAGCCCACGAGCACCTAGGGTAGGTTTAGAAGAAAAAAAAAAAAAAAAAATTGATGGTGATGATGTGGATATCGATCAAGCTGTCAATGAAGCAGGAGATGGAAGCCGCGAAAGAGAAAGAGGAAATATTGCAACGTTGGAAAAAATGCATTTGTAAGTTTGGTGATACATGTGTGATCTAGCATATGTAGGAATTAATGCACTCACGCAATGACACATGGATACATAGATTCATACATACATAAACACAAAAACACACACATATGCGGGCATGTACACAAAAACACAGTGAATGCGTGGTGGTCATGGGATCACCCTGTCAATTAGAACCTCTTAATATGCCTTGCTCGAAAAGGAAAAATAAAAAGAATAAATACAAAACATTAAATAATGTCATTTTTAAATTTTCCCCTGAGTATGTGTTGTACTTTATAACATATCATGAGATCAATCCAGATGGACGTTTTTCAGTTTTTCCATCCAACGGAAATAGTTGGATAAGTATTTAAAAAAAAAAAAAAAAAAAAAAATGTAGATGGAGCATAGAGACTATTACGTTTATTCTGCAAAATCATTTTGAAAATGCTAATTTCAAGGAACATTTTGAACCCTCAATGTGTAACCTTAACTTTGACGAACATTTTGTGCCCCTATTTGGCAATGACGCTAAGTTAGCACTTTTTCCTTTTTTTTCTTCTTCATTTTTCTTTTTTTTTTTTTTTCTTTTTTTTTTTTTCCCCCTTCTGGTACATACAAGGTTGCATACATTTTTGTGCCTCCCTCAGGTGATTCGCACCTATCAATTATGCAAAGCACAGTAAAAAAAAAAATAAAATAAATAAATAAAAAAGTCTCTATCTATTATGTATTTATTCAAAACCACATTTTTTTTTGTACAATTGAGAGAGAGAAAAAAAAAAAAAAAAAAAAAGAGATATCAAGGAAACTCACTAAATTGTCTTGTTTTAATATTCAAAAGAATAAAATAAGTTTTTTGTACTAAAAAGTAGAATTATTCATACCTTTTTTTTTTTTTTTTTTTTTTTGTTTACATTAAAGTAGTGGTGATTTCCTTTTACACTCCTAGTTTAAAGAGAAAATCGATGTAAGGTGTTTTCATTTATCTCTTTTTTATGCATGTGGGTAAAGCTCCTCAAAGAGCGATGGGTAAGGATCGGGGGAAAGAAAGATCCTTTGTGTTGAAACAATGAATTGGTCATTTAAAAAAAAAAAAAAAAAAAAAAAAAAGATGCAAAACAAAGCGCAAAGTAAATTCAAAATTGCCAATCTATCGAATTGATTAGCTGCCATATTGTGTACCACCTGAATTGAATAACTCTATATGAATGAGAAGAAAGGTAAATTCAAATATTTGAACTTTTCTCCTAACTTTGTATTTCCCTCAGTCTGCTCGCGATCCCAATTCGGGGACCTAGGGACATTTGTTCCTTTTCATCATTAAGGTATCGTGAAAAACGCAGGGAAAAATTGATATCATAGGCTAGAAAAAAAAAAAAATACATTACTAAGAAATGCATATGTATATATACATATATATATATATATATATATATATATATATATATATATATAAAATTCTTGATAAAGTGAAAACATGTGAGTCACATTACGTATGCATGTAATATATGTATACACTGCATACTTTTGTGTTCCCCACCTCTTTTCATCCATTATTGTACCCTTTGTTATTTCTTCGTAATCGGTATGCTGCAATAGGTATATCTATGCTTCCTATTCTTCACGTGCGCCCCTGTTCAATTTTTTTTTTCAAACGGGTTTTTAAAACATTCGTCCAGCATTGCATTGCGTTGCATTACATCTTCCTTTTGAAAATCGAAAAAAAAAAAAAAAAAAAAAAAGAATAAAGAAAAAGATGAAAAAAAAGAAGAAATAAAGAAGAAAATATAGAAGAAAATAAAGAAGAAAATATAGAAGAAAATAAAGAAGAAAAAAAATTTTGCATAAATCCCAATGGAATAGAAAAATAAATCAAACATAATTAAATAACAAAAAATAAACACTAGCTTAATCAAAGGAAAATAAAAAGGAATTTTTTTACCCCAAAGGCTAAAAAGAAAAAAAAAAAAAAATAGTACTAGCTAATTTTTTTTTTTTTTTTTTTATGCTTGTATTTTTACGCTTTCAAAATATATTTAATACGCATATAATATATATATATATAGATAGATAGATATCCCATACAAAAGAGAACACAATTTTAAATGCTTTATGCGTAGCTTTTTATTACATGTTCTGGTTGAGAAAGGAAAAACGCCATACATTTTCATTTAAAAACAGTACATGCTGTGACAGTCGTAGCAGTTGTGAATTGCCAAATTGCATTTTTTCCCACACCGAACTGCAATATATAGAAAGGTTTTAGAGAAAAATGGTATAACAGAAGATGAAACAGAGTTTTTGATCCTCAAATGTTGCATTCTATGTTTACAAGATATACCTTATACCTGTTTCAAACCAGCATTGTACAACAGACTCACATGACTAGGTGCTCGTCCCACATGAGACTCTAGCCACATACTTGACGTTGGATTCCATAACATTGGAGGAAGACAACTGTTGTTACGACCGGATTGACCTATAAAATTGAGTCATACCAAAGGTCAATATGTATAATTAGATATATATATATATATATATATATATATATATATATATATATATGACCAACCCATACAAGCATTATTACTCCTAAGTGCGTATTGAAAAAAAGGGTGGTGGTGTAAGTAATTACAACCTTGTGCACCTCAGAATAAATTCTTCGATCAATTTGTAGAGGTGGGAGAAAACTGACGACTCATCGCCACGTCACTATGCTATTACGCATGTTTTATAATTAATTCTTTACTTTTCTTTTATAAGCACACCATCAATCCTGCTCCTAAACCACTTCTGCTTCTACACCACTGGCTGACATGTATTACGACCCCTTGGTAGCACTGGTTAACCTCTCCCCAGTGGAAAAATTGACAGAAGAATCATCAAAAAAAAAATCGAGGTGGGGAAATAATTCTTCCACAAGTGCGAATTTAGAAAATAAAGTAGTTCAGAGTAAATGGGGACCAGAAGAAAACAAACCATATTTGCCACTACCATTTGTTGACATTCCACCTGGGTTAACACCATCTCAACTAGACCAATTTTTGCGTGAACAAAGATATGATGAGTTAACAAAAAAATTAAACAAGGGGGAATTAGAATATGTAGATCCAGATATACGTCCCCCCTCACCACCACCCATATATGATAAAAATGGAAGTAGGATAAATACTAGAGAAGCAAGAGTAAAAAATTGTATGATTGAAGAACATCATAGATTGGTAGAATATTTACTAAAACATGTAGAAGGATTTATTGCTCCACCTAATTATAAACCAATAAAGAAAATAAGAAAAATTGAAATTCCCATTGATAAATATCCAGAATATAATTTTATGGGTTTAATTATTGGTCCTAGAGGCTGTAATCATAAAAGATTAGAAGCAGAAAGTGGTGCTCAAATAAGTATAAGAGGTAAAGGTACCTTAAAAGAAGGAAAAAAAACAGATCATCAAACTGAAATTGAAGCTAATATGCCTAAGCATGTTCATATATCAGCTGACAGTGAAGAATGTGTTGAAAAAGCTGTTAGTTTAATTACGCCATTGTTAGATCCATTTCATCCCTTACATGATGAATATAAAAAAAAGGGACTTGAACAATTGGCTCTTGTAAACGGTATTAATTTAAATCAATTAGAATCCCAACGATGTTCTATGTGTAATTCTACTGCGCACATGACTTTTGAATGTCCTGAAAATATGAATCTCCAAAATTTTAAGAAACCAGAAATTAAGTGCACTTTGTGTGGAGATCATGGACATATAACTCTTGATTGTAAGTTGGCTAAAGCTAATAATGGAAAAATAGATTCGGAAACATCACCATCGAATGCAGCTACTGGAGCAGGAAGCGTGGGGGTTAATAATGTTCCAGTCCCACCTTCCACCATGCCACCACCACCCAGTGATAAACCAAAAAGAAAAACATACAATCAAACATCCAAATTTGAAAAAATAAAAATAGACATGGAATACAAAAAAATGATGAGTGAACTGAATCCAGATAAAGATAACGCAACCATTTCCACCACCAGCGATATAAGGAAAAACGGAAATGAACATACCAGCTATTCCTCCAGCAACACAAATGTGAATAATAAGAACGATTTCCCACTGACAACAAATAATAACATTACGTTAGGAGACACAAATATCGAGGTGCCAACCAATTTTCAAGATCTGAGTACTATCTTTCAAAACACCAATATGAGTAATATCGGTATCACCAATAACAATAATAGCAATAATAAAAGTGGCAGAGGTGGTAGAGGTGGAAGAGGAAATAAAAATAACAAAAATTTTAATAATGGTATTATGCCTCCTCCAATGAACAGCAAAAATAAAAACAACCCCAATTTGATACCATTAGGTCAAAACAATAATGCATTTAATGAAGATATAAGAAATCCAAATACATCAACCAGTTCATATGATTCATACTCCAAGAGTAATAGAAATAGTTCTATAAAAAATTCAAATAATAAAAATTATAATACATTACCCACAAATTATCAAGGCTCCAATAATATGCCCATAAATCCACCTCTTCCTGTGTTACCAAATTTTTTTAATTTTCCGTTTATGAATAATGGCATGGTACAAGGAGGTTCTATGCCATACCCCAATGGGCAGCAGTTGCCAATGGATTCCCTCTACATGCATGGCTTTCCAGGTAAAAAAATAAAGAGGAAAAGAGAGAAAAAAAGAGGAAAAGAGAGGAAAAGAGAGGAAAAAAGCGGAAAAGTAAATAAATAAAAAAAAGAACATGTGCATCGATTTGGCAAAAAGATATTTCACTCATTTTATCATCCATGTTCCATTTCGTCTATGGTGCAACCCATTACATGTTCATAATAACTGTTTTACCATTTATATACAGGTTGGTCACAGATGCCCATGAATTACTCAGATGATGTGCTAGCACATGCCGCTGCACCAGACACAAATCCACCACCGTTGCCATCGGAAGGCGTGAATAATCAGGATGGTGCCAATATTACTTGAACCCTTGTAGAGGAGAAACAGATTCAGGGATGAAAAGTGAGCCACAGTTAAGCATGTTTATGCATATATATTAATATGTGTGCATATATATATATATATATATATATATATATATATATATTTACCTATACACGCACATAACATACATATGTAACACCAAAAAAAGAAGAAAGTGCACATCTCCCACGTATCGACGATGCAAAAAATAATGAAAAAACAGGAGTGAGTATAAACACGTGTATATATATATATATATATATATACTCGGATATGCATGTTGAATGAATTACCTACACAGAAAAAATACCCCATGAAAACATATACCCACGTGGCCATTTCTTCTCACCCCCTACCTCCCAAATAAGTCGGATTCTTATAAAAAAAAAAAAAAAAAAAAACCATTCCATATTTTTAAATGCGATCCTTTGTCATTAGAGATTCATTTATGGATTCTCTCCATCGACGATGGTACTCGTGAAAGGAGGAGAGGAGAGGGGGTCATTTTCAAGACAGCTTTGTTTGAGTGTTTGTAGTTCTTCAATGGCAACCTCTCCCCCTCCCCCCCCCCCTTTTTTTTTCTCTCACCGGCCTATTGCTTCACCTCTTTTAACGATTTTGTTAATATATGTATAATTGCATTGGAAACTCTTTTTTTTTCGTCATTTACTGAATCTATATTTGTATAAATTTTAGGAAACTTTGTATGTAACCAGCAGTACAGGTCGATTATTTCATAATATACCTCAAGTACACTGATGTATTCATAGAACCCTATGTTTGGTGGGTTCAAATCCTGTGGAACGATTCGATGGGTCACACTCTTGTCCTCAGGTAAAGAAAATAAAACATTTGTATCTAATGGGAAATTCAGACAACCTGTATTTTTTTCCATCAGCTCCTGTATGTAATTAGAGCTGGGAAAGAAGCTGCAGCTCCTTGGTTCCTCCATGCCAGCTGTATGATGCTTTCCCCACAAAACCTCATTTCGAAGTTTACCGCTAATCTCATTGCGAACCCCATCAGTGATTCCGTTAGTGGCTTCTCCATTGATGGTGTTCCCATGAAATAGTAACCCACTGGTAAGCAGATCTAAGTTGCTTAATTCTCCCTTTATGTTCTCAGCACCTTTAACACCCTCCACTTCATTAGTAGGAATAACAACCATGTCTCGACTTATGCATTGAAAAAAATCCACAAAACCTAATATCTCATGACACATAGCAAATGTTTTCAATGCAGTTAACATATTAACGTTATTTATATTTATTGGGGATAATGTGTATGCAAAGAGTATTTTGGTGTCCAACTTTGAATTCTTTAAAAATTTAGCAATAAATACCATTTGGTTATAATTTTTTGTAAGAAAGAAATAGACATCATTTATTTTTACATAATCCACCAGTATTTGCAAAATTTCATGTAGTTCAATTTTAGCCTTGTGTTCAAATTCTAACAATTTTTTTAATTTATCAATCATATTAAAATCAGGAAAATATCCTGCACGTGTAAACGAATCCTTCCTTTCTTTAAGATTAAAAAATGAATCTGCAGAATTGTCCCCTCTTATACTGCCCAATTGGGGGGGGTCAATTCTCACACTTAATGTTTCAGTATCGAAGAAACTGTTCCTATTCCCATTTAATTTAGTAACAACATCTTGCAGAACTTTCTCATTTTTTGATTGTAAAATATGTGATGTATCTACATAAGGATTATTCCAATTATCTTGTACATCTGCGCATGTATTGTTTTTCCCTTCTCTTTGAGCCATCATGTCAGTAGAGAGATTTCCAATATCGTCCTTCTCCACACTACTTTCAATGGGCGCACCAATGTTTTCTCCCCTAAATATTCTTTTAACAATGTGTAAATCATGCGAATGTACACAAGTAACATAACCATTTATGGGTTCTGTGGACTCCTGGTAAAATCTTCCAGCTCTTCCGGATATTTGTAGTACTTCTGAAATACTTAAATATCTTAACTTATATCCATCAAATTTCTGCAAAGAATAAAATATGATCCTTTTTATGTTGATATTCACCCCCATACCTATAACATCCGTTGCGATTAATATAGTTTCCTTCTTAGATTTGGATAACCTTGAATATTTACCTCGGTGGTCCTGGAGTCTCATTCTTTCTTCGCGGTCATCTTCTACTTCTTCCTTTTCTACTTCTTCCTTTTCTACTTCTTCCTCTTCTACTTCTTCCTCTTCTACTTCTCCCTCTTCTACTTCTCCCTCTTCTACTTCTCCTCCTGCTCCAACTTCAACCGTTTTATTCTCCTCTGTACAGTACCAATTGAAGAGTTCAATTTGTTTTTTCTTCGACTCAGGGGGCAAGGACCCGTAAATTATAAAAACTCTTTTATTCATCCCTTCCAATCGATGCTTCAACAACATTATGTTATTTCGAGAAAAGGTTATTACACAATCACCTGTCTTGAGATTTTTCAAATCCTCTGTATTTTCCTGTACATGTAATTTGGTTAATCTTTTGAATCGCTTTATTATCAATTCATCATGTAGAAGGTCAGACAGATTTTTAATTAAATTGACGACATTTTCACTTCCACATAAATATATCTCTTCACAATTTACGTTTAGAAGAACGTTTGTCCAAGAGTATCCTCTTGTATCATTGCTAATCATCTGAATTTCATCAATTAAAACACAATCATAATTTCTATTCAATGGAGTCATTTCTATTGTACACACTGTGTGTGAAGGATTTTTTTTTTCAATTATTTCCTGACCTGTTAATAAATTAGTAACTTTATTTAATTTAATCAATTTTTTGTGTATTTCCCATGCTAATAATCTTAAAGGAGCACAATACAACCCATTATTTGATTTACATAATTTCTTGAAAGCTTCATATGTTTTCCCACTATTAGTTGGACCAATGTACAAGTGTAATTTTCTTCCTTTTTTTTTATTTTTTACAAGTGTACTCAATTCACTAAAGTCGCATATTCTCTTAACATGTTCATAAAAAATCCACTGCTTGTAGTAATATTTTTTTATAAAAGACAGAAAAATATTTAAAACTTTTTCATATGGCATCATGCATTCCTTGAATGTGCTTCTCCTTTCCTGTGACATTTCACTTATCTCCTTCTCTTCACTCGATACCATATGGGAAAAGCAATCTCTTGTTTCTTTCTTTGTTTCATTTCTCTCTACATTCAGCAAAAATTCCCTCAAATCATATGAATGACTTGTGTTTTCTATGAGATATTGCAAAAAATGATTTCTCACATCATTGTCTAATAAAAAAAAACTAGGTATTTTGTATGTATGCACAATATGGTGTAGTAACTCATTATCATTTATAACTCGAATTAAGACATTTCTTATTTTTTGTAATTCGTTGTCATGAAGTGGGATCAGCTGTTGCACCTTTCGATATTCTTCATTAATTTTTTTAACACAATTCTCCCTCGGATTACTCTCCATCTGGATTTTTTCTGAATGCAATGAGGTAGCTTCTACTTTACCACATGTCTGTATCCCTCCGCTGCACTTCTTGCTTGTGACGCTAAGCACTCGCACCTTCCCAGCGTTTATGAAGTTCCAGCATCTTTGAGCACCACTTTCAACTTCCCTTTCCTTGCGACAAATAAGCACAAAACATTTTAACATTGTTTTTCCTTTTCATGTGTTTACTCGGAAGTAAAGAAAAAAAAAAAAAAAAAAAAAAAGAGTCCACTTTGGAAACGCAACATTGAGACGTAGCAATGTTGTAATGTTGCAGTGCTGCAGTGCTTTAATGCTGTAATGTGTCCATTCTTGGAAGATTACGAACGTGAAACTAGAGCTTAAGGCACGTACAACATGTTTTCACAAAAAAAAAAAAAAAAAAAAATATACACCTTCCATTAAATATACAAATTTTTTTTTTTTTTTTTTTAATCTACGCATGGGACCAAAGTTTCGTAACATTATATTACCACAGTGTTTGTTATCTCACTATGAAACGATGGTAGGAATATTTTCCCTTGGTCTATTTATTTTTTCATTTTTATAAAATATACTCTTTTCTCGGGGAAATTCTCCCCTTCGTTGTGTCATTTGGAAGAGAAGTAATGATGTGGTGAAGTGACGAGGTAGCAAAACGACGGGAAGGGAAAAAAAAGCAAATCCATTTACAAGACTATGTCATATTGGTTGTTTTTCCACCGGTCAAATGACAGATCATTTATTGTACCACTTTGGAGAGCACTTTTGGGTAAAAAATTTGAAGAAGTTTCATCTTGATATACAATATCAAGATAGGAATCATGAATGTAACGAATCCTTTAGAGGGTGATATGGTATATACATGCACTTTTTTACATGTTTATTATGTTTGAAAATTTTTAAAAAAATATATTGAGAAAATCAAAGTAGAGGCACAAACATGTTTTTTCTATATATTTGGGGAATTCTTTTATATGCACCCATAAAACAACTTTTTTTTTTTTTTTTTCTTTTTCTTTTTCTTTTTCTTTTTTTTTTTTTTTTTTTTTTTTTTTTTTTTTTTTTTTTTTTTTTTTTTTTTTTTTTTTACACGATTCATTATTGCACTGTGGAGAAAAACCTGGCATGTCCATTCAACATCTGACACATGAAGGCTTTCCCCTTAAATCTACGCTTTCATCAAAATTTAAAAAGAATTAATATATGTACCCTCCGGTATGCACCTTACATGTTAGCAATGTGCTGAATGACATGAACAATGGATACGCGCATTAATAATATTCACAATAATAAAATACACACATATGAGGACACGCCTTGAACAACTGAGAACCCCTTTTTTCTTCATTTTCTCTAAAATTAAAAAATAGCAACTTTGAGAACAGCGTGTCAATAAATACATTGTTTCATTTAGGACGTTAAGGTAACCATTCCTTTTTTTTTTTTTTTTTCTTTTTTACAAAATGTTTTGTATAATGTTTAAAATGTTCTACACTTATTCCTCATCGCTTAATTTAGCAAGTTTTAAAATCGTTGTAGATTATTCCTATATCAAAGTCTTTTTATTATGTATATGCAAATATTCAACTATTTTTGTAACATGAAACGTAATTTTTCTCTTCCTGTTCTCTCCTTCTCCCTTTTTTCCAATGCTTACCAAAATTTAATTAAAAAAAAAAAAAAAAAAAAAAAAAAAAAGTTGAAATTCATGAAATCTATACAAGTTTTTATTTACAAAAAAAGTTAGAAGAATAAATAGAAACGAAAAAAATTAACATTAAAAACCCAGTATATATATATATATAGTACATGTAACTCAACATTGATGCTTAAAACAAGTGCGTGTAATGTTGGTGTGGGGACACAAGCGAAGGGTTCGCGCCTTCTTGTGTGTGCATTATAGTTCATTCATTATGCGATGTAAAAACACTAGGGCCAGACAAGATAAAAGTGTGTGTATGTGGACCTTTCAAGACGGTATAAGTTTGTTCTTGTGTTCTTATTCTTCTCTCTTATTCTTCCTCTTCTTCCCTGTATGTGTGTGATGTGTATAACTCAAGGGAGTCCGCTTGACAAGTTGATAATTCAGAAGATTTTAATTTAATACAGGGTATTACACTACTACACACACTTAATTCAAGTGTAGTAGGGGGAATAGTTTGTCTATGAATACACATGTGTTAAAATGTGTCATTTTTTTGCTAAAACGTTAAGCGTTTAGAACAAAATTAAGTATATAATACATAATGCTGAGCATATACCAAAACGAGCACAAGAATGAATCAAACGGTATGTCATAAATACACAAGTGCTGAGGGCAAATTTTATCGACTGTGATGTGCTTCTTCGTGGGTTAAGTGATTTTAAAAAAAAATAAAACAATATATAATGTAGTAATGTAATATAATACAGTATAATAAACTAATTAGTGTGATATATTGAGTCGGAATAAGAAAAAAGGATTTGCGCTAGAAATAATGGCTTCACCTTTTTTTTTTTTTTTTTTTTTTTTTTTTTTGCCATGATACAAAATCAGTAATTGTGTTGTCTTTCCCCAAATATTAAGTGGCCCCCATCCTCCCCCTCTGCTGCACCAATAGGAAGGATTATATATAAAAATAAATTAGGAGAATCTACTTATATATATGTATACATATTTACTCCTTTACTATGGGTATGCCTATTTTTGCACGCATCAAAAACCCTAGTCATTATTCAATGACCTTTATTTTCTTCAAACATTTATACATCTCATATGCACAAGGTCTCTCCTCGGGTGTAAAACTAAAACACCTTTGGAGACATTTTTTGATCGAATTCGGTAAAAAATTTGGGATATGGGGAGTTTTTTTATTAACTAATAACTCATGACGAATTTTTACATTTTTGGACAAATTATGATAGGGATATTTACTTGAAAATATTTCAATGACACAACAAGCTAAACTCCAAATGTCAATTTTTTCAGTAACTTCAGATGTACAACTAAATGTTTCAGGGGCCATATACCTGTAAGAGCCAAAATTACTATAAAGCTTGGAATTCTTAAATCGAGCCTTTCCAAAATCACACATAACCAGGTGCATATTATTGTCAATTAAAACATTTGATGTTTTTATATCTCCATTAATTACTGGTGGATTATGTGAATGAAGCCCATGTACTATATAACAAATTTCAGATGCCCATGCTAATCTCTGCTTTTTATGAATTTTATTTTTATTCTTTAAAAAATTAAATAAATTTCCCTTAGCATAGTACTCTAACAATAACATTAATTTGTTCGATTTTATACATATACCATAAAATGTGCATATATTTGGTCTTTGTATATTTTTATATATTTCAATTTCTCTCAAAAAATTTTTTAAATTCTTGCTGTCCTTTAGATCATGTATTTTAATAGCTACAGGAATTTTTACCTCAACCATTGCTTCTCCCTCTCCATTCACTGCTTCGTCCTCTCCACCCATTGCTTCGTCCTCTTCACCCACTGCTTCGTCCTCTCCATCAACTGCTTCGTCCTCTCTATCAACTGCTTCTCCTTCGCTATCCACTTCTACTTTCATTCTAGAAATATTTTTCACCCCTTTTCTATCAAACGCGACTTGTACACTTTTCACTCCATTTATATTTTTCTCCTTTTTCAATTCAATCCCTAATGCATTTTTCTTTTCTTCTACTATTCCTTTCTTTACCATCTGTCGGGAATTTCCATTCTTCTTCCTCTTCTCCTTGTCGTCATAGTCGTCCTCGTCCTCCTCCTCCCCATCTACCTCATACACTAACTCCTCTTTATCACTGGGTGCACCTAGAATATCCATATTCTGCTCATCCTGATTATTCTCTTTCGATCCATAATTATATTCTCTCTCGTTTCCATACCTTTTGAAAACGTTTTTATTCCTCTGCACATTCATCATCATCATCATTGTGGTTTTAGATTCATCTGAATTGTTCGAGTTTAGCAAAGTGCTACTTCCAGCTCCATTATTACTGATCTGCATGATGTTTCCTTTCTTTGTACTTGCCAATTTTTCTTCTTCATATTTCTGTTCTTTATTGCTTCCTGTACTGCTGCCATGACCGGTTCTGCTTACACCACCACCACTTCCATTACCACTGCCACTGCCATTTCCATTACCACCACTATCACCTCTTCCAGCGCCTTTGTTATTTTCCGTTTCATTAATCATCTCATTATGCTTACTATTTCCCCCGGGCATCTTCTTCCTGCTTTTCTCCTCATAAGCATAATCAGCATTGACCTCCTCATAATTGCAACACAAAAACTCATCTAGTATGTCAATTTTCTCTTGTAGCAGAAGAGAATCTCTATCTTCCATATTAAAATTCAGCATATTGTTCTTATTATTTTCTCCGCATACATACGAGGAGTTCTTGTGTTTTATACTATGAAAAAATGTACCATTCGTGGACGGTTCTTCTTCTTCTTCTTCTTCTTCTGCTACTCTTCTTCTTTCCATATTTGCACTCCTAACATTTGCATCGCATTGTTGGTCATTTGCACGGGGATAACAAGAGCAATTTTTAGGCTGTTTATGATATTTTTTTCTTAAATTAAAAAGAAATTTCAAAAATCCAAAAATTAAAGCATTCAGTAAATGACTCATATTCATCTTGCTGAATGGAATAATAGCTAGTTTATTAAGACCATTTTTATGCTTATTTATTTCATGTTTAAGTATGGAAGAACTTTTCATCATTCTTTCATTATTTAGAACATTAAAAACTGTTATGTTTTGATAGCTTTTCAATTCTTTAAACTCATCTATGAACACAATTTTAAAAATGCACTTGTCACTATAGTAGTGAAAAATATTTTTATTATCAAAAATGTAAAAACTATCATTATGCAATCCGTACGTTATTATATTTTTGCTCTTTACATACAAAAAATCTAAATTGTTTTTATACACAATGTTGTTATGGTATACGTCTACTAATAGATACGCTATAATCTCTTCATGATGTTTTTTTTCCAAATCCTCGTTATAGTTGCTCATAATTTTTAATTTATATATGATTTTTTTAGCTTCCTTGAAAAATTCCTCTCTATCAATAATTATCTTGTCACTCTTTTTATTTGAATAAATAAAGTTTATCATTTTTTTTTTTAACCTTTTTATTTCTTGCACATGTACACAATTTCCTCCTTTTTTCATTTCAACCTCTTCAGCTTCCTCATCTGCATCCTTTTCTTCTTCCGCTTCGATCCTTAGGTTCTTGGCGTGATTTTTTCTTCCATTTGTTTTTTCCTCTACCATTCCTTCTGCCATTCCTTCTACCTCAGCTTCTCCTTCGTTCGGTTGGCCTCCTTTTCTTTCGTGCACAATGTTTCTAAAGAGGTGATAGGAATTACTACTATTACTATTGCAACTACTACTATTGCTACTGCTACTATTACTACTACCCCTGCCCTTGCTGTTATTTCCGCCCCCAATGGGATCAACTTCTTTGTTCTTATTACAACCATCATGTTTATTTGTTTTTTTTTCTCCATTTTCGACATTCTGATCCCAATTTTTTAACATGTTTTCAATGGAACATTTGTTCTCCTCCTTTTCCACCTCATCAATCACCATCTCATCATTTACCTGCACATATTCATTTTCTACATCCTTGAAAAAATGTTCATCCTTTTTATAATTGATGTTCCTTGTGGACCTGTTTTGGCTAGCTGGATTGTTGAATGTGTCAAATATTTTCTCGATCAATTGGTTTCGCAAGTTACACAATTTTTTTGTGCTCCGGCTGAGTTTGTTATTATCACTATTGTGGCTTTTCTTTTTCTTCATTTGGAAATGGTTGTTTGTCCCACTTCCATTCGTGCCACTCCCGTTCTCGCTCCTCGCATTTTGATGTGTATCCTTCAATTCTTCTAATTCCTGAATGTGGCCATTATTATTATTGTCGGCATAATTGCTGAAACCCTCATTATTAATAGCTTCCATATGATTGTTACTAAAGGGGCCGTTGTCATCTTGATCTACCTGAACAACATTTTGCTGTTCCTGATCTTCTTCTAACTGCTTGTTTGGATTTTTTTCTCGTTTGTTTTTTCCTCCTCCTACATTTATTACTCCTTTGGAGACATCACGATTTAATATCATTTTGTCATATTTCTTATTTCCATTATACCTTGGATCACAGCTTTTAATTTTCCTTAGCAAGACACCTTTATAAACAACACCAAAACCACCCTTGGATAAATAAGAATGAATTTTAATATCATCATAATGAATTAAATATGAATCACTAAGATATAAAGAACAAATATTGGTATTCGTCATAAAAATAATTTTCGATATATTTGTAAATATATTTTGATTTCCCAATGGGTAGTACAATTTTATTCTTTTAACTATAACATCATTTTCTCCTAAATGTATTAGAGGGAAATTTAGCAATTTTTCTTTTTCTAAACTTCTCCTGTATAATTTAATATTGCAATTTTCTTTCGTTTTAAAAATTTTTTTTTTTTCATCATATACAACATTTTCATTACTCATGCAATTTTCTTTAAAATATGCCACTGAATTGTCTAAGTTAATACCATTGCTACTTCTGCAATTAATAACACCATTATTATGGTTATCATGGGAATTCCTCTTTTCGTTTGAACTTTTATTTCCATGCATATCTGAATCGGATGCATTAAAATTGCAATTACTATTCTTTCCTAATAATAGTATACTATTTTTTTTGCATGCATTTTTTTGGCTTTTATGATTTTCCTCCATATCAATATCGGGACTTCCACCTCTCTTTCCCACCCTAACTTGCTCTGGAATCTTATTATTCTTTTCGTTTTTGTTGATCATATTTTTAGCACGTTCACCAGCAGATACACCATCAGCAACATCACCAGCTACACCTGCACAACTACTTCTTCCCCCTTTATTCTTATCCTGATTTATGCAGCTACAACTTTTGTCGATATAATTTTTAACATCATTTACAAGTGGAGTTGTTGTTGACCCAACTTGGGAAGCTCCTACATCAATGCAAACTCCTCTTGAACCTACTACTTTCTTCTTATTCTTGAATAATTCATTGCAATCAGAGGATGAAGGTCTATTATACTCCGTCTCACAATTTAATATATTTTTTGCATTTGGATTTAACATTTTCTTTAATTTTTCCTCTTCCAAAGATCCTTTATTTAAGTATAAATTGCTTCTAACATCGTGCATGTCGTGCAATGGTCTACTGCTTAATCCTCCCATGTATACAGTGTTAGATATATTTCTCTTACTATTACTAGTTAGTTCCTCTGGGGATTGACAACACATAATATTATCAGTAACCTTAACACCTTTTAAATTATTCGTGTATAAAACGTTTGAAGCACTTGGTACTTTCTGTAAAGCGTTATGCAAATTATCTTGTTCTGTCATCATCATCATCTTCATCATATTGTCGCGTGCTCCTCCTCCCACATTTCTATCCATTTTATACATTTGTGCATATTTATTTTGTTTTTCTTTTTCGTCGTCTTCTTTCTCCTTTTCTCCTTCCCTGAAAAAGAAATTTTCAAAATTGTGATGATCATGGAAATTGTCATATTTTCTTTCAAAACCGTTATCACATTTTCTTTCATGTCGATGATGTTCATTCACTCTATCGTGTTGCTGCTGCCCATTATTGCCATATTTCCTCCTCCTATCGAATCCTGAATTCAAAATAAATTCTCCCTTTTTCTGTATACTATTCTCTCCTAAATATTCCTTTAATTGGTAAAAAACATAATTATTTTTCTCATCCATCTGTTCTATACTTTTCCTTTTTTCAAAATTTGCATATTGTTGTTGATTAGAACAATAGCCACCACTAGGGTACTCAATTTCTCCCTCTCCTTGATCAAAAAAATTATTGCACGATATATTTTTTTTTTTTTCTTGCACTTTTACCTTGTTCATACCTTTTTCTTGTGTTCTATTTACATTTGTTAATGAATATGTATTTTTCATATTTTCATGATTTTTTATATAGGAAATATAATTATTCTTCTCTTCTTCCCTAGCTTCTTCTTCTTCTCCTCTTTCAAATTCTATCCTTTCCTTTTTAATGTTTTTTAATTTTTCTTTTAGTTCCATAAGGTTATTAATAAATAATCGTTTGTTCATAATTTCGTTGGCATTAACAATGTTGTTCTTTTTCCCCGACATTCTTTTCATGAGGATATTGTTATGATTATTGCTACTGTTACTGCTACTGTTATTGCTACTGTTATTGCTACTGTTATTGTTATTGCTACTGTTATTGTTATTGCTACTGTTATTGTTATTGCTTCTGTTATTGTTATTGCTAATGTTATTGTTATTGCCATTATTATAATTACTGATATTATTGTTACTACTACTCAAGCTGCTACAATGATTGTTAATTGGTTTATTTCCAAAAAGATGGGTATGTGTATATTCAGCAACATTTGAAGGAATTTCTTGAAAAGAAATGCCTCCGTTAATATGGTGCCTGTTTGTGTAATCATTCGGATAGCCACTCGCATTGATACTATACTTATGATTGTTCATAGTACTCTTATTAATACATTCCTCCAAATTCTTGTGCTTCCCAACGAGATTATTGTTATTTCTATTGTCATAGTCGAACTTGCAGACATCGTTTCCCCCATTGTGGGGGTGATCTAACATGTGATTCACGTTTCGATAATTTAAAAATTCAATACTTCCAAGAATTTTCTCTAATTGACCATTAAAATAATTTTTAAAATTGCTATTTTTTGGGCTGTGATTAATTTTTCCATTTGGGAAACTTTTGGCACTGTCCAATTTGATGCATGGATTTGTGCCTCTACTATTGTAATATCGTTCATCGTTACATTCATTGTATCTGTTTAATGCAGAATAATCTCCGCTACCTCCATAAGAGCTTCTTCCTTTGTAATCGAGGTGAGAAGAGAGGTTGTTGCCATTTTCATCCATATACAATATGTTCTTATTGTTACTGTCACCATTTATAATGACATTCGAATTAGTGTTGTGATATTCCTCGTCTAAAAAATTTTTTGTTCTTAAAAATTCTTTATTAAATTCTTGCGTTGAAATAATGTTATTATAGAAAATATGGTTGCTACTTTTTCGATGGGGACCAGTTACCTCTTGCTCATGCAAATTTCCATATAAGGACTGTTTCTTTGTTTGGTTTCTTCCCTTGAACATTCTGCTTTGTCCTCTATTAACTTTTATATTCAGTTATAAATATATATATATATATATATATATATATACATACATATATATATTTTCTTTATCCTCTTGGAGTAAAATATATGTTTTTCAATAGAAAAAAATATTTCGTTACAATTTTATTTTTTCACTTTTTTTCATTTATTTTGAAGTAGTCTTAATTCTTCAAAAATTTCTGCCCTTTATAGTATTATTAGTTCTGTATTTTTTTCTTACACTATGATATGCGTGTGTGTAGATGTGCTCCTACTTTGAAATGTGTCAATATTCGTTACAAATTTCCTGAGCGGATGCATATATGGTTTTCTCTTCTTTTTGTTTTGAGCAATTCTTGATATTTCCGTAATTTTGCTTCTTACTCCAAGAGTACTACTAGGTGTATTTTTTTTTTTTTTTTTTGGGCAAAGTCAAGGATTTGCTTTGTCTTTTTAACGATTACTTGGATATTTGTACATCTATATGGATGCATGTAACTCTTGTTCGAGCGAGTGTCTATGGTTTTTTTTTTTTTTTTTTTTTTTTTTTTTTTTTTTTTTTTTTGTTTGTTTTTTTTTTTTTTTTTTTTTTTTTTTTTTTTTTTTTATTATTATCTCTGAATCTAAAGAAAATTCTCCTGGGTAATACATATACTTATGAGACAGATATATACAAGTGTCCCTTCACATACATTGACACGTGTGTATTCATGTGATTCGTGGATTGGACTACCCCCAAAATCCTGCTTTTCGTATGTACACAAAAATATGTGAATAAAACAAAGACTTCCACACTTCCACACAGTTCCCAAGCTTGTTCGCGTAGGTTTACATATGTATATACAGATGTATATGTACAAAGACATACGCGAGCATATGTTTATGCATACGTAGAGGGGTATATTTGCTTCTGCATATATACAAGGAACCACTTAAACATACACATATACACATATATATATGCACATACGTGTATATATAAGTCAATATGCAGGATTCGCCAGATATACATGCGATTACAATACGTAACATTAGAGATTAGTTATCATGGTGTTTTAAAAAAAAAAAAAAAAAAAAAAAAAATTCAAATTTATACATACCACAATGAGTACATATGTATTAAACTTACAATATTCACAAAATTTATTATGTACATCTATTTTACACATCTACAAAATTAAACACAGAATAAAAGAAAATATGTGTATAATATGTGATAGTGGAGATACACAAATAACATAAATATGATCACAACATCCAAAAAAAAAAAAAAAAAAACAGAAAGAAAGAAGGTAAATCAATTTATGAAAGCTAAAACCTAAGAAGTGAGAATAATATATGTGCCTTCAAAGGGGGGCAACAAAAGTAAACGGTGTATTTTTTAAAAAAAAAAAAGAATGAATCAATGAATAAAAATGAATTAAGCCAAGCCTCTTTCCATTCAAATGATATATGGTGTATAAGTGGTTTACTGAATTGGAAAAAGACAATATACCCTGGAAGGTCCTTATAGAAGGAGGGACACGCACATGTACACAACCATTATATGTATATGAATGAAGGCGAAGACGCTGCCACATACTCATAAACAGAGATAATGTAACAACGCAGCGGGAGGTTGGTTCATTGAACATTCAAAAACAATGAGGTTCATACAAAAATGGGGTGCCATTAAAAAACGTTCATACGGATATCTAAATTAAAAAAAGTTTCATTAAGAAAAAAAAAAAAAAAAAAAAAAAAAAAAAAAAAAAAAAAAAAAAAAAAAAAAAAAAAAAAAACTAATATTTATACATCACCTAAGTGGTTAAATTACTTTACAAAAATATATAAATTTGCTTAACGTTTATACATTACAACACTTAACTACTGTTGCACAAGCATAAAAAATGAAAAGATAAATGCTTGGGGGCGTAGAGGTTTCGGGATTGATGTGTATATATGTGCATCTAATAAAAATGCTTCATAATTATAGTTTGTGTTGTGTTGTGTGTGTGTGTGTGTGTGTTCCCTTTTTATACCACATTTAAATGTGTATAATGCATGGATAAATGAATCTACATAAAATGTATACACATACACTCAAATATATATATGTATATACAGATACATACATGTTGTTTATATATTTTTGTGGTATCATACGCACAAGCAATATATATGTATATTTACATTCATGTATATAGACGATTTGAACCCATAAAGATTTTCAACTTTAATAAAAGTAGATTACATAAAACATGTACATATGTAAAGATGGATGAACTTAACAATGAATAGTAGAATATAAAATATAAAAACCTAAACAAAATTTATAAAAAAACGCTTTTTTTATCTTTCAATTAGTTTGTATTTTCTCATCACATATATATATATACGTTTTTTTTTATTATGTATATATTGTGAAAAATGAAATATACGATGCGTGTTGTACACATAAATATATATTACAATACACCCCGCTCTACCTCTCCTCAATGACATTTGGATATACTGAGTGTCAACTGTATCTCATACAATCGTTGTACATGCCTCTTCTATTACCTGTATATGTAATTTTACATATCGATATAACTCACTGCTACTATTACTACTACTAATAATAATATTGCTATAAAAAAAATTCATGTTTTTTAACATGACGCAAAAATAATAAAAAAAACTCCTACATTCCTCAGCAGCACAAATATAACACTTCTAAATGGAGAGGTTATGGATATGCTTTCAGATTTGTGTATATGCTATATACATGTCATTCATGTCAAAATATATGCAATGCGTGTATATTACATATATATGCATATGTATATATACATATGTATATATATTTATTTATTTATGTAGATAAATAAACAGTTGTAAAATCTACGCGCATATAAAATATGCTGCAAATTTTCTTAAAAAAAATAATAAAAAAAAAAAACTTTAAAGTAAACAAATAAATGAAATATACAAACCCAAATCGAACACCGGTGTTTGTTGTTTTGAATTTATAAAATTGACGAATAAATGAAAAAAAAAAGGGGTGGAAAGTAAGCACTTCATTTCTATCAGCATTATCTTTTTTTCGTCAACAAAAAATAAGCAAATAAATAAACCCTCCAAAAAAAAAATAAAATAAAATAAAATAAAAGGTGGCTATATATAAAAATGGGCTTGGGGCTGGGGATTTCTGCATAGTTAGATGCAAAATGCTTGATGGTACACAAATTTAAATAATCATATATATGAGGTTAACCCCATAAAAAAAAAAAAAAAAAAAAGAAAAAAGAAAAAAGAAAAAAACATATTATATATGTATATATGTTGTACATATACCATTATGTATAAATAACACTTCTAAAAATAAGAAAATATATGCAGTGTACTACTACACTACACGTGCATGAGGAGCATGCATGTTTTATACATGCAGCACCTGTGCTTTTATTTTATTTTTTTTTTTTTCACGTGCCTTGTCGATGTTAGCCAAATTGCAGTTGCAAAATTAGTACATAAAAATATTTTCTTTTATTTTATATTTTTTTTCGTGGAGACAAAGAAGAAGAAAAAAAATATACATGTACAATATATTGTACATATATATATATATATATATGAGCAACGTTTTTATTTTTCTTGGCAACAGAATCACCGATATGCACAAGGCATAAGGACATGTATGATGGAGATAACGGGAAGTGTCGTAATTTTAACGCGAACTTCTCATGAATTGTTTTCGCGCGTTATGTTTTGCAAATGTACGTAAATATTTTTTCTCAAGATAAATCTACTAATCGCAAAATTTTGCTTGGGACATTCCAAGTAGTGCCACGTATGTATGTGCAAATAAATAAATATATATATATATATATATATATATAAACATTCTGTAGCTAAAGTACTGCACTCACATTTTCTTATATATTTTATATATGTAAGACAGTTGGGGCTTTGAAGGGAGATTCCTGTACCGTGCATAATCCATGCGTGTTGCATATGTATATGTGCATGTATAAAAAAAGTATTAAGCTATTAAGTCAAGGTCCAAGCAACTTTGAAAACAAGTGCATATATATGAGCATATGAATTAAATATATGGTACCTATATGATGAATACATGTATCAGTAAAATAAAAAATACTCGAATTTTTTTTTTTTTTTTTTTTTTTAAACAAGCGAAAAAAAACATTTTGCTCATAAGTAATGGATGGCACAAAAAAAAATATTAACTTGGTGTTTCTCTTTCACGACGGCCCTATTATATTATATATTACATACTTATATATGGTATAGTAGTAGACTTATACTTATTCTGCATTTTTGAAGTTTTGTAGTTTAGTTTTGCCGATTTATAGCTTTTTTTTTTTTTTTTTTTTAAAATAAAATCGCGAATATAATTCTTGCCCTTCTTTATTATTAATACTTCATTTTTTTTTTTTTTTTTCGAAAGAATTTGTTTAGTAAAACTCGTAGCTATATACCTTTTCACATTTTCCTTAAATCAACGGAGATTTTTGCGCTGTCTTCATTTGGCATATTTATTTTATGCATTTTATTATTTTCTTTTATAATATCAATTCACATATGTTATAGAAAACAGGTACGTTATTTTTGTGCCAAGGGAAGGAGGGGGGGGGGGAGTTGTCACGTTTTTTCCACTTTGAATGATGGAGCTTTTTCGTTTCTCCTCAACCTTTTTTGTTTCTCCTCAACATGTTTCGTTTCTCCTCAACCTGTTTCGTTTTTTTTATTTTTCTGCCCTTTTTGCACGAATGCAGATTCGTCCAAGCAGCATTCACCTCACCCGCGTGTAGAAGTTTATGAAAGAAAAGCGGAAACGATAAAGTTTTTTCCTTTTTTGTTGTTACAGCTGGTTTAATATCCTCAAATAGATTCCTGTGGTGCATGGATAAAAATGTCCTATTCTGGATTACCACCATATTTCCTTTGGTTCAATTTCTCCTACATGTTTTTATTCAGAGTTGTGTTTTTAATTTGTGTTACACCCGTTCCCCAGACCAAGGGAGGTAGGGAGGTGATTGAATTGTGGGAGGTATGTTTTAGTGCAGCAATGTTGGGAAAAATTCATTCTTAGTTGTGATAAATTTTGTGGCGAATGTGATGGTTTTTGAAGACGTGTAGTTTTTCTCACCATGTCGTACTGTGTGTCTGTTCAAGCACATAGGAATGCAGGCCTGTCAAAAAATCTTCATTTTTCAGCTTGTTCACACGCAACCCATATGTTTATACTTGGCAATTATATGTACACACACCACTGATCTCTTATTTTGGTTTACTTTTATTTCCATAGTTAAAAAAAAAAAAAAAAAAAAAAAAAAAAATACATATAATGACAACGAGAAACTGATAATATTTTTTGTGAACACTTAACAAAATGCACATTATCCCTTGATGTGTATATACTTCCCCCTTTTTTTTTTTCATATTATAAAATTTGCCCAATTGGTTATCATATATATACCTATATATGGAATATAATCTACCTCGTATTCACACAAAATAAAAACGTACATTGTGTGTAGGATATACCCCTTGGGTCAATTCATATTTTACGCCAGTTCAATTGTAACTCCTGTATTTTTCCCCGATTAAATTCTTCAGATAAGAAAAAAAAAATTCGAATATTTTTTTTTTCATTTTTTTTTTTTTTTTTTATTTCAATAATGATGAAACACATTTGTAAAATGTTTAGGAATTCATCACATGGTACATACATAAATATTGGTGATCAATTGTGGGATGTAAATATTTTTTTGGACATTTTCCATCCATATGTGTTTCACTCATTACTCATTGCGGGAAAGGAAAGAAAAAAATAAGTAGAAAAAAAAAAAAAAAAAAAAAAACCTTAAGCAAAAACACTCATCTTCAGCAGTTCCGTGTATTTTGACTACACGCTTTATGATTAATGTCTCCAAAATCATTAGGAAAAAAAAAAAAAAAAGAAAAAAAAAGTGCTAAATGTGTATAAAAAAAGTATGTCCACGTTTTGCAATAAAATATTTCCATTTTCTCCATGGATATATATCGATTATCTTGTTTTGAAGGATATTATACACGTTCAAATTAGTTGAACATGTTTTAATTTGGTTTTCGTTTTCCTCCTTTTTTTTGCGTTTTTTTTTTTTTTTTTTTTTTTTTTTTTGAGATGTTTCACTTTTCAAAATGAACACATTGTATACTATGCTTCTCATTCTGGGGAATAAAAAAACGTGGACTCCCATTGTAGGTTTCTCTTCAGGGTGTCACATTTTGGTTAAGGGAAAGATTAGCACTCCAAATAAATAACATAGCGGTGTCTGTTAAGTGGTTCTTTTTATTTCTCTGCATTTCTCTCCGCTTCTGTGCATTTCTTTCTATTTCTCCCCTAACAGTAGTTAAACTTTGGCACCTTCTATCTGTTGTTCCAAACCCCATCCTCGCTCCCCTCCATCGCCCTTCACTTTATATTATTGTTTCTTCCATGCCCCTTCTCTCCTTTCTTCCCCATTTGTATATGTCTCTCTAAATTACGCTCACAAGGAGAAAAAAAGAAACATTCACTCACATGCAAATTACACTCGTATGCACACACTTTGCATATGCAGGAACCATTGATTCCAACGATCTACCATCTCAGAATACTTTCGTCCCTTCTGATCACACATAGGACACTTGGAAGTATCAGACACGTTTATAACCATTCGAATAATATATGTGGGAAGGGTGCATCTGTGGGGAAAATATAACCTATGAAAGGATACCTCGTGGGAGAGACATATACACACACATTCACATATTAGACAAAGGAGTATGTGTGCATATAAGAAGCACATATATAACACTAGAAATACCGCACACTAACACTTCGAAAAACGTAGTATATATATATATATATATATATATATATATATATATATATATATATATATATGCATGTACACGTTTTCAAGGGTGAGCAGTGCTAAAAAAAAAAATGGAACCACTTATCATAGACAACCTGCAAAAATTTGGGGATGAAGAAGTTCGGTTAGGTATCGATGAGGCGGGAAGGGGACCTGTGTTAGGACCTATGGTTTATGCAGGATTTTATTGCAATAAAGAAAATGAGAAATTATTAAAAGAAATGAAAATTGATGATTCCAAAAAAATAAGCGAATCTGACAGAGAAAAGATGTTCATCAAATTAAACAATTCAACATTGCCATTTGGTTGGAGAATACATGTACTAATGCCACAAGATATAAGTGCAAAAATGTTAAAAAAACAAAAATACAATTTAAATGAAATATCTCATGATACTGCTATTTCCATAATTGAACATGTTATAAGTAGAGGTTGTAATTTAACAGAAGTTTTTGTAGATACAGTTGGAAAAGCTAGTGTATATGAGGAGAAATTACAAAAATTATTCCCCCACATAAAATGCACAGTTAAAGAGAAGGCTGATTCCTTATATCCAGTTGTAAGTGCTGCATCTATATGTGCAAAAGTAACACGTGATTTTCTTATAAAAAAATGGAAATATGAAGAACCAATAATTAACATAGATAAAGGGTTTGGCTCTGGGTATCCTGGAGACCCAATTACCAAAAATTTTCTAAAAAATAATTTTGATTCTGTTTTTGGATTCCCAAGTATTGTACGTTTTAGTTGGTCTACTGCTGACAATATGATAGAAACTATGGGTGAACAAATAGAGTGGTATGATGACATTGAAAATAATGATTCAAAAGCTATAAAGAGGAAAACACCCTTTGATTACAGTAAATTACAAAAACCTTATGTTCAGAGATCTCTATTTTATTCCAAGGTGGGATTAGACCTTGTTGAAAATTTGTGAAGTACATATAGAGGGATTTCCCATAACACAATGGTCGTTGCACGTGTCACACGTTACAGTCACCATAGCTATACATTTTTGCACGCTTAAAGGAAAAATAGAAGATGATATACATATGTATGTATATATATATACATATATATGCATACATGTACATATATATATATATATATATACATACATATGTATATCATCTTCTATTTTTCCTTTTTAATACCCCCTCCTAATTGACCATATTTTGCGATTACCTAAGGATGAAATTTTCGAAAAAAAAAAAAAGACCAAAATTAAAGGGAAAAAAGTAAACAGCAAGAATATGCCCCGTTTGCGTAGGACACTTTTGGCATGCTGAATAGGTATGCCCACACCTCACAGCTTTGCATTATCATTGTTCATTTTATTTTTTTATTTATATATGTATTTTATTTTATTTTTTTAACTATTTTGAACAAATCCCATGAAACGCAAATTTACTGGGGTTTCCTTTTTTGCCATATTGCGTGTATAAGACACTTCCCCATTGGAGTGAATGTTTAATGGTGAATAGTAAGTATCTCATGAACAGGTCTATATGGTACGACAAAATTTTGTTGGGCTCATTTTAAAAATAGCTTAACGATACAAGGGAATGTATGGAAAAATAAAGAAAAGGAATTAATATTTGATAAGTACTGAACGGGCATTTAATACGCACACATATGAAGTAGTATACTTGAATGTTAATATATATAAGGGTCTCATAGGATGAGTAAAATGTGAAAAATAAAATTCTGTACCTTTTTTGCGATTGTGTAAACCGATGTCTCTAATGTGACATATGGTATAATTCCAATTTAAATTTATTATTCTACTATTTCATTTTATATATATATATGTTAATAACACCTGGTGCAATTTTTACGTTTTCAGTTCTTTCTTTTAGTAGTACGACTTTGGTTCATTCCCCGGGTTTCTCTCTCTCTCTCTCTATATATATATATATATATATATCAATGGCACTTTGCGAAGGACATTTGCATATAAACCAAATCATTAACATGTAAGGAACTGTAAGTGGGTAACGTATTTTGAAGCAACATGGAACGATATGCGATATTTTATATAGGTGGAGAAGTACAGTTGGCCATGATGTCCATTTCTGACATTCTCTCATTAAATCGCAGGTAAAATGTGTTATGGAAGAACAGTGTTTCCTCTCCCTGTTTATTGAAGCGAGGAAACAAAAATGAGGAAGATTTAAAAAAAAATAAAATAATATTATTGGTTGTTTTTTAAAAGACTGTGTAAACAAATATGCAATGTATTATATATATACACAACTTTATATACACATATTTTTAACACTATATCGTACACTGTATCGAACAAATAATTGATAAAAATGCACCATGTTCCTTTCAAGTGCTCCTAAATTTTGACAATTATGCAAAAGCGTGAACATAGTAAAATTATGGGACATTCGTTTGAGACGCCTCTTTTTTTTTTTTTTTTTTTTTTTCAACTTCTCTTTCACATTGTATAATATTCCAACGATGTTCATATCGCTGTCGCCATGTTTGCTCATCCACAACTACTCATTCCCGACTCATCTAAAACAGTATAAAAAAAAAAAAAAAAAAAAAAAAAAAATTTATCCCAAAGTTACATTTTTAAAGGAGCTTTTTTAACCCATAGAATTTATTAATGCTAACAAAAATTAATTTTCTTAAAAGCTTTCGCTAATTTTTGCCTTTTCATCCCAAACTCCTTAAATATGTAGTAGGTGTCTTGGTTTGAATATTACGCTAATTCATGACTATTTTTTTTTTTTTTGTTTTTTATGTCACGTTAAAAAATAGTAGAGAAAAAAAAATAATAAAAGTAATAATAATAATAGTAGTAGTAGTAATAATAGTAGTAATAATAATAATAATAGTACTAGTAATAATAATAGTAGAAATAATAATAATAGAAATTATAATAGTAGTAGTAATAGTAGTCGTAGTAATAGTAGTAGTAGTAATAATAGCTTCTCATTTTTCTTATTTTTTATGTGTTGGGCGGGTATTAGATAAGTATGTGCGCGAAATGTGGCACGAGGGCACATTGCTGCTCATGTCCTTTATTCATATACCTTCCATAAATACATGTATATATAATATAATGACATATATATATGTACGGATGAGCACATACAATATCTAAGGATAAACAAATGTCATATTCCGCATATAGACCCTGTGTTTATGATGATACATGAATTATGAACATAATATATATATATATACCTGCTATATATGTTAACATTAAATACCTTTTTTTCTTCGCCATTCCAGTGTTTTTTTTTTTTTTTTTTTTTTTTTTTTCTCCCATGTTGTGCATTTTAAAAATTGCTCCTTTTCACTGGGAGTGACTTTAAAAAAAGAGAATAAAGGAAATTTATTTTATTACCTTTTTCCTTCTGCTGTAATATTTAATTTTTCTTCTTTCAGTTTAGTGTTGATTTTCTTGAAATAAATTGGTACGCATTTTTACCCATACATCATCTATAGTATTATATACCTATATAAAAGTTTATGTATTTTGTATTCCCCTACCCCCATTATTCGATTTGTTGTATAGTAAAAATTTTATTTCACGTATATTACATATTTTATATGTAGAGGCAAAAATAGTATTTAGTGATACAATTTATTCATAATGGATGTTCAGATAAACGTATATATTTTATAAAAATTTGTTTTACGAAAATTAACGATCCCTTAGCTTTTTTTTTTTTTTTTTTTTTTCTCAATTACACAGAATATGCATATCGTTATCTTTACGTAATTTTATTAGCTAAGAATAAAAAAAAAAAACTGATATATAAAAATGCATATATATATATGTATGTATATGTTTATATATGTATATATATGTATATGTTTATACAGGTAAACAACTTTTTAAATGAACAAAAAACAAATGCGAATAAAAATATGATCCACCATATCTCCCCATTCGTAATACCAACACGATGTTATTAACGCTTGTTGTGCCACACCCTTCTTCAGTTTTGAATTCCTGCTATCATTCATCTTAAAATTTTTTTTTTTTTTTTTACTCTCTGGACACCAATTATATATAAAACTATTCCAAAATTTAGTAGAGAGACATATTTCGAAATAACTGTTGAAACATACATATACCTGTCAGTGTGCCCTCCTGCTCTCAATCGTATAATTTTTGTATGTCAAGAGAAAAATATATCCAACTTTACATACATAAATTCCAAGGGTGCACGATAAAATTTTGCATCTTGTCTATACATATCATATATGTATATGAACCTATATATACACACACACACACACGTGACGCACTGCACGCTTTTTTCATCACTATATTTTTGAACTACCAAAATGAGCGCCTACAATTTAGAAAAAGACGACACTGTGTATCACAAATTAGACACTATACAATGTGATATCCCAATAAATGAAGAATTAAAAGCTAGGATAAACAAACATGTCAACCAATTGCGGGTTTCCTATTCGACATTAGAAGAATTTGTTGATAATTTTGTATATGAATTGAAAAAAGGATTGGAGGCACATCGTAGACATCCAAATTTGTGGATTCCACACGAATGTTCATTTAAAATGTTAGATTCATGTATTTCGGATATACCTACAGGACAAGAAAAGGGTACCTATTATGCAATTGATTTTGGTGGAACAAATTTCCGAGCTGTGAGAGCTTCCTTAGATGGAAATGGAAAAATAAAAAGAGATCAGGAAACATACAGCTTAAAATTTACAGGTACATTTTCACATGAAAAAGGATTATTAGATAAACATGCAACTGCCTCGCAATTGTTTGATCATTTTGCTGAAAGAATAAAATACATCATGGGAGAATTTAAAGATTTAGATAACAAGGAAGGAAAAAATGTTGGTTTTACATTTTCATTTCCATGTACTTCTCCATCAATTAATTGTTCTATTTTAATTGATTGGACAAAAGGATTTGAAACAGGAAGAGCTACAAATGATCCTGTAGAAGGTCGAGATGTATGTAAACTAATGAATGATGCATTTGTAAGATCAGAAATACCTGCAAAGGTTTGTTGTGTTGTTAATGATGCTGTTGGTACACTTATGTCATGTGCATATCAAAAAGGAAAAACAACACCCCCATGCTACATTGGAATAATTTTAGGAACAGGATCTAATGGATGTTACTACGAACCAGAATGGAAAAAATATAAATATTCTGGAAAAATTATTAACATAGAATTAGGAAATTTTGACAAAGATTTACCATTATCCCCAGTTGATTTAGTAATGGATTGGCATTCAGCAAACAGGAGTAGACAATTATTTGAAAAAATGATTTCAGGGGCCTACTTAGGAGAAATTGTGAGGAGGTTCATGGTTAATGTTTTACAAAGTGCTTCATCAGAGAAAATGTGGAAAAGTGATAGCTTCAATTCAGAATCAGGTAGTGTAGTATTAAATGACACTTCAAAAAATTTCGACGAAAGTAGAAAAGTTGCAAAGGCTGCATGGGACATGGATTTTACAGATGAACAAATGTATGCATTACGAAAAATATGTGAATCAGTATATAACCGTTCGGCTGCTCTAGCAGCAGCTGCAATAGCTGCTATAGCTAAAAGAATTAAAATTATTGAACACTCCAAATTTTCTTGTGGTGTAGATGGATCTCTATTTGTCAAAAATGCATGGTACTGTAAAAGGTTAAAGGAACACTTAAAAGTTATTTTAGCCGATAAGGCAGAAAATTTAATTATTATTCCTGCAGATGATGGATCAGGAAAAGGTGCTGCCATAACTGCTGCGGTCGTTTCTCAATCAACCAGTATTAAGCAGTTGCCTTAAGTCCTTACACAAAAATTTGGAATCTCAAAATGTGTTCTGCTTTATCGTGATATTGCCACCATAATGATAACAGCACTAATCGCTATGCCACAATTAGAACCGAAACTATATATGGGGGTTGTGTGTGTATGTGGTTTTTCTAGATTGAGGAAATTATTCCTCATCTAGGTTCACGCACACGAAGATGGGTAGATGCAAGGACTAGCATATACACACACACACACCTTTTCTATTTTTCACGTTTTGACATTTCCTTTTTTTTTTTTTTTTATGGTGTATCCCACGCAGGATGTGCCAGGAATAAAAGGTATTGTCAAATACATACATGTATGTATATATATATATATATATATATATATATATATATATAAACATATGCTATTTGTGCCTTAAATGCATGCTAAATTACACTGATACCTTTCCTATACCCCCTTTTACTGGCGTGAATATGCCACATATCACCACACAAGTGTTCTATACATGTATAATATTTCGTGATTTTTATGGCATGTACGTATGTCCATTTTCCACATTGTTCATATGCGCGTGTCAAAATTTTTTTTTTTTTTTTTTTTTTTTTCACTAACCATTTGGTATTGTGTTAAGACATATGTGCCATGAGATTTATCTCTATTATAAAATGATCGTTATTTTGTTTATTTTTTTTTTTCCCCTTTTTTTAGAATAAGTTATATGAGTTATTAAGTTGGTACATATTTCAATGCATTTTCAAAAGGTTTCCCATGAATTATACATGGATCCATTTACACGGCTTCATATGTTGTAAATGTTACAATACGCTTGAATGTGTTACAGGCAATGCATGTATGTTTGTTCTGTTTCCATTTATTACGTCCCATTATACTCCGTTCATTATTACTGTTTAGTGCGTTCCATAAATCGATGTATCATTTTCCTTTCACCCCCTTCTTCCCCAACCCTTCATTCTATCATATGTTATAACATTTTATTTATGATCATTATTATTACAAATTACTGCTATTATTACAATTTCGATCATTATTACAATTAATACTATTATTATAATTTCGATCATTATTACAATTACGTTCATTATTAGAATTACATTATTGCTACAATTGCTACTACTATTATTTAATATTTTTTTCAAATCCATTTCTTTTCGTTAGCTCATTTTGGTGTCATCCATCATGTCATAACACCTCTGCGATATTTAATTATGAGCCGTATACATAACACGTACTTATAAATTTGCACACACACAAAGCACAAATTGTGTGTTTTCAGCTCACATAATAAGAATTAAAAAATACTTACATGATAGAAAAAAAAAGGAAAAAAAAAAAAAAAATTACATAGCTGCAAAATCAGGAAATTACCTTTCTTACATTTGTTTGTATGACTATATACAACATGAAAACTCTGAATTTTTCATAATATAAATAAACATTTATTATTTTCTCCTATACGAAGAAAAGTTATATATCACATATATATTATAAATGCTAGGATTATGGTCCCTTTTAAACAAACCCATACTTTTTAAAAATATCTCATATGAGAGAAAAGTATTCAGTTTGTACTTCGATTAGTGCACTCAATATGTAATTAATTAAAATATAAAAGTATGAAAAGAAGATATAACCTCTGTGTAAAATAGAAGCAAAAAAAAAAAAAAAAAAATGCTTGAACGATTTTAGAAGCACATGGAAAATGAAGGGGGGAAATTCTTCCTCATATATAAATTTTTTTTTTTTTTTTTTTTTTTTTTTTTAACATTCAATTTTGAATGTTCTTTAACCTGTGTTTACGTTAAAAATGCCTCGAGGAGGTCATAAGGGAGGTCTATTTCCTGTGAGTGGGATGAAATGGGGAATGAATGAGAGAGTTAGAAAAAGAGGGTTATATCATAATAGGAGAGAAGATATATTAACCCCAAGATGGGGATATCGATATGAAAACAGGAATAACAGTTATTTACCAGATGGGAGTTCAAAATCGTTTGATACAGATGTAAATAGAGCTTGGCCAAATGAAAAGAATCAATGGAATCATTTCTACACAATTAATGAAGGTAGGTATTTATGGCCAAGCATATGTGCACACAACCCGAATATTAAAAATTACATTTTAAACATTTTAGAGAATAGTGAAAATAGACCTTTTAGTGGTATTGGATTGGAACAAGTCCAAAATGAAGGAAAAAAAAAAATAAGAAATGAACACGCTCTTGGTAGTACTTCCATTAATAATAATCACAATGTCGGTGTGTATGGAAAAAATACTTATCTAAGCAAACTAGCTAACGAATTTAATAATTCTATATATCCTACAATTGAGATTAATCTAAATAATAGTATGAAAAGGGGAAAAATACAAAAATTATACGATATTGTAAGGGAAGAAAATATATGGAAAACGACGCAAAAAATAAAAACTGCTCAGAGTGAAAACATATTCCCCTATGTTGATGACAATGCAACCCTGATTAGAGAATTACCCCTTGCAGAAATTTTATACACAAAAAGTAATTTACGTCTCAAGGTTAGAAGACACCCGAAATGGATGAATGTGCAATTTCTAAAAAAAAAAATAAAAATTCCCTACTTGTACAGGTACTTTTTTTTTAAACGTTTTTTTTTCCTTTTATGCAGCTTCACCTACTTTTTTTTTTTTTTTTTTTTTTTTTTTTTTTTTTTTTCGATGAATATACGTCCATCTGGGTCAAACATAGGACATTCCTTCAGCATGTTTTTGCAACTCATTAAGAAATGTCCCTTTTACGTTTTCATCATTTCCTAATTTTTTTTTTTTTTTTTTGTGATTTAAAAACTCACGATCAACCACCCAATTCATCATTTCCCCTTTGAACAGGAGAAGAATTGCACGAGAAGAATTACAAAAAAAGGAATTTGGGTCGTTTTTTTAAATGTGTGCACACGGAAAATTGTATACGCAGGTTAATAAAGATTAATACGGAAGAGAAAAAAAAAAAAAAGAAAAAAAGATACAGGATCAGACAGAGACAGAGGCAGCATTAAGAATGTTAATCCCAGCTGGACAATGGGGCAAACGAGAACAGAAGTGGAACGAATATTACTTTTTTTTAAATCCATGAAGTATCATTTTGGCGCGCTCTCTACAAAAAAGTAAGAAAGGAGAAAGTAAAGCTGAGTGATGGCAGATGACAAGATAAATGTAAATTCCCAACAATGTTGTGATAATTATCGTAAAAAATGAGAAAAGGAGAACATGATGTGTTTTGCGCGTACACGTTAAATTGTTTAAAATTATTTCATTTAACTTTTTTTTCCTTCATTTTATTTATTTGTTTTATTTGTTTTATTTTATTTCACTTTTTTTAATTTATTTATCTTATTTTACTTCTTTTAATTTATTTTATTTATTTTTTTTTTTTTACACCCGCTTCGCTACCTCTCCTCTGTACCTTCTACAATCCTGTATCATTTTAACGTTGTCCTTTTTTTCAGCCGCATGATCTTCATTCGTTCTTCCAGTAGGAGCATTTGAATTGACACTTTTCTTTTCATCCAGAAGAAAAATAAGATTTAGAAAATCTGCTGACTGGGAAATTGTATATGTTGTAATATTTCGTTCTTTAGTGTGGGAGTAATTATTTTTTTTTCTTTTATTATCTCAGGGTGGTTATTATTATTATTTTATTTTATTTTTTTAAGTACTAAATGTGCATTTCTCTTCTTACTGTAACATTTGTTGGATGCCCATATGGGAAAGAGGATCCTAACATTATTTGTTCACTGAAGAGTATGTGAAGAGGTGACGCTGGCATGTGGATCTAATGTGTAATGTGAACCTGGACATATACTGAAAGAAGCATGTCATAAAGAAGCATGTCATAAAGAAGCATGTCACAAAGAAGAATGTCGAAAAAAAGCATGTCACAAAGAAGGATGTCGAAAAAAAGCATGCCACAAAGAAGCATGTATGAACCATAGAAAATTTGCTAATCGAGAAATTTTAGCCTACGATCCTTTTTAATAATCTTATTGCACATATAAAAAATAATCATGAAGTATGTGTGTCGTGCAGCATTACTAGAAGTATGAATATTCCTTCGATCCATACTGTAGGTACTTGAGTTTTTCTATACAATGTAAAAAACATTTTGCTAAATATATGGGAAATTCCTTTTTCGAATTCAGAATTTTGCAAATCAGATTTTTCATCTCCTAAAATGGGAAGAAAATAAGCAAGGATGATGAAACTACTATCAACACACAAAAAATAAACTACGGGTAATGCTTGAAACGCATTTACAAATCGTGCAATGCAAGAATGAGTTGCAGTCTATATATTCAGCAAGATGTTCCTTTCTTTTTTCATTGAAAACATGTAGATCTATTACTGATATGTATTCCTCCTCAATTGGATTTTCTCCCACTTTAGCTTTCTTTTCTTCCACACCAGCTGGCTTTTCTTTCACCTCAGCTGGCTTTTCTTCCACATCAGCTGGATTTTCTTTCACCTCAGCTGGCTTTTCTTCCACATCAGCTGGATTTTCTTTCACGTCTTCATCCGATTCCATATATTGCATAAAAAGTGTTGAGTAGGATTGATCCTCTGTTTGTTTCTTTTTTTGTTTTTCCATTTCTAGTTGTTTAATTTTCTTTTCATTTGCATCTTTCATACTAATTTGTTGTTTTTCCCGTAAAAGTTTCGCTTTTATTTCATTATTAGTTACTTTTGCATTTTCCATTTGACGTACATATTCAAATAGACCCCTTAAAGGGGCAGGAATTAAATTTTCGTACTTGTCAGTTATTCGATTTCTCGTATTCTCCTTGACAAGTTGATAATATGCATGTAACGGATGGTCTACATGTAAAAATGGAAATTCTATTAAAATATCATTGTTTAGTTTTAAATAAAATTCTACTATGTCTCCTTCCTGAAAAATGGGAATAGTTTGGCACAGTGTATTTTCTATCATGTAAGAGAAAAAATGTCAGAGTTCTTCATCATCACTTATGTACTTTTGTATGCACATGTTTCAATTATTAAATATATTTCCAGTTTTCAATCATATGCACATGCGTAAATACTGTTCATATATAACAGGTATCAAATATTACCCAATTTGCAAACATAGCCGTATATTCAATTATCACATGTTCATGCAAACTTTTTGGCAAACTTATATTCTCTTGATTCCTTGGAATGTAAGATGTAAATATCTCTTTCTCATTTTCGCTCAGAACCTCGTCCCAATTTTGCTTCCGGATGTCGTCATTCTGGGGTGGGGTATGTGTGTGTGTGTGGGGGGGGGGGTGTGGGGGGGTGTGGGGGGGGGGGGGGGGTAATGGGGAAATTGTCACATGTGTTCAAAAAAAAAGTGAAGAAAAGTGGAAATGTGAAAAAGTAAAAAAGGGGGAAAAAAAAATAAATAAATCAATCTGTGTTTCTTTTCGTTTAAGTCTCTCCACCCCTTTAGATCTTTTTTTTAGTGAATATATGAAGTGGTCTAATTTATAATTTAAACGCGATGCACAGTTGCAACCACGAAGGGGGTTACATGATGACACAGAAAAGTTGTCATTTTCATTCCACAGAATTTATTACACATGCTGATTAATTTCTATTCAAGCATGCCCTGAATATGCCCCCCTAAACATGCCTTGAACATACTTCAAACATACAACTATCAGGTGGCTATCACTCAGTTAACACACATTTAGCATACATATTGCATTTACAATTGTAGTATGGGAATCTCCTTATTCCGCTTCTTTGCTTACGTTCAGGTAATTTAAAATGTTCACAGGTGGTTCACTAGAGAAGTAATTTTTCTTCTTCATCTTGCTTACTAAAAACTTAATCAGAGTAGCAAAATTTGTTAGAGTGTCAAGTCAAACAAGTAGGAAGGGAAAAAAAAAAAAAAAAAAAAAAAAAAAAAAAAAAAAAAAAACCATAAAAAATGGTGGTTAGTAAACATGAAAAGAATAGTTTAAAGTTACATACACCTTACTCCCATGCTACATGTGTAGATATTGTTTATTTCAGTCGATTCATGTTAGAATAAACTTTTTTTTTGTTTTTTCAAAACTTATAAAACTTTATACTTTTACTTAATTTAAAGCTAAATTGTTAATTCGTTTTTATTTAATTCAATTTGATTTAATTTAATTTATTTAATTTAATTTCTTTTAATTTATTTGATTTATTTTATTTTAATTCAATTTGATTTATTTTAATTTACTTAATTTAATTTATTTTACTTTATTTTAAGTTAAATTTTTTTTTTATGACAAAAAAAAGAATATAAAACATATAAACCCCCTTTCACTAGCGAATTACACTTAGGCGAATCTACAAAAGCATTTTTTATTGGAATCTTTCAAAACATATTTTATGGTCATAGAAAAACGAAATAAACATCTGTCCTTTTGTTACCTGTTCGTTAAGTTTTCCCGTTCTACTCATTCCTCAAGCAGCACAGTATTGTCAGATATATACATGGAACCTATTACATGTGTGTGGGAGATATATTCGTATATTTATGGTTTAAAAATTAAAAATAATTGTATATTTACCACTGATTCATTCACGTTTGTAAATGCTATTAGAACGATTCTCCTTGTTCATCCCTTTTGTTTCAATTCATCGAGTTGAGATTTTTTTTTTTTTTTTTTTTTTTTTTTTGTAAATACCCCCGAATCGCTCTTTTGCTATTTTTATACTTTTACACATTTTGTGTATGTACATTGACACGCAAATTAGCTTGCACGAATTGAGCCATTATAAAAAATAAATAACAAATAATTAAAAAAAGGTAGACTATTTTTTATTCCAAAATGGAAGAGAACATGTGTAAGTAAAAGTGACGCGTCTGTTTCCATTGTGGGGTTTTAATAAGTGTCCATCTACATGTGTTTGTCTATGTACATGTGCACATATACATATATACACACATATATATACATGTTCTTGGCTTTAAATGCACATATATTTGCATACGTATATATACACACATGTGTTCTTTTTTTTTTTTCGCCTCTCTCCCTTTTGCCAAAACCCTGTTTAATTTTTACGCAAACTAACTCTCGTTTCTCTAGTTTTCCTTAATTTATATTTTCAACGGAACCCCTAATTTTACAAACTTTTTTGAACAAAATGAAGAAATTTTGTATACTCCTTTCATCTTTGTTTATATTTTCGTTTTTTAATTTATCTGAATGTATGCTGCCGTGGACAAAAAAAAGGAAAGCAGGTTAAGAAAGAATGGAAAGTGGAAAAAATGGGGAAAAGAACAAATGATGCATATCAGTAGATGAAAAAACTACACATGTACACCATATGGCACACATGAAATAAATTTAATGAAGAATTTTGTTTCCCAAAATAAAAATATCTTACCCTCTCATCCTATCCTTTCACGTCTTTTCCCTATGTCAGCTTCTAGAATTTTGGCATACTAATATGTGCTTAATTCCTACACATGATAAAGCTATGAATTATTATTATTTTTTTTTATTATTTTTTTTTTTTTTTAGTAAATCAAATGGGAATTATAAAAGGTTTTGAACCAAATTGAACTTACAAACTTTCTGTTTTTTTATGCTTTATTATGTAGTAATGATTAAAATTTCCAGATACTACTTATCTGTACCAATTTCTCTATTTTAATTTTCTTTCGAAAGATATGTCGAAGGAGCTTAAGAATAAAGCTGAAATGCTCCCAACCTCCGAAGATCTAGTAATACTGCCAACTTATTTATTATATTATATTTTTTTTTTTTTTTTTTATCTAAAATCACGCTTTTCAATCTTATTGAAAACTGTTTAAAATTAACATTAGCATATCTTCCTCTTTTACTGATACTTAAAAAAAAAAAATTTTTTTAGTCAAACAAAATTCACAAGTAAATGTTGAGATTATTGAAATATACACCTCCATATCGACCTCTGTCTAAATGAAGAGAGGTGGAAATTTAGCATTCAAAATTATACGTCCCTTATGCATACAATTGTTTCGTTTTTCCATCCATTTGCATATGGATTGCATTTATCCCCATTATTCATTTTTTACTTACACACTAGGGAAAAAACCTTTGCTTAATGTATAATTAACCATGTGAAAATTGATATGCACCTGTTATGTATACCATGTTGTTAGATTAGATAAAGATATCATAGAAAAGTTGAACAAAGATATAACTGATGAAGAAAACTTGGATAAACACAAACCACACGTTTGTCAAGAACCCTCATACGAAAGGGATTATTCTTACTTATGCCCTGAAGGTAAGAAGTAAAAAAAAAAAAAACAGCTAGCTATTTTTATAGATGTTGTCACTAATGTTAAGGTATTTTCTGCTTTAATGGAAAGATTGCACAAAACTTTATGTAGTTCCCTATTCAACTGAATAGAAAATTACAATGGGCTTTTCTTTATTTTACTCTCCATCTTTTATGGTATCCCCCCCCACTTTTTTGGCACTTTTTCAGATTGGGTAAAGAATTCCAATGATCAGTGCTGGTAGGTAGAAGGGAATTTTAAGCACTTCCCTACATATTTAGACAACTGGATATTTACGCAATCTTATAACACTCGTCGCTATTACTTCAACACAGGGGAATAGATTATGATGGTCACTGTGAATCGTTAAAATATTTTCAAGAATATTCGGAGGAAGAGAAAAGAGAATTTGTAAGACTACATTGTGCATGTTGTGAGTTTGAAAATGCTTCTTTAATTTTTTGATCCCTACGCAAAATATCATTTTATATTTTCTCCCCATTCTCTTAGTGGTATATCTAAAAAGGTAACCACACCCATACACATATATGTTTACATTTCATTTATTCCCCTTTAGGAAATGAATTGCTGTGTCTTATGGCCTAAGTTAAAAAAGGGAGCTATGGAAAGAACGAAGAAAAAGGACATTTTAAGGGGATCGGTTATTTTTACTTTATTTTGTTTACTTTTAATTTATGTGATAAATAAAACAGCACTTTATTACTTATAATTTGGTATTTTACATTCTCGATTCACTAATGAGTTTATAACAAGAGATAAATGATACTGTATACATATTTTTTTTTTTTTTTCACAGATAAGTTCTAACAATGGACTTATCATAAAACCGAAATATTTGTAAATTGGGAATGAAAACACAAATGATTGAGGTAAACAAATTGTTCGTAAGTACGTATTGATTTATATCAACAAAAGGGGAAAAAATAAAAAGTGCATAAGTTAAGCAAATATAAAATATGGAATTTGTTTATATACTATTACCCCTTCCTGTAGAATCATAAAGTTGCAAGAATGTATCATAAAAAGCTCATCAACATTTGTTAGTAAATATTCGTTGCAATTAATTTTTTTATTTTATTTTTTGTAACAAATATTGGGAGAAATTATATGAAATAATTTTTCTTTTGCTTCATACCAGGGGTGCTTGGTTTTCAAGTAGAAGATGAAAAATAAAAAAAAACAAAATAAAAAAAATTTCGGATATGAGCCGTTTCACATGACTTATTCTATGGTGATGTGATGCGAAATCATTTCTCCATGAAATGAAAAATCAGTGAACAAAAAACACAGTTCTTATTAAATCGAGAAATAACCTAGTTTATTTTATTTCATTTTGTTTTTCCACATTTGTTCACAATTCTCCACATTCGTTCGCAATTTTTCACACTTGTTCGCAATTCTCCACACTTGTTCGCAATTTTTCACACTTGTTCGCAATTTTTCACACTTGTTCGCAATTCTTCACATTCGTTCGCAATCCTTCACACTTGTTCGCATTCCTTTACATTTGTTCACGTTTTTTCACATTTCTTATTTTATATTTTTGCCCACGTTCTACCACACAACGGGGGGGGGGGGGGGGGGGTACGAATAATATACCCCAATTGGCGGGAAATGAAAAGTTCCTAATGAGATAAAAAATTCTCAACTTTATAAGACCAATTTGTAAAAAAAACACACAAAAAAAAAGATTAGGAATAAAAATAATATATGGAGTAGAAATATATCTATTCTTTTAGCTTAATAAGCAAGCGCTCCTCCCCACTTTTCCTCACTTAAAATTTATCTTGAGATTAACCTTTGGTTGAAATTTAAAGAAGGGAACTTTGTCACCCTGCTGTTGCACTTCAGGGGTGTCCCTGTCATTGAGCAAACCAAAGACAAAGGTTAACATTCCTAAATCGTAAATAAAATAACTTTGCAAATTTCCGTATCCACTTTTCCTTACGAGGGATGTTAGAGTTAAATTCAAATTTAAGGATGGGTTAAACCATTTTTTTCTCTTATCTTTCATGTTATGTGCAATTTTTTTTTTTTCAAATAATTTTTTTAAAGGACTTTGATTTAATTGATAATAATTCTTTAGAGTTTGTTCCACTTTTTCAACAAATTGGTCCACATACTCTTCAATCATTGTATTGTTAAACATATCATTTTCTTTTTTAAAATATTCATTTGGGATTAATTTATTTATTCCTTCTTTGAATTCTGCAGTTAAAGAGTTTTTTAATAATTTTATTTTGTCGTCTTTACTGATTAAATCTTTATCTTTCTTTTCATAGTATTTATTTAAAATGGTATTCTTTCCTTTATTAATGATTTGTTTTTCAATCAACAGTAGCTGTTTAATTATTTGTTTACGTATTAATGATAAAAATCGTTGTTCTAATTTTTCAAAAATTGTGTCCTTAAATTTAGTGCCTGTTTGTTCAAAGGTTAATATGTGAAAAAAAAGGAGCGAATTTTTTATCAGATCTGAAGACAGGATTCCGTAATTTGGAATTACATTCCCTTGGGTTATTTCTTTCTCATATGCATTGAATATTTTATCAAATTGATTTAATGTTTTGTTGTAAGATTCTTCTATTACGTATATATTATACACACAGTTTTCATTGAAGGGACAAAAATTTTTAAAATTATTCAACTCTTTCATCACATTTTCTAAGTTATTCACAAACATGGTGTATTTATTTATGTTATTTTTTTGCAAAAAATCTAAGTTTATTTTATTTTTTTTCATTAAATAAATATTCTTTAAATTATAATATTTTTTTTTTAATTCTTTTACAAAATGTTCATAGTTTATGTCTTTGTCCCAGCCTTTTTTTTCTTGTTTTGTTATCCCTTCATCATCCATTAGAACGAAATAGACATGCACATTTTTTCCTTTCTCATTTAGTTGATTTAAAAATATTTCCATTTTTTTTGGAAAAACTAAAGTACAATTTTCATTTTTCTCCTCAATGTTTTTTACAGAATAAGCTTGCTTTTCTGTTAAATTCTCTACCCCACGATTAATACTTTCGATGAAACATATATCATCATTTAATAGAGGTATAATAATACTATTTGTTGACTCCACAATGAAGTTGATTAATTTTTCATAATTATATATGTTGTTTCCAATGTTTTCAGAAAATTCTTTATTCTGTAATAAATCCACGTCAAGTACCACGTTCAAATTGTTATATTTATCCATGCCAAACCATAGATCTAATTTTTGTTGAAATCCTAAATTAATACAATTTTTTTTCATAGTAGATATGTTAAAAAGGTATTCCAAAATTTTCTTTTTATTATGTCCTGAACTTCCATAACAGGAAAAAACATATTTATTTTTAATTGGAGCATTATTATCCTTTATGCTGTATTTCTTTAACGTTTGTATTTTGTCCGTGTAATCATTAGTTGACAAAAGGTTGATGTATTCATATTTTTTTGTTGATTTAGCTTGATAATTAAGTGCACAAAGAAAAGATAAGTATACAAGAAATACAAAGACGTTTACCATTTCAGTGTTCTATTCGCTATCTTCTTCATTTTATCTTTTTTTTTTACATGTATCCATGAATACATATATGTATATGACTTAACTACGTATAACTAGAATGAGAATGTATGTTCTCTGGTTCGGTAAAAATACCTAGCAGTGGCTTTCCTTTTATAGATCTTAAAATATTCTTTGGTATATAGCAAACGCACATGTGGAGAACCCTAAACCTGTCCTCGTGCGTCAGCATATACCTATACAAAAGGTTTACCAATAGCTTTCATATGTATATGCGTAATATGTATTATGTAAAACCCTAACGTGCACTTTTAGCTGATCGTTCAATAAATTTGTTGCTATTTTTTTTTTTTTTTTTCATCCTCTGTGGCGCTCGAACTTTCCCTCTTTCCTTAGTATTGAGTAATTTGCTGCAAATTGTTTCTAATTTTAAATTGTAACAATTAATAGCCCTTTAAAATGCCTTTTAGCTCCTCCATTTTATGTGGCGTTTTTACATGGTGTTTTTTTATGGTATTTATTTTTTGTGGTGTATATTTTATGACATTTTTTATGTTGTTTTTTATGTGACACTTCTTTAAGGTGTTTTTTGTTTGGCACCTTTTTTATGCTGTTTTTTATGTGGTGCTCTTTTGTGCTATTTTTATATATTATATTTTTATTTTCCTGCACATCTAAATTAAGCATTAGAAAGCAATTTGACCACACTGTTGCAGTAATCACTTGGCCTATTAGGAACTCGTAGTCATATTTCTCCTACGGAGAAATGTTTACACTTTATTGAGCAGAGAAAAATGGGAAAGGTAGCGTGTAAATAAGCCTATTCGTCTGTACCTCCTTTGCTAACGCATATTCGAATATATGTACATGTGCGCGCATGTATGCTTAAGTGTTTGGTAGAGGCATGGCAATTTTGTTATGCCGCGCACATGCGAGAAAAAACTCATATAATTTGATTGGTCATCCAAAACTGGGAAAGGGAATACAACCGAGACTCACAAGTGTGCACGAGAAGTCTTGTAAAATTGACCCTTTTTTTACATGAATATTCCATTTGTTAGCTCGTGTAAATGATAATGTGACATAGTAAGGATTCATGGGTTTATGATTCATTTATGGGCTTTGGATTTACAGGTAATTTTTACCATTATACGCTCATAATTGCATTAGATTTTTTTTTTTTTTTTTTTTAAACTTTATTATTCATAAAAAATTGGTCATATGTAGGGAGTAGTCCAGTTAAGCTTTTGTGGTGCTACGCCACATAATAGTGTAATACATAAACAATCAATTGAGTATATATAAAACAAATGTGTTTTCCTTTCACAAAACAAAGACATCTTCCCACACTATACTGATTAAAAGAAGATTTTTTTTTTTTTTTTTTTTTTTTCGTTTTCATGTTGAATTACTATTCCTTATGTTTTGGAACATTTCTTTTATTTTGATTTTACACCACTGTCTCATATATTTTTTTTTTTTTTTTTTTTTGAAAAGAATAAATAAAACACTTAATTATCACCAAGTTTTAATGATATAATTTGACTTAGTTCATTATTCCCAGCGTAACACAAATTCAGTTCCCTCCATTTTTAAGAGAATAAAAAGGAGATTATTAAAATGTACTATAGAGAAGTATCAACGAATGATATGTAAAAATAAAGTAAAAAAAAAAAAGTAAACAAAACAAAACAAAAAGAAAAAAATTTCAACGTAGTAACAATCTTATTTTTTAAAGACACAAAAAATCAAAGAACAAAAAAGCATGTGCAAGATTGATATGTGTGTAATGTAAGGTTTATGTATATGGGAATGTTACATTCCTTTATTTTTTAAGTACGATATAAGGCATTTAAGAATACAAAATATTCATAAATTATCATTTAAAAATTACAAAATTGAAAAGAATTCGGAAAAGTATCCAACTATTTAGCATAGTTTAAAATTGCATATAATATATTATTACTCGTTCATGCAGAAATTAAAAAAAAAAAAAAAAAAAAAAAAAAAATTATTAAATGACATATGGCTAGTTAAAAAAGAAAAAAAAAAAAAGCAAAAAAAACAATAAATAAAAATGTCCACCCCAAAATGTTTTAATTATAAAATAATATCATATGTATATCCATAAAAATATTAAAAAAAAAAAATATATATTTTACTTTTTTAGTATATTTTAAAAAGAAAAAGATATAGAAAAAAAAATACAACTTTTTATTTTTTGAAGTATATGAATAAATATTACGCTTATTATGTATTATATAAATGTGTACGAGCACATAAAAATACGTATATATGCAAATATATTACACTCTGTTGTACACTCACATTTGTTAAATAAACATATATTTAAGTTTATATGCGAATTTCCCCCACCCCCACCTGTATTATGCTAACCCAAATGCACACAGCAGGTGCAATGCATTAATTTATGAAAATCCCATAAACATACTTCTAAAATGCCGGAAGTATTCGTGAAAAAAATTCACGCAGTTGCCAAGTGGAAATGGATTGGATCATCCATAGACAGTGTGTGTGCAATTTGTAATAACGCCTTAGAGAATACATGTACGAACTGCATTAGTCCAGGAAATAGTTGCCCTCCCGCTTTTGGAAAATGCGGTCATCATTTTCACTTACACTGCATGGAAAAGTGGATACACGAAAACAAATTTACGTGCCCTTGTTGTAGAGCAGACTGGTTTTACGAAACTCAAGAATTAGGATGACACATGGAAGGGGTATAGCATGCAATGAAAAGGCATTCTATTTTCACGACCTTCGAGGGTAAGCACTATTATTTCATTTCCCAGTTATCGGTATTATATTATCCTTTTAACTGCATTTTTATGCATTTTTCGAATTCAGTTTTTTTAGATACTTTTTTATACATTTTTTAATCTCTTTTTTAGGTACTTTTTTATGCATTTTTTAATCTCTTTTTTAGGTACTTTTTTATGCATTTTTTTATTCAATTTTTTTACATATTTTTTTATGTCCTTATATTACACCGATGGGACATGAAACCCTTTTCCGTGCAGACGCCCATCTACATCTTTTAAGAACAAGCTTGTTTCACACAACTGTGAACATATAGAATTTTTTACGTAGCATTCTTTGTGGTCATACGCAGTATATAAGAAATATTAGCACGTTTCGTTCGCAAAATTGCATCCCTTTTGACTAACTCTTTTTTAAATTCACTATAGAACTATATGTTGCACCTTTCTTGTAAAGTTTCTTTTATTACTAGATTCGTTCTTCTTACGGTGAAAAAGAGTTTAAGCATCGTTAAATTCAAAATAAAAGCCTTTTTTTTTTATTTTTTTTTGGGCATATATCTTTAAAAATTTTTTTTAGTTCCAAATGTGAAAGAGACGACCTCTCACATATTTCTCTTACACAGTCTCATACTTTTTGTATGTTAGCCGGAAAAACGCGTTAATTATGTTCTTTCCATGGAATATATATATACATATATATATATATATATATATATATATATATATATATATATATATATATATAAATATATATGGCATAAATAACATGTTCCAGAAAACACATATATATTGGTGCAATTGGTTTAAGAATTAGTTTTATTTATAAAAATGTACATATGCAATACTATACAGACTAATGTAATTGTTATATGTATGTTTATGTGTAATGTTTGGAGTTTTGCAGAAAAGGAGAAAATTCATGAATAGGTGGAGTCTTTCTCTGGGCATCTTATTTTCACACTTTTTTCTTTTAAAAAAAAATTCCCAATTTAATGCACACCATATAATGGCCTTATTTAACTCTTCCCTTCCCTTTTTTTTTTTTTTTTTAAATTTTTTTTGCCATTATTTATAAATAAAAACAAAAACGGGATATGATGATTCCTTGGTGGGAAAATGCATTCTTGTCAGTACGTTTCAAAATTTTACAACTGTAAAACGTAGGACATCAACATAGAGGAAATGATTAGCTTCATGTTTGAGCTCGGTTTGGCAACATTTAGCAGTAATGAATATAATGCACGCATTAGTATAAATGAGTACATGTGGACTCATAGAAGTACAACTTCATATATATAGGAATATACAAAAAGGCAAATACACACACAAACGCCTTTACACTTACGCAAGGAGCCGCTAGCATCGCCAAAGCCGTTAAGGCCTATTTATTTATGCGTCTTAATTTCGCTTTACATTACTGCGTGTTCACAATAGTACATACGTAAGGCCTATCCTGGGTAATTCTGTTACGCATACATGCGTTCGCTCATTCGTAAGACAAAAGTGAAATATATAAAAATGCAAACTATCTATATTAGATGCACAAAATTTTACAGGAAAATAAAAAAAATAAAAAATGGAAATGATAACGATAATGATAATGTTTTTTGTCATGCATATTTTTCAAGTGTACACACAAATAAAATATTATTTTTATTCAAAATAGTGCAATTGAATGAGTTCAAAAAATATATGTGTGATTACAGTGCATTCTTTTATGTTTGAATTTTTACGTGAAATACATAAAAAGGGATTAGTAAATTTCATGGTTTTAAAAATAAATGTAAATAAATTAGATAATGTGTAAGTAAAATGTTCTTATTGCTATTTCGTTTTACAATGCTGTTGGAGTGTGCAATTAATTGTTACTCCATTTATTAGGAATATAATGTGCTTTAACAAAAAAAAAAAAAAAAAAAAAAAGAAAGAAAGAAAAAAGTAATAATAGTGATAAGGATAAACATTTGAGCTTAATCTCGCATAAAACGGATTAACCTCACCGAAGCAGGTGTGAAAAGGAATTATGAATTAACTAACAAATAAGGGGAAAAATGTACACAAACTGGATACGCATATATATAAATATATGTATAATTAAATGTAAATATACATAATTATACTACACCACATATATACGTAGTTAAAAAAAAAAAAAAAAAAAAAAAAAAATACTTTTTGTCCCTTTTTCCTCATTTGTGTCATTTTTCCCCCCTTTACTTTTTTACTTTTGTTTTATCTTTATTATTTTTTTTTTAATTTATTTTTTTTTTTAATTTGTTTTTGCCTTTTTGTTAATAACAATTTTATCATATCATTTAATTCTCATAATTAGTACACTTAACTGCCTTAGTAAACTGAAATTCAAATATGAAAATGGAGAACATTTTTAAAAAGCAAAATAAGGAACCTTTATATTTTCACATTTAGAAAGTTTTGAAGTAAAAGTGTTAGTACAAATAATCTATGTGTTTTTAATGTGCCAAAGCATGTATAAATATATAAAGTATATATATATATATGTACATATATGAATGAATACACAAGTGCGTGTATGCGTTATCGTATACATGGACGTATGTAAAATACATGCTTACACAAACACGTACATAAATATGTACATACATGCATACACATATACATAATACATACATACGTAAGTACATAAATATATACATACATACGTACGTACATGTACTTGTATACATATAAATAAGTTTTCCCCATTTTAAAATTTTTTAAAACTGAGTCCCATAACATAGGAATTTATGCTAAAGAAGTTAATTTTACATACATCGTAATTATGTGCTTGACATGTACATATATTTGTGTTGAAACCTGTACTTTAACACCATATAATGCATACGGGTATGTGTATTATGAATTCATCCAGTGGTTGATGCATGTGCCCCAAAGGAACTTATACGTATAATATATATATGTACATATACAAATACACATGAATATGAATACAAAATTACCATTGCATTTCCGCGAGTTCATATTCCCACCAAAATATTACGGCACTTAAGAATGTTAACGAAAATTTAGAAATTCATAAATCACTCATATTTCTCTTTTTTATTTTTCCCGTTTCCACTTTTTCTTTTTCTATTTTTCACTTTTCTCTTTTTTGTTTTCTATTTTTTTTTTTTTTTTTTCTCACCTGTTTCCATTTGCTTTTTCTCTTTTTCCTTTTCTTTCTCTTTTCTCTTTTCTTTTCTTTTCTCTTTTCTTTTTCCTTTTTTTTTTTTTTTTTTTTTTTTTTTTTTTTCGCCCTTTGATGAAGCTTTATTCGCACACAAGTTCACGATACAATTTTACTCCAACTCATTTTTTTTAAAAAATTTTGATAAAATAACATTTTTCTCTTTTTCTCCCTTTGATTATTTTATTTTTTATATTTTGTGTTTTACAATTTTTTTTTTTTAATATACCTTTTTTATTTCCTTTTTCATACATTTTTACCTTATAGTTATTACATTTTTTCTTTTTCTTTTCTCAGTTAAAAATTACTAAATATCTTGTGTATGTAAATAAAAGAAAAAAATACGAATGACATACGTGTATAAATATATATGCATATATATATATATATTTTATATATATACATTTACGTATACACATATTTTACGTTCGCATACAAGAGCTGTATTATACACGAACCTACGCATACGTGTATACATCCAAATATACAGATAACAAAATTATGTGCTATTCCACATGCACAATAAAGTGTACATTTTTATATAAATGGGAAACAGGACGCAAGTGTACACATGTTAAATAATATCCCATGCACCCTTTTATAGAAAAATGTGAATACATGCTTAATACCTCATATGTGAAATTTATTTTATGTTCTCATATAATTATTTTATGTATGTGGTACTTTAGAAGAGGTATACGTGAGTACATGTATACGTATAAATTCTTAAGTGAATTTTTATCTAATAAAATTTTACATAACAGCAAATGTGTTGACCATACGCAATTTTATTTTAACAATATCGATCTTGCCATTTTTTTCTACAAAAAATGAAATAGTCATCCTGCACATGTACAATTGTGCTTGCATATCTTTATGCATACCAATAACTCATATGGGCGCAAAAAAAATTTTAATCCCAATTTCCATTTTACAAGAGGCTTACAAATATGCTATATATATATATATATATTATACATATACATACATAAATACGTAATATTGTGGAAACACAAAGAACACTTTTCGAATTAACCGACGTGCACAAGAGTATACAGTCTGACATTGTGCTCAGTGCATACATATTGGTGGGTATGTATAAGGGCACATATTTCATTTTTCCACATATCTTCATTTTCACATGTAAACGAGTTAATTTTTTTTTTTTTTTTTTTTTTTTTTTACAATTACTCCAAAACGCTACCATTCTTAAGTACCAAATGTAATTTATGACAAAAATGCATGTAGATGAAACATTTTTTTTTTTTTTTTTTTTTTTATATAATTTAATTGCTATATGTGAATAATATTGTATGATATTTACAATTTATATATCTTTATATGTATATATATATACATATACAAATAACATTTTTGTATATTTTTCTACATCTTATTTTTATACATTTTTTTCAGTTTTTACAATTACATAAATTCTGCTAGCATACATTCGTATACAAACAGAGAAAAATATATACGTATATATCATACATATTACAATTACATCACAAAATGCTAACCATAAATGCCATAAAGTTCAGTCACATGCATAAGAAAAACAAATTCCTCGTAAAAGTATGATCAACACAAACGTACGTACAAACATGTACGTCTGTAAATACTTTGTCGAGTTCACAACTTATTTTACATGCCTTATAAAAGGGCACATTTTTTTTTTTTCACTTTTGAACTGATAATTTTTTTTTTTTTTTTTTTTGGAAATTAAATTATAAAAAAAAAAAATAAAATAAAAACCATGAGCTATGTATGAACTCATCTGCACAAATTATAAAATATGTACTTGAATAAACATTTTTTTTTCTGAATTTTTAAAAAGGCTGCATTTTTTTTTCTTTCATTTCCCCGTCATACAGTTTACACCGTATGCGTAAGATATTTTCATGTTAATATGTATACTAATACGTATTCGCGTATAGGCATATATGTACACAGAACGTTATGTGTACATTTGTATAACTACATATGTACACGTGTGCACATATACATTTACACGTATATACACATATACATATTTACATATACCTTATATATACCTTACGTATACTTGTGTGCACTCCTCGATTGACTCTTTTCCTTATGCGCAACCCACACATTGGGCACATTTCACTGTATTATCGTGCAAACCGAATAGATTCTTATGTATAAGTACATTAGATGAATTATTGTATGCACATATTAGCTTAGAGTATGCGAAGTAGACGTATGTGCATGTTAATCGTTCATGGTGTTTATTGAGAGAAGTTCGTGCACGAGCAGCATTCACTTGTGCTTATGATAGATTAGAGGCTGCTTTTGTACATAAGTGTAAATAGAAAATATTAAGGGTTGTATATGTGTATACACACGTACACACATATATATATATATATATATAAATATATAAATACATACACAATATACATGTACAAAGTGTCATTTCTGTCCTTTACCCCGTTAAAATGAGAATAAGAAAAACATGGTGTACATTATGTCGTGAAAATTTTGAAGATGGTGACGAATGCATCCAATGCAAAGAGTGCAAAAAGAAGTTTCACAGGGAATGCCTGCAAGCAGAAGGATTAATTGATAATGAGATTTTGAGAGATATTAAAAACTATTTGTGTTATCAGTGTATGAACGAGGATGATGAAATTCCCGAAAATGAAGACAGGTGTAAAATATGTCGTGAAAAATCATCAAATTTAATTTTATTACTATGTGATGGATGCCCAAATAGCTATCATGTGACCTGTTTGGGTCTTCCAGCAGAACCAGAGACAGAAAAATGGTTCTGTCCTGTGTGTAAACCTGAAGAACATAAAAATTTAGATGTTAGAAGGATGAGAAAAGGATTTGCTATTGATAATATGAATGGTGATCATGTTAACTCTTCAACATGTTATGTTTGCCAGAGACCGGGAAAATTACTTGGATGTGATTTTTGTCCTAATTCATTTCACCCAACATGCTTACCTGATCTAGATTTTGATAATATATCTGATCAGTGGGAATGCCCATGTTGCAAAAATGAAGATCCTTTATTAAACCAAGGACATAAAAGATGGACAAAGAATGAAATTCAGGAAATCATGAAAAAAAGACAAAGAGAGTTAACTTTTTGGAGATCCAAAATTATAAAATATAGAAATCGATTTCTTTTAGCACACAGAAAAGATTTACAACCATTTGTGAATCCCAGAGTATTTTCAAATCTTACAAAAACGTTTAAGAATGATTTTTATAACTCTAGAAGTAATCATAGTAGTAGTAGTAATGCTTATGGCTCAAGCAGTGGAAATAGAAAAGTCAACAAGCACAACAATTCGGATAGAAATTATTATAGTAATAATTCTAGAAAAGATGTAGATATGGATTCTAAAGAATTCGATGAATATATTTCTTCATTAGAAGATGAAGCTAACGAAAATGCATGCAAATTTATTGAATCTGTATTTTTAAGCGTTTATTATCCGAATGGAAGGAAAATTGAAAGAAGACCTTTGGTCGATAATGTACATTTAAAACCACATCAAGAGGATGGTGTCGAATGGTTATTAAAATCGTTCCTCACAGGAGGGGCTATCTTAGCAGATGAAATGGGATTAGGTAAAACAATACAAACATTATGTTTTCTGTCGTATTTAAAATGTAGCAAAATTGATGGCCCACATTTGATCGTTGTTCCATTATCCACAGTTGGTAATTGGTTAAGAGAAATTCATAGATTTACACCGCACCTTACGTGTATAAAAATTTGCGGATCGAAAAATGAAAGAACACATGCTAAGGAGGATCGATTGGCTGAAAAAGGGTTGTACGATTTATACGTAACTACATATGAAACGGTAAAAAATGAAGAGGAATTTTTTGTAGAAACGATTCCCAAATGGCAATGCATAGTGTTGGATGAAGCTCACAGAATTAAAAATCAAAGTGGGGCAATTAGACATTCAATGGATAGAGTCGTTGGTAATATGCGACTGTTATTAACAGGTACACCTCTTCAAAACAACTCAGCTGAGTTATTTACTCTGATTAATTTTATGTTTCCAGATATATTTAAAAATTCTGAAATTATTGAACAGGCTTTTATGAACGCATCACAAAACAATGCTGCTAATAGCAGTAACAATAATGGGATTACAAATAATAACCAAAAAAATAATAACAGTATGAAAAACAAAAATAGTAAAGATGATAAAAATAATCTGAATGGTGGTGGTAGTGTAGGAAGCGGATCCAAACTTAATGTAAATATTGGAAATATAGATCTTAAATCTGCTATTAAAGAAGAAGACTTAAAATCGATAAGATGCTTGTTAGATAAGATTATGCTGAGAAGGCTAAAAGAACAAGCCATAACTTTGCCTAGAAAAATATTTCATGATGTGTGGTTACCTTTAGGTACACTTTCAGCACATTGGTATAAAAGGTTATTAGATATAAGATCCATGGTGGAAGAAAAAGTTAGCGTAAAAAAGTTACTTGGATTAGTTATAAAAATGAGAATTATTTGTGGACATCCAAAAGGAATTGTTAGTCGTCCATCCCAAATGGAAAAGCTATTTGCATTTTTTGAAGAAGAAAGTGAAGAGATTAAAGAGCAGGTCAAAAATGATGCCCTAAAATTGAAGTATATATCTGGAGAAGAACATATCGAATCATCATCGAAACTTATATTTATTGATAAATTACTATGCCAATTACATTATGAAAATTGTAAATATGTTAAAAATTATTCATCAAGCTTTGAAAAACATAAGAAAGAAGTTGCTGCGTATAGATATCATAAAATACAGGAACAAAATAATGCACAAAAAAAAAAAAGAGAATATTCTGGTAAATTTAAAAAAATTGAAGCATTGGAAAGTAGCCCATTATTTATGGAAATTCTTAATAAAGGAAAATTCGAATTAAAACCAACATCAGAAAATGAAGATATGCTTAAAAGTTTTATGCACACCGTGGCGATTGATAATGAATGTCCTTATAAGAAAAAGAGATGCATTTATGATAAGGTTCGAGATTTTATTAAAAACACGGTAGCTAATCATAATAACAAATCTCTAGGAAGGAAGGAAAAATTTATCAAGCACCACAATCTCCAATATGATTTGTCTCATTATGATTATCGAAACAGTACGGGTCATTGTGGAGGGAACAACAAAAATGGTTATGATGAAAATGATCTATCCAATCAGGATGAGGATGAGGATGAGGATGAAGAAGTGGAAGAAGTGGAAGAAGCGGATGAAGCAGGGGGAGACAAGAATAGTAAACCAAAATCGAGGAAAAAATGTAAAAGTGACGAAAGTTACGAAGAGGAAGAAAATGACGAAGACGTTGAAGTTGACGATGAGGAAGAAGAGGAAGAGCAGCACAAAAGAGGCAAGAAAATTGGTAACCATGATGATAAAGACAATGAAGAAGAAGAAGAAGAAGAAGAGGAATATGACGATCATAATGCCAATGGTAATGAGCACCATAATTCTAGTGTCAGTGACATTGTAAGTGATAATGACGACCATAATTCTAATGGCACTGACATTGTGAGTGGTAATGATAATATCAGTGACAATGATGACAAGGACAATCATAAGGGTAACATGAAGGAAAGCAACAACACTTTGTTCGATAGCAATGAGGAGCAGGAGGAAGAAGAGGTGAATGAAGAAAAGGCGGACGAAGAACGGGCAGACGAAGAAAGGGCAAACGAAGGTGATGAAATCGAGAGGAGGGGGGATAATAATAAAGAAAAAGATAAGGATGAGGAAAGCCATTCTAATGGTATGAAGAAGGAACCGATTGATAGAAGCAAGAAGATTATAGATCTTGGAAATAACTGCAAAATGATGAACATAAAGGAATTCTTTAAAACACAGAAGAAAGAGTCATCAGGCAGCCTGGACAAATCAAACGAACACTCAACGAAAGTATCCGACAAGGGAGATTCCAGAAAAACAGATCTGGAAGACATGAAGAAGGAGGAAGAAGATGATGATGAAGAGATGGACGAAAATTTATGTCAGATGAGCAGCAGGATGGGTAGTGAAGAGAAGGAGAAGAAAGACGAGGAAGGATCAGAAGATGAAGCAAAGCACGAGGAAGAAGGTGAGGCAAAAGGTGGGCCTCACAATGGAGTAAACAAGGAAACAAATGGAAATGAAGGGCAAAACGGAGATTGTAGCGAGAAGTATAATAAAAAAAGTAGCGAAACTAGAAATGATGAGAAGGAGGAGAATGAGAGTGAGAATAAATCGAATAAGGGAGAAATAAAAATGCATAAGGTACTAATTTTCACTCAATTTCAGTTAGTACTAGATGAACTGGAAGAATATTGCAAATATAGATGCTGGAAATATATGAGATTAGATGGGTCAACTAACAAGCTGATTAGAGAATTAGATATTCGTGAATTTAACTTAAGTGATAGTATATACTTTATTTATTTAATAAGCACAAGAGCAGGAGGTCTAGGAATAAATTTAACAGCAGCAAATCATGTAATTATGTATGATGAAGATTGGAACCCATTTATTGATCTTCAAGCTATAGATAGAGCCCATAGAATCGGTCAGAAGAGAGAAGTAAATGTGTGGAAATTAATGACAGAATGGACAGTAGAAGAAAGAATGGCATTTAGAAGAGAACAGAAATTAAAATTAGATAAGTTAGTTGTTCAAACACAAGATGATGAAGACATGTTGGATAATTTTGAAGAAAAATTATCATCCGATGAAATAAGGAAACTAATGTTACATGGAAAAGCAGCTATTCAAAATATGAATGTAGAAAATACTAATAATTCTTCCCTGGAGTTTTTTATTGAGCGTGGAAGAAGAAAATTGCCTATTATTAATGGAGTAGATTTGGAAAAGGAAGAAAAGACCACTATAGAAGAAGAAGTAAATAATAATAATAATGCATTAGAAGGAGATAGTAACATTTGTATAAGAAAGGGTAGAGGTCGTGGTAATGTTGATGATAGTGAGGAAGAAGAAGAAGAAGAAGATGATGATGATAATAATAATAATAGAAGAAGGGATCATGATGAAGATGAAAATGGTATAGATATAGATGAAATCATGATGGATGAAGCAGAGGAATTAGAAATGAGACACAACAATAGTAACAATATGAATGATAATAGTCCACTTTATGGAGACGGGGGAGGAAGTGGTCAACTTTATCTTAATAGTAGTAGTTCCAAATCGAAAATTGGTCTTTTAAAAGATAACAATAATGCAGAAAGTACAAACGGGTCAGTAGGAGGAGGTCGAGGTGGAGCCACAGGTGAAGGACACAATACACAAAATTCCAGCAATGGTGGAATTGTAGGAGGAGTTGGAACTGGTGGTGGATCTGACACAACTTTGTGGAGATCAGTAAGAGAAAGGAAAAAACCACAAAATATGTATACTCCAGAATATTGGGGTAGAAAACAAGAAGTAAAGCAAATAAAACATGAATATAGATGTTTCATTTGTAATAATACAAAAAATTATAAAACAATTGTTAAAGATAGAAATAATAACGATATTGAAATTGATTATGGAGACATGATTAACTGTTTTAGATGTCCAAAGACATATCACAAATTATGTGAAGGAATTAAAGACGAAAATGTGAAAAAAACATGGACATGTAGTTGGCATGAATGTTGTTTATGTTTTAGAAAATCATCTCAATGTGGAAATTTATTAATTCATTGTGCTACATGTCCAACTAGTTTTTGTTACAATTGTTTTCCACCTGACTATGTAAGATATTATGTGGGTGAAGAATATTATCATAATTTACGACAAAGAGGTGTTAATTTTACGCCACAGAATTGGGTTTGTTTCTTATGCTCTAAATGTAAAGCTGTAGAAGAACAGAAAAAACGAAGAAAAATGACAAAAGAAGAGAGAGAAAATGAAAAACAATTACAAAAAGAATTAAGAAGTCAATTACATGATAGCAAACAGGAAGAATTAGAAGCGAAAAAAAGAAAAAGAGCACAACAAATGGAAAGAGATAAATTTATAATCGAAAATAGAAAAAGAATTGATGCATTGGATCAAAAGTATGAATTACAACTGAGAAGTGCATATGAAAATCTATTTCCTCCAAATTTTGTTAAAGAATTAATGAATCGAATTGAACATGCAAAATCATTAAAACAAAAAGGAATTGAAGATGAAATAAATAAAGAACCAAATAAAAAAAAATCAACAACATTTTTACATACCAAATTACCAAACAAACTTTTAGTCCTATGTGAAAATTGTAAATTGCCATGTCATGCTAATTATAAATATCCAGGACAATGCTGTTATCCATTGGAATTAGATAAATCCTATTTTTATGCTAATTCTTCTTTTAATCATTTATCTAATAATAAAGATCCAACATCACCTTCAGGTTGCAGTAGTAATGACAAAAAAATAGGGACAAATAATAAAGATCAATCATCATCATCTTTTTCAAGTGATTTTAAGGAAAGGACTGAAATAAAATATAATAATGATGAAAAAAAATTTTCAACCCATGTTACAACCAAAGGTGAAGAAAACGAGGGAGATGTAGAAAAAGGATTAACACTAGTTGTCTCTACATCTAAAGATATGAGCAGTTCTAACAAAGACACTAACAAGAGAGGTCTTGATGTTAACCCGGATAATTCACTGCACATAAAAAATGCTGTAAAGAGTATGAAAGTAAAAGAAAAAGTAGCTGCCCATGCTGACGTGGATGAAGCGAACGATGCAGACGAGGCAGATGATGCTGATGATGAAAGAGAGAGATGTGACAAACAAAGAACTGTACTGACAAGTCCGAGTGCGAAGAGTAGTCTCTATGATGGTAATAACAGCTTTGGAAAATCAAGTGACAATTTTGTAAATACAAAAATGATCAAATTTGAAAGGGATTACAAAGAAGAAGAAAATTCCATAAACAACAGCAGCAGCACATGCTTCGCTAAAGACGGTAGAAGGAATAACAAGGAAGAGGAAAAAAATCTACATGACAAAATACAAAGCAGTAGAAATGTCAGGCTTGTTGATGAAAAACAAGAGAAATACAATGTTGAGAATAAATTTAATCACAACGCAAACGAAAACGCAAAAATGATGATTATGAATACAATTTTGTCATCTGATAACAATGGAAATGACGTAAAGGGAGAGAATAATAATGAGAACATTGCTTTAAGTGGTGATACACCAAATAGTAACAATGATGCAAATTCCAAGGGAAAAACGAGAAGATTTTTAAGAGCCGTGTGCTCAAAATGTGGCACAGTACAGTTAGGAAAATTAGCTCATTTTAGAAAACATTGCGATAAATTAACAGAAGAAGAAAAAAAGGAATATGAAGATAAAAGAGAAAAATTAAAGCAACTTATCGATTTGTTAAATAAAAAAAATATACAAGATGAACATACACAAGAGGAATATAAGAATATGTCAGTTTTTAAATTCAAAAGTTTGTATAATAACTTTCAGGATAGGGCAGATGACATTTTGGAAGAATGTATCAGGGAGATGAAATGGGATATGTTAATATCATCCAAAAAAAAAGTTCCAAAGAAAGAGAAAGAATTTAAAAGGAATAATAACAGTAATAGTAATATAAATGGTGGTGGTAACAATAACGCTGGAGGAAATATGGATGATGACAAAAATGAGGATAACCAAAATAGGAGCTATAGTGCAATGTCCAGGTCGAGACCAAATATAGCCCAACTATTGTTTAGACATCCATTAATTATGAATTCAAATGGTGCAAATACAAAAGATATCATAGAAATAAAAAGTGATATAACAGATGAAATGAGAGAAATAATGAATAATGAAATGTCATCCATTACTGGAAAAAGAAGAAAATGTGTTAAGAGTAATAATACCGTTAAAAAAATAAAAAGGAAAAAAATGAATGAAAATAATATGGAAGATTTGTCAAACATTAGTAACACGCAGAATGAAAATAATAATGACAACATGAAAAAATTGAATTATCTTCTAAATCCATTTCATGAAAAATTAATTAAGGATATACATAATGCTAACTTTATTAGAGATTCATTTAATGATGATTTTTTACTCAAGGCAAAAGAATTTCTAAGGGTTACAAAAAAAAAATTAATTAACAACTCCTTTACAGAATGTGCTGGGGGTTCTTCTTCTACCTTCACTGGGGTAGGAAATACAGATCCATTAAGCTGTGTTGATAAAAATAGAAAATTAAATCAAAGTGATATAGAAAAATCTATCATTCAAAATTACTTAAATAAGATGAAAAATTCTCTAAAAAATAGTATATACTTGGAAAAAAATACCCCTTCTAATGATAATAACCTTATGACTAACTTAGGATATGCAAAATCGCGTATAAATACCAGTGCAAGTCATGAAAATAAAATAAACATTAATTCCGATATGTATAAAAATACCCTTGAAAAAGGTAGCACCACCAAGTATTGCATATTTTCAAATAAAGGATCCTCAACTATTACTAATCCTGGTATTAAAGATTTGGCCTCAGACTCCCCTTCACCTAGTATGAAGAAAATGGAAAAAATAGAAAATTTTAATAATAGAAATATTCGCAATAGCAACAACAGTAGTAGTAACAACTACTCCATGAATGATTTTAATGTTGATATATTCAATATTGATAAAAATATAAAATGTGAAGATATAGAGAAAAAGTTATTAAACTTATGTGCCAATACAAATTTAATGAAAAAAAAAATTTTCAAACCTGATAAAAATGAACAGAATGTGGAGAGAAATACGCCTCAAAATGTTGATGCTAGAACTAATTTTCATATTAAAAAAAATGAACCTCCCTGTGAACGAGTCCATTCCAGTACTGTAGATTACAATGTCGATTATGATATTAAAAAAATAACTAATTCTTCAGAAGCCTGTGGAAGTAATAAGGTCCAAGAGTACATACTCTATCGAAGGAAAAAACCAAGTAACAGTTCCAGTGATATGGGAGAAAAAATTACGACAAGCACGAAAAATGCTAGTGGGGATAGGAACAACACTTCTGTTGACAAAACTGCTACCATTACAAAGAGTGCAAGCAATTCGAAAAACATTGGCCAAATGAAAATATCAAGTACCATAACGAATAAGAGTAATGATAAAAATAGACATAGCAATAACATGGGAAAGTCATACGATGATTGTATTATCAGTCGAAGTAATTCGAATAAACCTGATCCACAAGCAAGTATCAACAAAATGGGTTTAAGCAATAATGATAACATTTTGCAGCATCTAAATTTAGATGATGTGAAAAACTTTTTAATGAGTGCAGAGAGGAGCAAAAATGATAATATTCCACCCGAAATTAACTAAGCATCAAAACATCTCAGGTATCATGAAAAAATGAAGCAAGAAGCAAAGAGCGTCTCCCATACCCCATATTTTCCATACATCGTTAATATGTACATTCGGACGTATATAAAATTATATACAAAGAAGAAAAAAACGATCTCAGTGGAAGAATTTTCTCCTTTCGACTGTTGTCAAACCGAGACAGGTAGAGGTATTAACCGAAGTAGTGTGAATATGTTCATATGTCTATTTAAGTTTAGTTGTAGATTTAATTATTTAAGTGAATTTTGTCATAAATCGAGATGACAGTATAGAGGGGGGGGACCATATATATATATATATATATATATATATGTAGGAAAGGAATGGGTGCTTTCTTTGAAAAAGGGCATGTAAATCAGGATTTCACTTCATCTGACCTTGTTGCGTGGTGAATACAAAACATGCTATATACCCATATGTTGAAACGATACATAGTTGGAAATGCATAAGAACAAGAAAAAATAGCAAAAAAGGAGAGAGAAAAAAAAAAAAAAAAGGGATCACATGGATGATGGAGCGATAAAAGGATAGAAAAATAATACAGTAGAAACTAATAATATCGTAGAGGGTAATAAAAAATAAAATAAAGAACAACAAATATATAACATAAAGAAATTCGTTCAAGTTGAAGATGTAATGAGTGATGAGTAATGTACTTCCTGAAAATATACCATAACCATCCCCTCCTCGACGTAGTCCACATTAAATAGAATGTCTTAGTGGAAAAAAAAAAAAAAAAAAAAGAAAAAGAATAAATGAATAAAGCACTATTTCAATGCATCCTGGCCGTCCCAAATAAATATGAGAAGAATAATATTTAAGAGAACTAACTGAAGAAAGGAAATTCCTTTTTCTTTTTTTTTTTTTTTTTTATTTTTTTTATTTTCTTATTATCTTTTTATTTTTGTAAAGGGATAAAGCATGAAGATGAAACATACATGTAGTTTTTATCATATAACAGTGTAGAGATTTTATGTCATGATATCGGTATTTATGCACTCTACTACTAAGATGAAGTATATGATATTTTTATTAGGAAATTATTTGGATTATACATATCCTTAAAAGGAAAGGAATATATATATATATATATATATATATATATATGTATATATATATTCTTCTCCCTATCGGCACTTCCGCATATTTTTTATTTCCTGCCTTTTTTTTATGAGGAAAATTTTTGTACATTATTTAATTGTCTGTGTATTGTGCGCATGTGTAAATTTTATCTCATTATGCATATACCACTGATGCACTCTACACACATATACATGAACACACGAATTCGTCTTCAGTTGAAATATATATACATGTAGCAAAGCAGTTCATTTACATATTTTGCGTTCACACGAGGTCCATTTACATATACATATGTATGTATACATATATGTATATATACGTAAACGTAAACACATATACCTGTTTGTGTGCATTTATGCGTTCTTGGCGCGTACCTGTGTGTTTTGTATTTTTTAATAGCTTTATTTTTTGGAACAAAAAGGGAACATTTGTATATGTATTCTGTATATATATATATATATATATATATATATATATATATGTATATACATGTGTGTATGTGTACGTATGTATCCGTTTCTTTTTAAGAAAATGAACAATATTTTTTTAATGATTTTTATTTTATTATTATTATTATTTTTTTTATGAATACTCCATTGCTGTCATTTTTTTTTTTAAAATAATGTTTATTTAAATTGTAGCTAGCTGTTTTTTTTTTTTTTTTTTTTTTTTTTTTTTACACTTTTCTTCCTTTTTTTTTTCGTTTTAAAATACAAAAATTTATGGGTTATTTTATTTTTACTTTTTTAACAATTTATCATGTTATATATCATATACCTAGATATATATGTACATTCATGTGTATATTTGATTTCAATGATATTTCATTAAATATCCATTGCATGTAATAAAAACAGGAAAAAGAAAAAAAAAGAAAAAGCAAAAGCAAACCTACTAGTTCATATATATTTATATATATATACAGAAAAGCATGCATGCACATATTCATCTGTATATATTTAGATACATTTATAGCGATGTATATATATTTTTACCACATCACAATTTTTTACAAGTAAAACACATCCAACAAATTTTGAATATATATATATATATGTACTAATATGTGTGTATATATGTATAACTCCACCCATTCTCCCCCTAGCCTTAACGAATTTTTTTAATTTAAAAAAAAAAAAAAAAAAAAAAAAATTAAAATATAAATTATTATACTTAATTGAGCAAATCGAAACTGTTGAAATAGGCATACCTACGAATGGAAAATTGGTACAAAGTGATTGCGGTTATGTATGTATGTATGGTGGTGGTGTAGTTACGTCATATACGTGCAATTTACAGGATTCATTTTATACAATGGAATGTGTAATTTTAAAAAGAGGATTCGTATGATAAGTCTTTATGAAGACAAGATGTTACTCTTAATGTTCGTACAAGAGAAAAAATATTTTCTCGCATCTTGCGCATTTGTCCAAATGCTTACTGAGAACAAATGCAGAACAAAATCCGATAAAAGACAAACTGGGACCTATATATGGACATCAACCTGATGAAAAGGAAAAATAAAGGGGAAAAAAAAAAGTGATATAGGAAGACCCAATTCTTTTTTCTTTTTGCCACACGGTCCTTCCATTCATTTTTCTCACTTCAACAATAAGACTGGGTTGAACTGGAATGTCAAAAATCTGCCATTGGGGGGAAGTAAAAAAAAAATAAACAAATAAAGTAAAATAGAGTAAAATAAAATGAAGTAAAAAAAATATGGTAAAAAAAATAAAGTACAATAAAATAATAAAATAAATCGGTTAAGGGGTAAAATCAAAATGGGAATCGTGTTAAGCCTAAACAGGTTTCATATCGATGTCCGCACATTGGGTATGAAAAAATAATTGTACTTGGTTTGCAAAAGGAAGGGCAGAGAAAATAACCCCAAATATTTAATTATCAAATGAGTGGAGTTCAAGGTCAATACTTTTATGCCTTTCTCTTTCGATAGTAATCTAATTGTGTAAAGAAAAAGTGCAGAAGATTTGGTTTTGTGCACACATACGTAAAAATGTAACTATTAATAAAGACAAAGAAAAACACGCGCAAACAGTTCATGTTTATGTATAAATATATATATATGTATACAGTTGCACTTGTGACATGGGAATAAAATGGTACGGCAAAATGATTCGACATGCAATGCTTGTAGAAACATCAGATCAATCGCACACTCGTGTTCATACATAGATGCTCACACTAGACGACACTCAAATAACAATAGTGAAAAACTTTGACATGTGAAAAATTCAATCCTGTCAATATTACCGCAAACTATTGTGAACGCTGATATGATTAGGATGCCCAGACACACCATATTCGTCAAATGTTAAAACCTAAAAGTGAATGAAACAGGAACGCCCAGTTTATAATTTATCACATGTTTTTTTTTTTTTTTTTTTCTTCAACTCATGCTTTTTTGTACACGTTCCCCAACAATTAATGGATTAAAATTTACCTTTCTTATGTTGTTCCTTGTGCAATAATCTGCTATGACATCAACAAGACACTTCTCATTCCAGAAATTCCATCCATCGCGTATGTTTGGGTCATTTATAACTTTACAGTTGTTTTTCAACCCCCCTATGTATGACCAGACATGGTAAAGCTCTTTTTCTCGTATTCTCCCCTGTCCATAATAATCCCCATTTGATAAAGATAAAAGAAAAATTTCCGCTTTTTTTTTCTTATCAAATAGTAATTTTATGGTAGGGAAAAAAAACATGATTTCGTCATCCGGGTGTGCAATAATGATACCAACATTTTCCTTCTCTCTTAACAAACTAAGAAATTCATTTTTTTTTTTATTCAAAAAGTGAAAAAATATATAATGCAAGACACACAACAATAAACACGATCCTGCCAGTGTACATGCCAGTGTACCTAACCATACACAAGAAAATGATATGTAATACATAATTCAGCAAAAATACACTCATAAAGAATTTGCATTTTTTAAAAATCACAAGTGGAAAAACTTATCATATATATTATAAGAAAGAAAAAATGGGAGATGAAAAAAGAAAGACAAGGAGTGTATAAAACAAGTACTAAAAATAGGTAACGGTTATTTCTCTTTTTTTTTTTTTTTTTTTTTTTTTTTTTAATGAAAAGGAATATTTTCCTTTTTTCTTATACGATTGAAAATGCCCAAGTTACGCTGCTCGACAAAGGAATGTACAAATAAAAAAAAATAAATAAATGAAATAAAAATGTACTACTACATGACCAGAATTACTTACATGTGTATATGCATCGATTAATATATAAATGTGTTATAGTGTAAATTTTATTCTAATCCTCCAACTTTTTCTTTTTGTACTTTTTTGGGAAACCACATTTTTTACATAAAAAAATAAGTAAAAAATGAAAAGCCAATTTTAGCATTTTTCTCTCAATAATTTGCAATATTTCTTTTTTTTTTTTTTTTTTTTTTTTTTTCTACATTTCTCCCTAATTAGTTATAGTTTTAATGTTTCATTTCTTTCTGTATAATCATATATTTTTGCTCTTTGTTTAGTATGACAAATTTACTTTTCCATATAGATTTTCACCAACGGCATAATGTGTATAATTATTAATGTACGATTATATGTCTTATTTTAGTACCCTAGCCCAGAATTATGTGGATGAACGTTCTTATTTTGAGGGAAAAAAATTTCCCCATATGCATCCATGTACGTATGTATATATACTTAAGCTAATATAGCTTTATCTTTAAAGTTACAACTGATTGAACAATAGATTAAAAAGAAAAAAAAAAAAAAAAAAAAAATCTTAAAGAACGTTATTGACAAAGGCAAAATAGGAAACGTAAAATACAAAGCAAAAGGGGTACATATCAGGGAATAAGAAACCAAAAAAAAAAAAAAAAATAAGGAATGTCAAATTTAAAGGTAACTCAGAGAATAGAGGTGATTAACGAACATTCCTTGCAAGGTTCAAAAAGGGACAAATGAACAAATATGCTAAAGAATGAAAAGTTCTGCCCACGAAAAAGTGACACGCAGGTCGACAAATTACTTGCATGAAAAAAGGGGAGGAAGGAAAAAGCACGTTGGGACAAGTGTAGGCTTTACCTTATGCCCAGAACTTATTTGTATATGTTAATCAGGAAAAGAAACTGAGAAGTGAATATTTTGTGAATTAAAAACTCGCCGTCTAAGGTGCAAAAGTACATACGATCGACATCTTCATTAGTACTGTGTAAAATTTGGAAATCTTTATAATTGTCTTGTAGAGACTTCTTTAGTGGAGAATTTTTCAATCCATAAATATAATAACTCATTTTACTTGAAAATTTTTTCATTAAACAAATGAAACCTTGTGCTTTCAAAATATTTTTTTGTATATCTTTATTATCTTTAAAGAGCCCTATTCTATTATTGTTGTTAAAGTTTTTGTCTGGCACTATTTCGTGTAACCTTTCTTTTAAAAGTGCCACTTCAGCATATTTAATTAAATTTGCGAATGTATAAACTGGAGTTATTGTATCTTGATGTGGGTTTGGATTAGATCTAAATGTGAAAAATGGTTGCATCCTTACATCTAACATGGAACTTGCTGATGATTCTGAATGGGCGAAATCTGGAGTTCTGGGTAAATCTGGAGTTCTAGGTAAATCTGGAGTTCTGGGTAAATCTGGAGTTCTAGGTAAATCTGGAGTTCTGGGTAAATCTGTATTTGATGACGATGATTCATTTGGATGTACCATTTGATCTTGGTACTGTTCACTCAAATCGAAAATGTTGGTCTCCCTAATATAATTAAGCAAAGAAGAATCAACCATAGCAACGGTTTCATTGATACTCTCTATGCATAAATCTATAGCAAATTTTTTGTAAGCACCCTTATCAGAATATGATGAATTCAGTATATTTTCAATATTCTTTGGAGAAAACTTTTCTCGAAATAGATAAAGAACACTTTTATTTTTGTTATACAAACCCATATTTATCTGATTAAAAAACCAAGAAATTGTTGCAATGATATTTATAGAACACGTTCTTCTTACAATGGCGATATTTCTGAGATAGTACAACTCTGGTGTTTCAACATCTTTTAAAAATAAAGTTTTTATTTCACTATTATAAATATTTTTTATTTGCATTATTAGGCTAGAAATGCTGTAAGCATAATCGTATATTAATTTCATGTGCTTATTGTTAAAGGGTTCTCTATATTTAACACTGAAATGAGTGAAAAGATAACTTTTTACTCTTTTTTGTTTTCCTTGACATTCCAAATATTTCATGTTCGATTTGTTCAACAATGATGAAGCGAATGATTCTATATTTACAAAAGATTTCAACAAATTTTTACAATTGTAAAAAGTGTCACTTGCACTAACATCACTATGACTTATATCCTTTACAATTTTTTCATTATACGTTTCAATTAAATCTGAAAAAATGCCCATATCCTCTGGCAACTGGTTTAATCTTTCTTTTATGTCTTTTTTTAATTTTGCATACAGTGTGGTACATGATAATTCCATATACTCTGAATTGTATGAATCCATGTTAATTAAATTGTCTGTTAGCTTTGAAAGGATGTGTGTTACTGGGAAGTTTATGAGAAGTTGCCTATTTGACATGTCTGTTATGCGTGTGTGTGTGGAGAAAACAGGAGGGGGTGAAGATGAAGGAGAAGTGAAAAAAAAAAAAAAAAAAAAGGAAAAAAAAAAGGAAAAAAAAAAAAAAAAAAAAAAGAAAAAAAAAAAAAAAAAAAAAAAAAAAAAAAAAAAAAAAAAAAAAAAAAAAAAAAAAAAAAAAAAAAAAAAAAAAAAAAAAAAAAAAAAAAAAAAAAAAAAAAAAAAAAAAAAAAAAAAAAAAAAAAAAAAAAAAAAAAAAAAAAAAAAAAAAAAAGAAAAAAAAAAAGAAAAAAAAAAAGGAAAAAAAAAAAGGAAAAAAAAAAGGAAAAAAAAAAGGAAAAAAAAAAGGAAAAAAAAAAGGGAAAGAAAAAAATATTAAACAGGGCACATTTGGTACCCCCCCCCCCCCCCAAATGTACTGCTTATCCCTATTTTTATGTGTAATCTTCTGCGAACCCTAACACACTGTATGTTGTATATGCAGGAGAAACATAATTCATAGATGCATCAAATTGAGCATTTATTCGCATGTCTACATCACCAATGTTTCTTAATTACTTGTTCTCTCATACTTAAGGCCTAGAAATGGAACCATAATAACTACGCAAAAGGGGTGGTGATAGATTAGGGGGAGAAATGAGGATTCAGTTAGGAAAATAAGTTGAAAAAAAATGTAGATTCACATGTTATTCATAGTACATGTACACGTAAGAGCACTTCTGCTTGTGTATTTGTGTGGACCCCAAAAAATAAAAAAAGGCAAGTCATTATTTTTTTTTTTTTTCTTTTTTTGAGGGAAGGATGGTCGTTCTCACCTTTCTCCACTTTATCATTATTTATTGATAACTTAATCGAACTGTCTAAACATTCCGTTTCATCAGTAAAGAAATGTTTACAACTTCTACATATATTCAAATAGACATCTTCCATTTTAACCGAATCATCATATGTCATTACATTTGTTGACATTATATAAGTTTGTATACATTCCTCGTCCTTTAATTTTTTTCTTACTTCATCCTACATATTAGGGCAGAAGAAAATGCATGTAGATCAAAAATCACACAAATGAAGGAGGAATTATTGGTAACAAAATGAAGAGACTGCATGCACAAACACACACACTAAATGTGTCAAGCAGATGAAAAATATTTATTTTTATCACTTAGGTGCAGAAGAAAAAAAAAAAAAAAAAAAAAAAATAGAAGCAAATATTATACCTGACTTCTCTGGTGTACAGCCTCCTTTTTATAATACTTTAGAACATCTCTATCTAATATACTGTCCAAATAACTGTGCAATAATTTTTTTTTCTTCTCTTTTATTTTTTTACATGAGGATTTAGAATATTGTCTAAAGGGGGGATGTTCAGAGCCTAACATTTGTGTTTTATTTTGAATAAGAAAAAAAAAAAAAAAAAAAAAAAAAAGAAAGAAGGAAAATTAGAAAACTAAAAATAAATAGCAACACTTTTATCATTTTAGATGTTGATACTATTTATATTCTCTTAAAATTCTCTCAAATTTTATTATTTCACTCTTTTTTTTTTTTTTTTTTTTTTTTTCCTTCACGTATTTGTTCAGTATATTTGAGAATAACAAAGTGATGCAAATTGAAAAAACGGTAAAATGTCACCACACGAAATGTTAATTGTAATATTCTGTGTATTCCTTTAGCTTTTATATCCGATATAAAAATTATCAAAACACCGTAAGGAGCGTTGTCTTTTTTCCTTCAGCATGCGTGGTGTATTTTGTGGAAATAAAAATAGGGAAATTCTTTTTTTCTCTATTTGTTTCCTCTTTTTATCCTCATTTTTTCTTTTTTCTTCTATTATCATTTAAAATTTTTCATTTTGAGTAAAAAGGTTGTAAATATGTGTCTCATTTTATTTATTTTTTTTTTTTTTATTTTGTTCATACCTTCCTAAGAGAGAGAAAATCAAGAAAGGAAGAAAAAAAAAAAAAAAAAATGAATCTTTTTGAAACCTACATGAAATTATTTTATTTATTTTATCAACTATTGTGGTACTCTACGTAGACAGTGTATTATTCTACACTTCATTATATTAAGTTTCAGTTTTTATTTTGAGTTACCATAGGAAATTCGAAATCTTGTGTCATAAGAAATTCCATTTTACATTCCAGATAGATGGCAAAAAATAAAATAAAATAAATAAATAAATATATGCATTTATATGTTTGCGCTTGAAGCTATTGTGAGTTTTGTTTAATGTATTTTTATTATTCTTCATTTATTCTTCTTCTTCTTTCTTCTTTTTTTTTTTTTTTTTTTTATCCCCTTATTTCTCTACCAGTGAAGGTTACTTGGGCGGAACAACATATTTAAGAAGAAAAAAGGAAAAGTTAATGAATTCAACTTTTATTGTTATTATAAATTTTATTCACATATTAAATTTTTACTAACATAACTGTACTTACGTTTTCGTTTACTTATTCTCCTTAAGGGGAGAATGAAGCTTTCTCCTACACCTGAGACGAACAAAATAAATTGATACATGTTATTTTCTATGTCTTTTAATGATTGCGGTTCTCTTTTTTAATTATTATTCATTCGTGTCGTTTTGCTATCCCACTTACTTCCTCTACTTGTGGAAGATACAGACTCATTATCAAAAACTGAAATGGTGGAGGAAAATGTAAAATCATGATTTCATATTGGTGCAAGCTTTTAATTATTATTCTTTCATGTTTTTTTATTTCCTTTCATACTTCCTCTACTTGTTGAAGGTACAGGTTCTTTATCAAAAACTGAAATGGAGGAGGAATGTGTAAAATCATGATTTCATTTTGGTGCACGCTTTTTATTATTACTTATTCATGTCTTTTTATTTCCTTTCTTACTTCTTCTACTTGTGGTAGGTACAGGTTCCTTATCCAAAGCTAACATCAATGAAAAAAAATGTATAAATGTAATTTCACTTTTTTCATCAATTTGGCACACATTTTTTAAATTATTAATCATAATTTTTTTTTTTTTTTTTCTAATTACGTTCTCTTTCTTTGAACAATGGGTGTAAATCTATATCTAAAGTTGAGATGCATAAATATGGAAATGTCGTTTCTCCAGTGCACAATTATTTCGGATGCATGGTTATTACAATTTTTTTTTCTTTTTTTATTTCCTACATTCTACATGAGAGCGTGATAAATCATCTAGATATATGTTTAAAAAGGTATTAAAAATATATGAAGTTAAGGATATATATATATTTATATATTTTTTTTTTTTTTTTTTTTTTTTGCCTATAGGGATGTAAGCAGTCCTTTTGATTTTCATCAAATGGGTGCTCTTTTATTTTTACTCCTTAAATCATTTTGTGGATATAGTTCTTTCCGTGTATCTAAAAATAAAGTGGGGATGGAAAAGGAATAAGTAATAGATTTATTTCTTTTTTTTTTTTATTTTGCAATTTTTTTTCCATTGAGAAAATCTATTGATTTGTTCAATGTCTTACATGTGGAATGATGTGGAGTTTGGTACCGTTGTACGTAATCTAAAATTATAGAAGAAAAAAATAAAATGGAGTTTCATTTTCATTTTTTACGCTCGTCTGGTAGATTTTTTACTTCATTAACTATGGACAATGTGTGCTCCTTTCTCGTTACATGCTTTTCATTTTGAGAAAAAACCTTCTGCAAGAACAATCGGGGTGAGGGTAAAAATGTTTCGAGATTTTTTTTTTTTTTAATTTTTTTTGAGCTTTATTTTTAACTATAGATAACATGGGCTTGTTTATTTGTTTATTTTAAAATTCTTTTTATTCTTTTTGATTACTGCTTTTATTGAGGATCGGTTTTATTGTCTCTGCAAAGGAAAGCAAGGTGGGAGGTTCGGCGCTCAAGTGGAGAAAGAAGTTGGAAATGAAAAAATATACACACACATACATAAGCACATATACATACACACCTAGATGTATAAATAAATACAAGCATAAACACAAATACACATATGTTATTTCTTTCCCTATTTTATCTATGTCATAATTTCCACATATTAAAATTTTCCCTGTCATGCATGGATCTTCCTGTTTTTATTACTTCTCGTGTTCACAGAATCCTGTTCATCTAATTATGGATTCAAGAAGTAACGTTAAAAGCATTTATATGTGGCAGAAATTCTCAGAAATGTGACACAATAAATTTATGTAATATATATGTGTATGCACATACATTCATCTCTTTTATTTTATATTCATTTGTTTTGTCTTATATTTTTTCTTTTTAACCTACCCGAAGAACTAAGGCTTCGCGCTGCATACAGGGCTATACCAGAAAAAGGAAAAAAATATAAAAAAATAATTATCTACACACACTGATTAGTCATGCTAAAATAAGATAGAGATATATACATATCCACCTCTCCATCTCAGCATTTTTGCATTTCATTGTGTTCTTCACATGAAGTAGTGCCTCTTCTCAAGGGAATTCCAAAATCCCGATTTTTCGTGTAAAATTTTAAAAAAAAAGGAAGAGGAAGGGAGAGAAGCAGGGGAAAATCGGGGAGGAAAGAAAGAATAAAATTCTGACGTCACTAGGATTTTCCATCGAAAATTATACTAATCGCATGCTTTAGCTTTTCTTCATGCACAGAAATATTCTGACTCAAGCCATGCTTACATTTTGTGCTTCTGCTTAAGGAATCAAAGGCTACACACGTATGTATGGATATATGTATATAAATATGTATATGTATGTGTGTATGCACGTATGCGCGTATGCGTGCGCTGTATTTATTGGGTGTGTAGGGACAAGAATGTGTTACGTTGTCATGTCTATGGTAGTGCCTGAAGAGCCACTCTTCAAACATACACATAAAAATAAAAACTGAAAATGTACTGCTTTATACACTACTTGAGACACTACGTGGTACATGACTTGGTGTACTATTTTTGAATGGACTCTGGAAAGCATTACCCAAGGGATTCAACAAATTAAACAGGCATGTCATCAAAAGGAAGATGTAGACTTCTATCGTTGATGTCATCTTTATCGAATATAAACAAAAAATGTAAAATGAAGGTACAATAATTTATTGAGGAAAAAAAAAAAAATGGAGAACCTAGGGAGCTATTTAGATACCAGTTGAAATAAACCTTGTGAAATTAGTGAATGGACAAATTCGTAGAAGGAAAAATGTGTATTGTTAACAAAATGGAAAAATAATTTTCACAAAATAAATTAATGAAAACTATTTTCTTTTTCCCTCAATTTAAAGTTAATAAAAGGAAATCATCCACGATGTAAAACTGGAAAAAAAATTTTAAGCTCGAAAGGAGCATAAATTTTATGAGAAAAAAAAAAAAAAAAAAAAAAAAAAAACTCAAAATGATGCACTTTCATCAAAAATTTATCATGGAGTAATATTAAAAATTCACTTAGCACTTTTTTTTTTTTTTTTTTTTTTTTTTTTTTTCTTTTATTAGAATTATATAATTGATTTTTTCCTTTTTTGTACATAATCCCTTTGTTGTCATGCAGAATTGTTCTACATATTTGTATTAAATGAATACTTTTTCTTTTCTTTTTTTTTTTTTTTTTTTTTCCTCTTTACTACCACTATCTTTGGACACAATTAAGAATCTATTTTTGCTCTTATTCTACTTAGAATTTTTTTGACATTCTTCTTATTTTTTATTTTATTTTTTGTTCAAATTGAACTAAAACAAATTGATAATTTGCATAGAGAAAACATGCACCTCTAGTGCTATCGCGTCTAACGACGTGCGTCTTGTTGTGAAGTGGTTATATCCTTGGACATGTTGATGTCATAAAATAAATTCGAAAATAAATGAATCTTTTTCGCTCAAAATGTGGCTCACCACACCTTATGTTTATTCTTTATGCATGTGAAAAAGGTGGATTTGTTTTAATTTTCCCCCATTTTACCTGTTTCCAAAACTGCCCTTTTTTTTTTTTTTTTTTTTTTTAGGGTACAAGGTTGGCCCATGTTTGCGTAAGGTTTTTTGCATGTGTACACCCTTCACCCTTAATGAGGCTACATCTTTTTTTGTGTGTCACAAATATCCTCCTCTTCCTTATTCTTTAAAATGTGTAAATAATTGAGAATGTTGCTGTGTAAAACTCATTTCATGTTTCAGAAAAATTGTGTTTTACGAGATTCATTATGCAAACATTACGCATAAACCGATATTCACAAAATTGAGAGCGCAAATAATAAAACCATAAGAGAGAGCGTGAAAGAAATGTAATCCTATATTTGAGCATAATTACACGCCATGTGTTAAAATATACTTAAGGGAAAGTTACAAAGCGTAATATGAAATCGTGAAAAAAAAAAAAAATATTTTCTAATTAAATTGTATGGAAACGCTTCCTACTGCTTTATCACGTCGGTTATTCCAGCTCTATTCATTTAAGAAAATTCGAGTACTTTTGTTATTTTTTAAAAAATGTCTTATAGACGAATTCCACAAAAATGTGTTTCTTTCTCCGATGTGATATATTCGAATATATATATATATATATATATATATAAAATAGTCTCAAAAAGGGTAACTCATTGCCATCTAATTTTTGAAAGAAAAAAAAAAAAAAAAAAAAAAAAAAAAAAAAATGCCTTTTAAATTCTCATAATAACTCTTATTCATATAACCCCACAATGCACAAAAAGACGCGTATTTCTTAGTGCAGAAAAAAAAAAAAAAAAAAAAAAAAAAAAAAAAAGTGAGAACATATAGCTACCTATGTATAGGGACAATTTTCCAGTAATCTACAATTTATTACTCAAATGAAATGAGAATCATTAAAGGAAATGTTATATTTACATCCACGTTGATTTTTCAATCCTTTCCGTTTTGTGTAGAAAATACAATAGACCTCATCATCTCGGATATCACTCACCCCTCCATCTGAGGCACGTGTATACACGTTTTAAGAAGTACACCCCGAATGATTGAAAAAAGAAAAATGAAGAAAGTCACTAAAAAAAGCAACACTAAGAAAAAGGAGGAAAAAAAAAATCTTCTGAAGGAAGTATGGAGAAATAAATTCATATTGTTCATACAAGAAATGTACATGCAAAAGTGCACATAAAGTTAGAAGTGTAACTACTGTGGTGTACGTGGTACAAGACTATATACTGTTGCTATTTGTAACATGTTTTTTTTTTTTTCTCTGGGGTCTCCATATTTTTCCCCATTTTTATGGTAAAACTTTTTCGTAATTTCTTATTGCAGTTAAAAAAATTAAACGAAGATCAGAATGCAGAAAACAAAGTCGTTGATGATATTAAAGAAAAAATTAAGAACATAGATTCAACTGTTTTTCTTGGTTATCATGACATAAAGGTCTGTTGTGAAGAAACGTGTGTAATAGTGCACATAAAAAATTTTTCTATCCATCAAACTTATGGAAAATGAAAAATGGGCTCAACGGAGATAGACTATTGCAACTAAAATTACAAATGACAATATGAAAAATTGGAGAAAAAAATAAAATATAACAACAAAAAAAAAAAAACGACCATCACAACTTGGTGTGTTTTCTGTTGTGATAATTTCCATCCCTTGATTTTCCTTCCTCTTCTTTGATAATCTATATACCATATATTTCTTGCCCCTCTTTAGATTCTAAAACTGGAGCAAAAAAGAAAAGAAATCGTATTAGAAGAAAACAAATCTTACAAAACATTGTCCTCTAGAAAAGTAGAAAATGTCATAAACAAATTTGTGCTTAAGTGCTACGAATCCTTTTTAGACAACTTGGCAAAAAATGAAATTGAGTTGCATGAACATACAAAAATTTCAGAGTAAGTGGGGCAAAAAATGAATAACTTCGGGAATTCCCATGGGGGAACATGGCAGAGAAGTGTGCGTGTTGAGAAGTTTGTGTGTAGTGAAGTGTCCGTGTTGAGAAGTGTGCTTGTAGAGAAGCCTGCGTGCATGACTCTGTTTACAGAAAGGGAGAGGAGAGGGAAACCAATTTCTGATGTCGTAGATGTATCCGTGATCATAATTTACAGTATTCTATTTTCACACAAGAATAAACACACACAAGAATAAACACACACATCTAAACTTGCGCATCTAAACTCGCATATCTAAACTTGCATATCTAAACTCACAAATGCACGCCCCCACCCCCAATTGAACCACTTTTAAAGGGAGGAGAAAAAAAAACAACAAGAAGACAAAAATTACGAGAAATTAGCAACAGTTACAAGCATCCAACATTTGAATAAATTAAATTCAATTATCCTATCACAAAATGAAATGATAGCTGAAATTAATAGGAGGTTTACCAATAGTCTTAAAAAAACAAAGACCAATTATTCGCAGAAGATTAACATTGTTAGTTATACATACACTAGTTGATTGGTTAAAAGAGGGAGAAATAGGCTGACATATCTCACATGCTGAATTTTTTGCTTCCGTTACTCAAAAATAGAACAGATATTTTTTTCCCGTCTTTTCTCTTTTCTCTTCTAGCTCACTCATCGTCATCATAATTTTTTTTTTTTTTTTTTCTTTTTTTAATCTCCCGAACAGGAAAGGGAAAAACTAGACAAGCAGAGGCAAAAGATTATTTTTAAATTGCAATCCGAAAAAAATGAAACCATCAAGTACTGCTAAAAATGCTACATAGATGAAAATACAATTGAAATAGTTATTCTGGGTGATGTATAGTGATGAGTGGTGGTGAGATGTGAGCGATGAGTATCATAGAGAATAACAGCGAACAGTAAAATCTCTCCCACAAAAAAAAAAAAAATAAAATAAAATAAAATAAAAAAAAAAAACATCAAAAATGACAGTAACGATAACATTTTGCTACGAAGAAATATCCTTACGGAGCAGAATGAAAAAATTCGAAACTTGCAAGAATACTTCAAAATAATTCTAGATGATCAATTGGGGATCATTCAAAATTTGCAGGTACTCAAAAAATACACCTATCAGTAGGCTAGACTCCTCTTCTTTCCAAATCTCACAAAAAATAATTTATTTGTCATGTCTGATATAAGTAGTGAAGTGATCACCGTGTATATTCCTTTATGTAAATTGGCGAATATACGTTTTATTTTTTTCTTCACTTGTTAAAAGAATGAAAAACTGAATAAGAAGAAAGTGTTCCTCTCAAAAAAAAAACATTTAGAAGAATTAATAAAGGATATAACGATCCATAAGAGTAATGCAGAGAGAAGAAATGTATTTTTTTTTTTTTTTTTTTCACACATTACTCGGTTTATATACTTTTCCAAGTTTTCACGCGTCTAAGTATATCTCCCGTATGCAGGTGTATACTGTCAAAATCATTATTCTCATTTTACCATTACCATTTCACTTTTTTACAAAACATAGAAAAGTTGGAACATTTGGACAAAGATGTGGAAATCCTTGAAAAGAACATAGTAGATTATGAAAAGCTAAAAAATAATTCGAAAAAAATAAAAGAAAAAAGAAAAAAACAACAACAAATTCTGACAGAATTAAAATTGGAAGCCGACATAAAAAAAATGCTCTTGGCGAAAATTTCCAAAGAGTACAAGACTGCCTATGCCAATAGTAGAATGAAACTTTATGGATATCTTCAAAGAATATTGTTAGAGGTGAGAAGTGTGGACATGTGCGCAACATTTATGATTTTATAACTATTTGTACTTGAGGAATTATGTTACACTTACGAATCTGATGAGTTATAAATTTTACTCTTTGTTAATATATATATACATTGCACATCCGAACTTCCTCTTTTTTTTTCTTTTTTTTTTTTTTTTTGTTTTCCCCTTTTTTATCTCACATTTGTGAAGAACTATTTCTTAGAGACAAAAATAAAATTGAAGAGCGATGCCCTAGAGATAAGAAACCTTGAGGTTACACTGTCTTTAGCTTAAAAAAATAAAATGAAATAATAATAAAAATAAAAGATACTTAGAACAAACTAATATATATTCCTTCGTACGTCCCCCCTTGTTAGCACCTCTTTTAGTATCCATTTCCTATCATAAAATATGTAGAACAAACAATACTTGTTTCTTCTCTTGCTTAGTTATCCAAATGGAAAGAGTCATTGAACGTGGATCAAAACGAAATATTGAACAATACATTGAGGAAGAAATTTCACAAATTTGAAAAATTAAGAAAGGATGTTGATGATTTAATAGTAATTGTGAAAACATGGAAGAAAAATAAAAATAATGAACAAAACTTGTGAATTTTCCAAACTAAAAAAAAAAAAAAAAAAAAAAAAAAAATGACAGCACAATAACTGCATTTTATGACCCATTTCCAATTACCTAATTTGTACCTTCAAATCCCATTGTAATATATTCTTAGGAAACAAATGAAAAAAACAAAGAAGATTACGAGGCGATAATGCACCTTAACTATTTTTCAAATGAAGATTTAGATGTCTTAAAAAGGGAAAATGTGTTTTAGACACGACGAAAAGGATAACCTTTTTCTTTTCTTATTTTTAACGCTCACCCTATGTACTTGTATACGCACCCGCATAAGCACACTGCTTCGCTTAGGTATGCACATATATATATATATATGTACACCCATTTTAACCAAAATAAACATTTTAAATTGTGTGTAAAGAACTATTTATGCACACTTACCTGGGCCATTTAAAATGAAAAGCAGCTGTCTTTTGTGGTTACACATATGGTATTTAGGCATGAATTTCATTATGTGCCTCCAAAAAAAATGCCTAGGGTGAATTATAGCGTGTTTTTAGGATTATTCAATTTCACAAGGATGGGAAATGAACAAAATAGAAATATTGGACAAATTATAAAATGGAAAAGCAACAATTTTATTTGTCCCATAAACGAACATTCACATGTGTAAAAAAAAAAAAAAAAAAAAAAAAAAAAAAAAAAAAATACATGCACTTAAATAAATGGAAAAATATCATGTTGTTTAAAAAATTGGACATAGAGATAAAGAATTCACCTATATCACTTTATCTAATCAGAAAAAATTTGCACATTTGTAATTTTTGTGGAAAATTTTTCTTTTTCTATCTCTCCCTGAGTTTACCTTTTTTTCTATGCACAAAAATAGAGGAGGGAGACGGGGAACGAGGGGAAAAGTAAAAGATAATGCGTAAACAAAAGTATTTATAAAAAAATCCAGCGAAGAGGTGTAACATGATTTCTGAAAATTCTGACAAACATCAAAGTTTTCATTAATTTCCTGATGATATTTTTGTGCGTTTATTCATAATATTAGTAGAAATGGGGGGTAAAAAAAAAAAAAAAAAAAAAAAAAAATTTTCACTTTTTTTTCATTTTTATTTTATTTTTTTTTTTTCTCATTTTTTGCCCTTTTTTTTTCCGTTTTATCTTTTTTTCCTATTTTTCTCGTTTTCTTTTCCATTTCACGCCTGTTCCTTCGCTTTCCTTCCTCATTTCTTTTTACCTACTGCTTTTTACATTTTTTCTTTCCCCATTCCTTTCACAACTTTTCTTTTTTTTATTTTTTTCTGATATGCGCATGCTATATATATATACACACTTATGCTACACAACGGAAGATAAACACCTTGGCTACAAATTACCACCTAAATAAACGTAGATATAGATGAAAGAAATTCTGAAAACTAGAATTAGTAACAAAAGCAGCGTATGATATTAATTTTTATTAACACGGTTTGAATAAAAGGGTTGTTCCTCACTGTATTTGTTTTGCAAGCTTTAGGTTTTTTTTTTTTTTTTTTTTTTTTTTTTTTTTTTTTTTTTCCTCCCTTTTTTTTTTATTTTTTTTTTTTTTTAAATTTTGTTTTTTTTTTTTTTTTTTTTTTTTTTTTTTTTTTTTTTGTACGGCCTACATGTTTTCTTACATTTGGATGTCACGCGATTTTACTCCAATTCATGTCACTTCTTCCCCTTTTTATGTTATTTCATTTTATTTTATTTTTTTATGTGCCATTCCGGAAGAGCAATGTAAAATTCAAATAGATACACATTTTCACACGAATTTTTAACATATGTATTTTTTTTCCTTTTTTTTCTCGTCCTCAAAATCTCCCACATACTCCACCTCTCCATTTTGGGTCACATAAAATGAGTACAATTAAAGCATAATAGTATTGTAATAATTTTACCTTCCTTTTCCTCTCTAGCTTGATCGATTCATATCCATTTTCCTGATTCTATTAATTAACTCATTACCATCCATCCTTATTGTAATTTCTTTTTTTCTTTTTTCTTTTTTTCTCACCGATCTCTTCTGTACCACCTCTCCCTCTCTCACAACTCCCAGTAGCAGCGGCACTAACTTGATGTGCTATATATGTTTTTGCACACATGTGGTAATTAACCATCGATTTAACACATCTTACAAAAATAGGAAGTTTTGGATATAAATGAATCCCTTCACAAATAAGACCTGCACACGCCTACACGCTACCACCCCCTGTAACAATATGATAAAAATAAAATAAAGAGCAAAAAAAACATATATATATATAAAAATGATAGAAGGGAAATTAAATGCACACCCTCCGTCAGATGGTAGTAGAAACCCTAAATCACATTATAAAAATGGAGGGAGAGTTCAAAATAAAGAAAAGGATGAAAAAAAAAATTTAATGAAAAATGACAATATAAATATTTCTATTGATTTAAAAAAAAAAGCGAATATGGAATGTATTTACAACTACAATTCAAAATTTAGCGATGAAAAACATAGTGATAATAATCAGACAGATGCATTTACTAATAAAAAGGAAAGAATATTGAATGAAACTCAGTTAGTGAATTCAGGGGTACAAGATGATTTCATTCTGGAAAACATGGGTAAGTGTGAGAACAACCAGAAGAACAACAAAAACAGGAGAAATGGGACAAATGAGAGAAGCAACAGAACGGGGAGTGCACATGGCACATTACATTTGTTTGGTTTTTCTCTATAAATTATGATGAATTTTCTTTATATCCATCTTCCCCTCCACCTGTTCATGCACACACACTAGTTGAAGAGATCATACGCGTCCATTCGTATGTCTATCTGTGTAACCACCTATTGGTATACTTCCTTGTTTTTTTTTTTTTTTTGGTATTTCTTTTCATACATTTATACATACCTCTATCGCACCCCCTCCCCTATCTACAGAAGATTCTTGTGATAAGGAAGAACACAACATCAGGATTATGGAAGTGAAAAATTGCAACGCAAAAAAAAATATACTAAAAATTTTATACATTCGATTACTATACGCCATAATATTTATAATATTGAGTATACTTATTCAGTGTTATTTTATCATACTAAGTGATACATATTACAACATGGGAGACGAACCCCTAAAAGATAGAATTCATGAAATGTACAAAGAAGCACCATTATTTATGAATGCGGAATTTATAAACGGAAATATTTTATTTTTTTTAATTATCACCTTGTTAAGATTTGGATTTTTTTCTCCATTTATACTCGCAATAAGCATGTTTATTAGACTAACATTAATGTTATCCTTTATTTATTTTATAAGATCAATATTTATATATGTTACTACGATACCTTGTCCCATAGCTACATGTCAACCATTGAGAAATAAAAATATTCTTGAAAATTTATATTCAGCATATCTTATTATTACCGCACAAGTATATGAATGTACAGATTTGATTATCTCTGGACATACAGCTTTTACCACCGTTTTAAAATTATTTTGGATGTTTTATGAAAAGAAACTTTTCATAAAGACAATCTTATTTTTTTATTGTTTATTTATTTATGCTATGATAGTAATTTCAAAATTTCACTACACAGTTGATGTTCTCATGGGGTACGTTTTTGGATCCACCGTTTTTATATTCTATCACACCCTTTTGGAAATTGCAGCCAAGCGATATGCCAGACATAGGTCCTTTTCCATCAGAGTAATACAAAGAAATGAACGTGATAAACCTGCTGAATGTGAGAAACACGAAGAATGTGATGAGTATGCAAATGCTAACCATCCCATTTTTCTATAGTGAATGAGAGAACCCAGCAGCACGCGAGCTGATGCATAACGCTTGAACATATCACAAAATATATTCCCCCTACACACAAAAAAGAAAAAAAAAGCATTTTCAATTTTTATATGTATACACATATGAGAAAGACTTAATCATGCAGCTAAAAGAAAAAGAAAAAAAAAAAGCATTTTCAATTTTTATACGTATACACATATGAGAAAGACTAAATCATGCAGCATAAAAAAAAAAAAAAAATTAAATTCTCCGCAAATCATCAATACCAAGTTTTTGTGCAGTCTATATACATACACACATACATACGTTTTTTTGATTATATACACCTTTTCTTTTTGCCCTTTTTTAGAGTTCTAATTACGCATCTTCTTTTGTAGAGAGATGTTCATTGTTCAATTGTTTCATTCGCGTAATAGGATATCTTGAAGGATTAGACCACAGGCTGAACATGGCAATTTCTTTTAACAAGGAATGGGTAAGTAATCTGTGAAAAGCAGCTAAGTTGCTAGTGTCAATTATTCATATACAAAGCTTACTTAAGTGTTCATACTTATGTACATATGAGTATATATAGTTTCACACACATGCAATCTGTATTTCTTATATTCCACATGCATCAGGAATGTTTCTGCTCATGTAAGCCAGTCAATGCTCAAGGTCTCATAGTAAAAAAGACAACTGTTGTTAACAACGAAGAATATTTCGATTTTAGTGATCATTTTTATCATTCTTATGCCGGAAGCGGAACCTTTGATTCATCAACCGTTAAGAATATACTAAACGAAATTAAGTACCTCTGTGGAATCAGAAAAAAGAATTAATTCCTGCTTGCATAAAAGCACACAAACACACACACACACACACACACATATGTGTGTGTGTACATATATATATATATCCACCTTTGTATGTATTATACACATGTGCATACTTGTTTACCCCCCATGCATCAATTTGTCTGCCAGTTTAAAAAAGAGTAACAAGTAGTAATTAACTTTTTTTTTTATTAATTTTTTTTCACTGTACCCAATCTACGTCACCTCGCTTTCCAAAAGAAAAAAAGAAAAAAAAAAGTATCTCTCAAAGTTGCTAATTAGTATACACCGTTTGATACATTATTAAATTAACAATCCGTACATTTTATAATTTTTTATAATTTTTCATTGTCTAATGATTTATCCCTCGTACCTAAGCATGTACATATATATGAAATTTACAGTCACCGCGTACTCATACATATGTGATGTCGTTTTGATTCATTTGATGTTTTTATGAATTTTTTTAAATTTGACGTATTTTTTAATTTTTATTTTAAACTCTAATATATATATATATATATATATATATATATATATATATATATGCAATTTGAGACATGCATGTTTGAATGGGAATGCAGATTTCTATGCGTGCGTATACACATTTGACCTAATTGCTAATTTTTTTTTTCTGCCTCCTCCCCTCTTTTTTGATCTGATGTTTTTTTTTGTTTTTTTTTTTTTTGTCTCATTTTATTGTGAAGTGTTAATCTGCACATTTCAACACCAGTACACAATTTTTTTTTTTTTTTTTTTTTTCGTGTGTCTCTTTCCCATTTTTTCCTTATTTTTTTTGTTAAAATTCAAAAAATTTTAAACTTTTAAGAACAAAAAAAAGAAAAAATTAAGGATTAAAAAATGTAATGAAAGTTATGCGTATACATTTTTACATGCAATGCATGTATGCAAATGTGCTTGTGTATTCATTTTTTTTTTTTTTTTTTTTTTTCGTCTTTTGGCATGAGCTAGTATTGCGAATGTGAAACAAAAATAAAAAAACTATAAAATCAAAACAACATAATATATGAATGCGCACATATATATATATATATATATATATATGTACCTATACGCTCTTATACACACATATATATCTTGAATTTATTTTGTACAAACCTGCAGCCGTTATGTGAAAAAGATAATTTTATAACTCATCAAGATTAATTATTTGAGCAAGGAAATATTATGACCCTTTCCTTTGAGTTAAAATTTTTGTTCTTAATATTATAAAATAATTCATAATTACACGTGTGGGTAATTTGTCTAATATTCGAAAAGAACCCCTTATTTTCACGGTCTTTTTTTTTTTTTTTTTCTTTTTTTTTTCCCCTCTTGTTTGTTTTTGTATCTTTTTACCATGCTTACGACCATATTAATGTGCAATCAAATAAAAGTGAAAACATGAAAACAGAATATTATCATGTTAATTCAATTTTTTCATTTTAACGAGTATTTGTCGTGTGCACACATGTACCATTTTAAGCAACATTTGTAACATCATGATCATCTTTCAGTGGATTCAAGTAAACTAGTCATAAAATATCAGCCCTAAGAAGTAGACGAAAAAAAAAAAAAAATTACCTTTTTGTTAAAATCTTCCTGAGTGTGTCCCAAATGAGCATAACCACTGAATTTAAAAAAAAAACTTCTGAACATTCAGGAACAGAAAATGAAGATAGTAATAATTGCAGAGACGTAGGTAATTATAAAATAAATGTAGACGTAAAAATGAGTAACTCTCCCATGCCGAAAAAAGTAAAACCAAGTAACGAACACAATTTAACAAAATGGAAATTATTCAAGATATTAGTCATCAAATTTTCAATCGCACTAGTATTTTTGTTTATCTCATTGTTCATACAAGGTTTTTTTATGATATACAGTGATTCGTATTATAAAACGTACACTACACCATTGCATGATCGAATACACACTTTCTTTGAATATCCACCAAGGTGGATTTCATATAATCTGTCAAATAATTTAATAGCTTTGTTAACATTAACCTTTATTCAGTTAATTTTGTTTAATAGTATATTTTTGTCTATCGCTATAATTTGTCGATTTTTATATATGCTTGGTTTTTTTTATATTTTAAGAGGCATACTTGTGTATGTTACTTCACTACCAGCCACATTAGAAACGTGTGTGCCTCTGGAACGTGGGAATTTTGCGTTCAATTTATTGCAAGTAGCTAAAATAAATATGAATTTAGTTTATGTATGTTCAGATTTAATTATATCTGGTCATTCTTTTTCAACTACCATATTTTTACTATTTTCTCTTTTTTACATGAACAATATCATACTGAAAACAGTGATAGCATTCTTTTGTTGTTTCATTTATGCACTAATAATTATTGGATTTATACATTATACGTCTGATGTGTTGTTAGGATTTATATTTGCCATTTTTATTTTTACTTTTTATCATATAATGCTTGATATATTTTCACAGTATTACATTTTTAACAAATTATTTGAAATTAAAATTATTTCAAATAAAAAAAATGTTCAGGCAAAACCATTTTTTTTAAGATGCTTTTTTACCAGAATGTTTTTAAAAATTATTCCATTCATAGAAGGATTAAATTACACATTAGATTATGCAATAAGTAAAAATGCTGATTTGTCCACGTTCTGTATTTGTGAAAAAGAGTTTGCAATTGATGTGCCAGAAGTATGTTCCTTCAGCAAGTCTGGAAAGAAAAATAAAATTTCTATCAGTTTTTCAGATCATTTATTTCATTCATATGCTGGGGATGGAACAATCAATTTTTTATTATTCAATTTTTTAAGGAAAATTAAAATGGATTAATCTCCCTTAATGCAATTGAAAAAATGAGGAAATTTATCACTCCATTCTAACGCAAGACATGATCTGTCCAATTTTTTTTTTTTTTTTTTTTTATTGGAAGAATGACCATATATGGTGTTGTATAAAATAGGATTATTCCATTTGATCTCATGTTCCAAATTGGTCTAACTTAATTTTATATGTACTCATTTGTTTTACTTCACAGCATTCTTCACTCTCTTATTTATCTTTTATAAATTTTTTTTTTTTTTTTTTGTTGTTGTTTATTCTTTTCTCTTCTTGTATAATGGATGTTATAAGAAGGCTACTCCTAATTTAAATTACTCATTCGTGATTTTGTTTGTTTTTAAAAAATGTGCAAAAATGCGCACTAGAAAAATTAATCGTACATATAAAACGATAAAATTTTAAAAAATTTTAGCTGCACAAAAAAAAAAAAAAAAAAAAAAAAATACATTAAAGTTAATATTTTAATTTTTTTTTTTTTTTTTTTTTTTTTTTTTTAAAGATTAGACGTAAAATTTTTACTTTATGGGTACTATTTTATTTTTTTATGACTTCTTTTTTCTTTTTTTCTTTATTATTTTTTTCCTTCAAAACATTTTATATATTCATTATTTTTACCTTTTTTTTTTTTTTTTTCCTTTTTTTTCTTCCACTTTTTTTTTCATTTTTTTTGCCTTTATTTTTTTTTTTTTTTTTTTTTTTAATAGAAAGTTTAGCTAAGTCTATTTAATCAGAGTACTTTAATATTTTCTTATTCAACACTTGGTTTCTATCTTTATAAATATTATTATATAACATAGAATATGATTATACATGAGAAAACATTAATCTAGTGTAAAACATAGTTTTAATTATGTTAAATTATATATATATCATTTTAAATTAGTAAGATGATG